CGTTTTTCTCGAAAGTCTACCCAGTTTTGTTTTTGTTTTCTTTCTACGGTTGTACAAAGATTCGGAATGATGTTCTCCTGCGCCTTTGTACGGGCGGGAAGCTGGACATTTACGAGCATTTCATCTGCAGGATTGATTGGATCAGGATGAGTTTAACGGGAGCGACGCAGGCCTGGGAGCGCTACTTTGGGGATGGGTGCACGAGATGCGGGTTTCCAAATGAATGGATAACCTTTTTGGCTCACGTGCATTTTGGAGGACGTCTCACGAGCGGAAGAGGCTTTATTTGCGGAGGTCGCTATTCGTGCGATCAGGGGAGAAGAAGAGAGGAGGAGAGGAGATGGATGTGTGGACGCGGATGTGGGGGAAGAAGAGGAATGAAGGTGGACTGAAGGATTGCGTTGTCTTGGAAAACGCAGAGAAGGTTTTATGAGGAAAGGTAAACATGGCATGGAGGAGAGATGGAGGAGGGAGATGAAGGTTTCAGGAACAAGTGAAGATATGAGGCTGTCTCAGACAAGTGAAGAAGTGGCAGTCTGTTGATTTCCTTTCGACGGCAAGGCATTGTGATATTGTTTTTCTTCCTTTCCCCCTCTTCCTTTTTTTTTTTTTTTTTTTTTTTTTTTTTTTATCAATTTTATTCTCAAATTCTGTTGTCTTTGAATATTTTCCATTTCCTTGCGTTTGGCGTCCGGATTAGGAGTGATGTCCACAGAACAGCGAGACTTGTGTGCGTGGGCTTCATCCACATCGGGTAACGAACTGAACGAACTGTCTTGCAAGGATTGGCGAATGCCACTATTAGAGGACAGCATCGTGTTTCGTCTCACGCTGATTTTCCTGAGTGGCGGAGTGAAGCTGTCAACATCAATGGAGAGACAAACCCTTGAGGATTCTATCTCAAGCATCAACGGCCTGTGATATATATCTTGTACCATCTATCCACATCCACATTCGCATCCACATTCACATCCCTATATTACTCCTACGCTACGAAAGAATTCATCTCCAATCGAGAACTTATGTGCGTCATCGAGGAAACTTTTAGTCCCTCGTAGCTTCGGTGGAAAAAGCAAAGTGAAATTCCACACGATCTCTGCAAGTTCCTCGTGGCTTCTGGCACTAGAAAAGCTCGGCTTGGCACTATATTTGATGGTAAAACACCCCCTCTAGAACAACAGACAGCAACTATAGCCTTGTCTTGAAGCCTGATATAACGCGTGCCCCCTTTTCCTTTCTGGTTTAGAACAATTGAGCGGTGTAGACAAGCCTAGTCAGGCGATGATGACGGTGACGACGTCTCGGGGTTTGATCTTTGAGGTAAGGTTCCATTCTGGACTGGAGCTGGGCTCCGCTGATATGATACCTGCTAATATTGGTTCACAGGGAAACAAGAGTCTAACCTCACAGTTATCGAGGAGGATAATAACAAAACAAGAGGAAAGAGAAGAATGTGGTAGCCAGGGGGTCGCGGAGTTAGGCATGGGAAGGACATGATAGCACGGTCCTCATGAGAAGTGGTCGCTACCCTCTCGCATAGGTCCCCGTCGGCTCAATATTGTTAATATATCAAATTCTCCGAGATGGATAGGCAAGTCATATATCCTCAGCCTTACTCACTTGAAGCAAGAAGGCCGCGCTCACCCGCTGTCTATCCTCTTCCCGGCAACTCTCATTCCCCTGACAGCCGTCAAGTCTCGCAAACTGCCGCGTTTCATCCCTCTGACAACCTCCCAAACAGGCCCTGATGTCTAAGTCTAACCCAGTCGGGGAAGATACGATCTATCATCATGAACAGTGAGACGTAAATATGGGTCTGACTGAGTCAAGAGATCCATCACTCCGACGACAAGACAGATCCATCCACCGAGGCTGAGGATCATGGGAAAAGAAGCGAAGTCAATTCTCAGATGGACCTGAGCTGGGTTTCTACTCGGCCATAGTCAAGGACGATTGGGGTGACTTCGAAGGAGAAGCCACTCGAATACTGAGGGGCAAGGAGTAAGTTTCCAACAGCGAGAAAGGCTCCTCTGATCAACAAACCTGATCATGGATGGCCCAATACTGGACGTGGAAAGGGGGAAGGCCGTAAAGTCTGAAAATCCTTCAGCAAGCTAGACTTGACACAAAAAAGTTCTCATCCTTCCTCGAATGGCTCCATCCACATCGCCCCGTCCCATGTTCCCCCGTTAAACAGACGCCGGAGATGCTAGCAAGCGACAGACCTCCTAGCCGAGAGCCGGGCGCTATTTTCCAATTCATTTTCTTTCAGGGCCGTAGTCTCAGTGATCGGCCGCTCCAGCTAACTCTTCCTTAACCTAAGCGACGGGGTTTTAAACCTGCTGAGCTCCAAAGGTGGAGTTACTACTCCAGTTGCCGCCTTTGCGCGGTCCCGGCAGATGATTAGATCACCCTCCGGCCCTCAAGTAGCGCTGGCGGCAATGGCTCCATTATAGACACTATTCACCCGATCGTAAGATCTCTAGCGAAGTGGTGGGGCGGAAAGAAAGGACACGCCAAGAAGGAACTGGACGAAAGCTTGCTATCTCGCTCAGAGAGGGTCAGGACTTTCTTGCTTCACCTCTGCTGGTTCCCAACGAGACAATTCCACTTTTCTTCAGACTGTCCTTTACGTTGCCGGAAGTGGAGAGAATGGGAGAGAGGGAGGAAGAGAACGGAAAGCGAGAAAGACAGAACCCACCTCGTAAACGGTGTCCGCGCCTAGAGGCCTTAGAGACACGCCCATTTCCCAATGTAGATAGCTTCGTTGCTTTTCCCTCTTCACATCCCCTTCTTCAGAGCCCATCTGAGACACAAGTACCCTATACTTCTCTCTATCTTCACTCCTCAGAACATCTTCGAGAGACGAAACATGAAGAGAAAATGAGAGACAGCCTTACGCTTTGGCATCTCCATTCCACACGCCCCCATTGTACCCCCCCATCTCTACTATACAGCATGTGAGGTGTGCCTCTCTCGCCTCATACTCCAATGAATCCCACTCTTCAGTGTACTTACCGTCTTCCTATCAAACAAGCAACTTCGAGACAAAAAGAAAGGCTAACGCCCTAGAACCTCCACGCCCTGCCCGTGCTCTTGATCAACGTCATCTCGGTTCCGCACTTGTCCTCAACAATCCGTCCGTACTAGCCCTTTCCTTCAAGCACAGAGAAGGAAGTCACAACATCTCCACCATAGGATACCCCATGCCAAGCTCAGGCTGCGGAGACAACGCTCCAAGCTTTCGGCGCCACCTCGCTGTCTCTTTTCTCTCTCCTCCACCCGTCCCTCCAGAACACTTGCCAGCCTCCCCCAAGATCCTCAAAATAGTCTTAGCTCGGACCTTGTGCCCCAAGTTTCTTCCTTTGGAGAATCAACACGCCATCTTTCTCGAAGGAGGAAGGAATTGGAACCGAGGCAAGCGAAAGCTCACGATACGTCAAGCGGGAGGGGGAGGGGGAGGGAGAGCGACAGGCCTAGCAATGGCCGAGCCGTGTCCGCAAGTAGAGACTAGACCAAAAGGTTAATAGACAGACCACCACCACCACCACCACCACCACCACTGTCCTCTCTTGGTCTGTTCTCCTCGGATGTCCGTGGGTCAGAACATACAGGTGTCCTTCATGAGCTGAAGGTGGCAGTATCCCACCATCCTGCTGTCTCGTAGACAGGCAGGACTGACATGCAACTTGTCATTGCTTGTCACCGGTGCGGCCCCTTTTTCCCAACCTCCTCGACATATGTTCGTGATAATGCTTTCGCTTTCCTTGGGTGTGTCTCGTTGCCGCGGAAGCGTACAGGTCAAAATCTCTCTCACCTGTCCGGATCTCAAACCCAACCCAGCTCCTTCCCCTCCATCCACACCCCGTGAGACCTTGTAGTACGTAAGTCTTACCAGCTAATACGAGAAAGGCGAGTCTCAGCTCATTCCCAATCCATCCCCTCGCCAAGAAGAGTGAAAAAGAGAGAGGCTGGTTATTCCCGAGCGCGGAACACCTATCATCCTCTTCCATTTGACTTTCTTGATGACCCGAGAGAGAAAAGAAACGAGACGAAAGGTATCCTCATGTACCGGCCGAAGGGCTGTCCATGGCATGATGCACATCCAAGTGAACCTCACACGCCCCTCGTCTAACTTGCCCTGATTCGGATAGCCGTACGTGAGAAAGTACCTGACAGCGATACCCTGAGAAGACCCTTTCCACCTTGTCCTTCAAACCTCCCATCAACTAGATGTGAGCTATCCACTGTGCAGATCCGTAGTTAGTTCCTCAGCAACATCGTTGCTAGGAGGGGTTAGGACTCGAAGGAGACTCCTTTTCAACTCATACGAAAGTCTGCCCAGGCTAACCATCGGATATAGTCTAAATATGGAAGAGATGATGCCAAAGAAGAGTAAAAAGCCATTGCTATTGTCGGAAACGCCCGAATGGGCCACGGAACACAAAAAGTGAGTTTCTTGCTCTAGTAATCTGAACTTCTATCTTCGGTTTCTGCAAATCCTGTACTCCGTGAGCGATGCGCCCCATTTAATGTTGCAATTCCAAGTTACCTCGCTGTGGACTGAAAAAGGAAAAGAAGAAAGGAGGGACTTTGGGGATACAAAAATGACCGAACAAAAGAAGTAACAATGAAAGATGCAAACCATGGCATTATCTGATCCGTCTCTCGGGCTCGAGAGGAACGCCTCTATCCTCGAGCGAGCCCATTCCATGTGCTAGAGACTGCCCCATGCCATTTTTTCCGGCTTTTTAGGTTTTTCTTTTTTGTCCCATCACGTCCAGAGTAGCTTTGAACCTTCCCCCGAAAAAGACATCAGTCAGCGACGCCAGACGCTAAAGTGCCTCCATAGTTGACCCATCGGATGCTTGGTGGATATGGTGATGAAAGAATGACAGCGGCTACCAGGGTCTCTCAGCAAACGGAAACAGGTTGAGAGACCCTCCACCATGTCCTAACCGTATCTACATCAAGGGGCGGAGGAGTAAGGGATCATAAGATCACCCCCTTCTCCACACTCTGTTAAGAATGCCCCCATTACCTCCACCAGCTCCACCGCCGCGTCCCCTCTTTGGACGATCACCCGTGAGGGCACCCTCGGGCTCACCGGAGTATCCCACCTTCCCCAAAATGGACTCGCCGGCGTCACCTTTATTGATCTCGACGTAGTCGTCCGAGGACCGCCGATCTCTGCGGGTGTTATCGCCAGCGGCAGGCAACGCGCTGCTGCCGTCATAGTACTGTAGATCCTGCAGCTTTGATCGGCCCGGAGCCCTCATGGGAACAGACGCTGTCGTGGCCGGCCTGGGGATCGTCTTGCCGCCATCGCGCATCTTGGTCAATCCTCTGTCGAGATACTCCACCATCTGGGCTTTGGCATCGCTGATCGAGTCGTCTTTGCGGTGCACCTCCTGCTGATGAGGGTATCTCCTCATCATGATGCCGCCTGGCTCATACATCTCTTGCGCTTGGCGGTAGAGGTCGGGGAACTTCGCCTGGAACTCCTCGTCGAGGTTCTGTTCTTGGCGCTCGAGTGAATCACGCCTCTCATCATCCACCGTCGGAGAGCCACCGCTGCCGAGAGTGCGCTCCTCAGCTTGCCTCTCGGCAAGCCAGTTCCTATAGAAGGCATCTGCTTTGGCCCTGTCTTGCTTGCTGGCCGGCTTCTTACGGAGGTTTTCGATGTGCTCCTTAGCCTCTTCCGTCATCCTTGTTCCCTCGATGTGTTTGCTGAAGGAGGCGCCGAATTCACGGTAATGGCCCTTGAGTAGATAGACCTCGCCATCCCAGCCCCAGGCCCTGAACCTCGGGAGTAGAGCATCTGCGGCTCGGCAGTCGGAGGTCGATTCGAGCCCCCTAGAGTAGAAGACAATACATTTGGCGAACTGCCAGTTAGAGAATGTTCTCCTGCTCTGATCATCGGCAAAGGCTTGTTCAATCAGATCAAGTGAAGCGTGCCGTAAGAACGCAGCCGGGGCGCGGAGGTTTACCGCTCCTTGGACGTGCGATCTCTGGAAATCGGATTCAGTCCGTAGATCGATCAGCAGGACTTGTCCAGGTAGAGCAATATCCAGCAGGTCATTTAAATGGCCCGGCAGAATCATCCGCAGACTGGATGTCCGTTCGGGAGGCCTGTCACCGATCTTCAATGCTTCTAATTGCTGCCTCACCACATCGCGCTCACGGCGGTAGTGATACCAGGCCTGATACCGCCCATGTTAGTGACGGTTGATCTTGTGAACTCGATGGAAGGAACACTTACTTCAACATGCGTAGTCTCGATGCCCAAGTTTGATGCGATAAATTCCCTATCAGCATCGCTAGGATGCTGATTCCTCTGGTAGTAATACTCAAGTCTGTTCTCGATATGAACAGCAAAGTTCGGCGGCTCCGGGACCTTGTCGGCGAACGTTGTTCTCCGCGCGCTCCGATGCTGGTTGTAAATCAACGTCCTCGATATATTACCCGCCGGTAAATCTGTCAGAGAGCCCGGAATTCGGCTAGGCAGGGAGGAGAGAGACTTGGTTGACTGGACCGTCCGTAGCCCTGTGTAAGCCGTTTGGCCCCGACCATCGGGCACGGGCTCGTATTCCCGGATTAGGCTTGGCCCAACTGACGGGGTTATGGTGGTATTGTCGTCAAAGAACTCGGACCGTGGCCGGGTATTTGCTGGACCTTCTTGTGCGGTTGACTGAGCAGCCTGCAGGGGTTCCCGCCGAGGCTGTTGCATGGCGATGTTGTTGGAACGGATAAAGGCCACGAAGGATGTGGCATGGTCTTCGGGTAAAAGGTCCCATACCATCACGGGCATTGAGACAAGTAGGAGAGTGGAATGACTCTTGAAGACGCCTTGCACCTTGACGTATTTTGCAAGGGCAGGAAAACTGGTAAGCCAGCTCTCCCAAGCGTTCAGATCTAACCTCTGGTCATCTTCAAGGGCAAGAGAAATCATGACATGCGGGACGTTTTCGTTTGGTTCAGATAAGCTACTGATCTCCGTGGTACTACAAGTCTCAGGAGTGCCCACGATCTCGTCAGAGCTGGTATCGGCATAGGTGTGGTCGTGAGTGATTGGAGTCCTCGGCCGGGGAATGGGCTGACCGTATGATGGTTGGGGTACCTGAGATATCTGAGGTGGCTGAGGCGGTGAAGGAAGAGCAGGTTCACAGGCAACGATGCGGGAAATTTCTATGCTAGGGGCCTTGTGATCTGAAGTCATCATGAAATGAACGGGAGTCGATCGAGCCTCGAAATACTTTCCATTGATCATGATCGGACGCGGATGTTTTAACCTGGCGAGGACTTCAGCATGAAGCATCGCCGCGGAAAAGGTTCGTATCCGCCACTCTTGGAGGACTTCGATTAGAGCATTAGTGAAGGAGTATCGTCCGGGATCAGGGGCAATGGCATCCCAACTGGAAGCTGAGATGGTTTCGGTTATGCTGTTGCCGGTAGAGAATGTCGCGCTGGCGGCACCAGCGCAGCAGTCTAGAAGGATGAGGATGTCTGATATTGACCTCTCAAGGAGGGTTTGAATTGCAGACCATCTATAAACTGGAGTGTAAGTAGAAAGAGAGATAGGCAGGGACTCGTGAGTAATATATGAGACCAACTTACTGTAACCAAGGAGAATCAGGATTCCTCGTTCTGTGGACCCATTACAAGTCAGTGTTTTCCGAAGACACTCAAATTGCGCATTGTTTGTTGGTGCAAGGGGTGAAACTACATACGCGCACCACCTGCTCTGCCTGGACTCGTCGATCCTCGCATGTCCTCCGTAGTACACAACAAACAGGGTATCAGTAGACTCATGCTCCTTGATCAACTGGCCGATCCTCATCATAAGTTCCAAGTGGGCATTGTCGGCGGGGATGGGAAAGATGTCGGTTCCAAAGGCATAATCTTCTCGCAGGCACTTTTCCAAATCCTCGAGTTCGGGAAGTACGAAGAGGTCGTCTGTACTCCAGTGGAGGAGTAACGCCTGCACCTTCTTGTATCTCTGTGTAGACCGGCCACGGTTTGGAAACGCCCTGGCCGCAGCCTAGTAACGACGGGGAAAAAAGGCTTCTGTTAGTTTCATTCATGGGCCATCCGAATAGTTGGACCGGAAGCTCACCTCTTCTAACGTCTGCGCAAAGTGGCCGACATGCTTAACGTGATAGCTCGTGCGACTAATATCATGAGTTGCCGACCTAGGAGCGACGCTCTATCAAGACCCCCTCAGTTAGACTTGGTTCCAGGCAAACCCGAAGCCTCCGCGCTCCTCAGAAGATCGTCCGCATCGCATGTTACACATACAGTCGTCTGCAAGCCGCTGCCTCCTCCTACTGTTTGCCTCGACCGTATCGTCACATATGGTGTCTCGGGCATGGTGATGTTTGTGCTTCGGCACAAATTTGAAAGGGGCGCAAAAACTCTGGCGTCGCAAATCCGGCTGGACGGAATCGGGGTGTCCAACAGGAAATAAGATTTACGGAATTTCGATCATCGCAGGCGCACAAAAAGGGAGAAGTTTGTCGAGTTTGTCGTTTCGATTATGTCGGATAACTCTTCAAGGCGGAAAACAGGCAGACGGGACAGAGAGGCTTCCAAGGAAGATATTGGATTGTTTGAGGGACATGTTACTCGGAATTCTCTTGTTGGCCTTCGGTATCGAAGAACAAATTCGTCGTCCACGAATAGGCCGATGGGGTGGGATGAAAGTGAAGAGTGTCGTGCGGCGATGCGTGATGTCGGTGGCCGAATCGGGTTTAGCTCCTATTTTGCATCGGTGACCCAAAGAGGAGGGATGGACGGTACCGGTACTTCTGGTTGGCAGCCCCGCTCAGAGACGAGTCTGAAAATTCAGAGGGGGACTTTGGTACTGCCTACAGTGCCTGGTACCGTCTGTTGCCAGGGCGGGGTGCTGGCTGCTGGCTCCCTCGCTCATGTCAGCCAATTTCGGGGAACAAATCGGCCTGACCGCCAGTGTACAGTACATCAGGCCCCTGTAAATCGCAGCCTATCGCGTCTCTCAATTTCATTGAGGCTGCTGCTGCCACTCGCTACTTTGGATGTGAGTAACTGTGAGTAACTGCTGCTCCCACGTTTTTCTGGCATGTTCCCGCGCAGCTGCAAAACAGGTCACAAATGCAAACCAATCTGAGCCCTGAGCCTTGCCAGCAAATATCATCCATCCCAGTCCGACGTCACCGACACCTATGTTTAGAATAGCTCCGAGCCAGGCACACGACCACACGACCACACACACTCCCAATCGCCTACATATAACCTATCTCGGAGATCCCAACACGACCCAGCCAGCCATCTGAGCACACCCAATCGTACCCGTCTGGGGATCTGTCGGTAGACGGAAGAAACAAACTAATCCAATCCTTCGCAGCGGTACCATCCCGTTCAGCTCCCTTCCCCTTTCAGGAGACCGCCCATCGGCCCTTTCGCGCCCCGACTTTACCAAAGTTTGCCCAGCCCCTAACCAGCTCCGAGGACTCGCTTTGGTCTGAGCAAGATCAAGGCCCGAGCTGCGGACCATGAGGCGGAGAATTACCTTTATCCACAGACCGGAAGACGGTATTGACCCTAGCTCCATCCAGGTTGCCCATGGTAGCATCACAGGTCCCGTCCTTTTGGCTGCCAGGGAAGAGCGCCTCACGCTGGACGTAGATGAGCTCCCTGGCAATCTTGCCTTGGCTCTCAAGAACCTCACTCAAGATATTCATATCAGGTGGACCACGTCGGCACCCTATGAAACTACGGAGCCCCTGAGCTCACGCATCTCCCCTGGGCTTCACATCTTGTACACACCTCTCGGTCAAGGCCCTGAAGATTCGTGAGTATTTTCTTTCTTTTTCTTTTTCTTCCCCCTCCCCCCCGCCCCTTTTTTTCTTCTTGTTGCTTGTGTCACTTGCAGCCTCGTTCAGCTTTCCAATCAAAGCCCTGTAAGCTGATGTAACCACCCAGGACACGTATCTGCTCCCTCATTGAGGGCTACTTCGGCCCCCTTGGCTGTGAGAACCCCGAGTCATTCATCGATGTGCCCTCAGACGATGCAGCCAAGCGAGGACTTTTGCTGTATTACGAAATCTACGAGAAGCTAGATGACTTCATCAGCAAGGCCAAACCAACCCTCTGTCCGTCGTCCAGTAATGATGATGAGTGTTCCGCACGTGTTCAGGCGCTCGCTAGCGCTGCGTCCCTCGATATCTCCTGGATCCATGCTTCCCAAACTCTCAGAGTAACCGCCCTATGGCCTACCGGGCCCCAGGTCTTGAGTGCCAAGTCCACAGCGGAACACAGAGCCGAAGTGGGGATTTTCTCGACCGACCCGTTGGCGGGCGAACCGCACGAAATCGGACTCGGTGGGCTCGTCGCAACTGCAGCGGCCGATGAGACCAAAGAACCTTCCATTGTGGCTTACGCTATCCCGTCCCGCCATCGACAGGCCGAGTCGAGCTTCTCGGTGAAGGTCCTTGAGCCACAGGGCCTTCATCCCACCTTACAGCTGGCCGTGTCATCGGCTCATCCACCCTCTGCAGATGATACGAACTCAGGATACGAGGAGCAATGTACTCTACACGCATACCTTACGCTTCCAAGGACCATTTTTGCCGACCGGTACCAATTGGCCGATGGCCTCTTCATGGCTTCGAAGAACCTCACCAAACTTAGGTATGCCAGCCAACCAGTTGATCTCGAAATGCCCGAATACAAAACTCCTCAATGGGGATCAACGGTTCTCCTCGACCTCGCCCCACCTACCAATAGCGATTCACCCTGGACGGCTGAAGTCCCTCTCCACTTACGCTACATGCCACCGACGCCCGGTGGCCTCTCTCACACCGAAGTGCCCTACCCTGCAGTTTTCTGGACCTGCAAGGCCAACGAGGACACTCCATTTACCGATAACCCCTTTGACCGAGCCAACGTAGGCTATGACAGCTTGTTTGGACCCCATGCGGTCTACTGGCACGTGCAGCCCCTTCCCAACGCAGAGGACAACCGACTAGTCACGACGTTGCGTGTCCCTGTCTTGGCTGTAGAGAAGTCGAGTTGGGTTGAAACAGGGACGACACTGACGATTTTGCTTGGGTTCGGCTGGGTCTTGATCTCTTTGTTCTTTGCCGCTCGACGCAGTGGGAACGAGAAGAAGGCACAGGCCGCGACGAAGAAGAAACAGTAGAGAATTAGAGACGAATGAGGTAGATGATGCTAACATATAAACGACAATGGAGTATCCACGTGTAGGCTAATAGGAGGAGAGTTATGTAATATTTCAAGACAAACCTTGTATAATAATCGCTAATATGACATCTCGATCTTCAAAAATTTATGACTTACCCATTAGTCGGAAACGGCTAGATCATATCGTGATGGCGTAAACAGGTACTGCCATATGCTGGGATCGGCCCGTTGCGTACCTCCCGTTGCATTGAGTTCGAATGCGTTTAATAACGGAGCATTTGAATGAGCGCGAGAATCCTCAAGATACCAATTGCGGTGGTTTTGCGGGACTTGCCATCCAAGCACCAGGATCTACGGGTACCGGGTTGGACCAAAAGTTGTCCCAGTCGGCGGGGAACCTAGAGGCTCAATATAAACCATACAAGTTCCGTCTCGTCATCCATATGGGGCTGTATCTCTTTACGCCGAGCATTCCGGTTTTCCTCGCTTTTCTCACCGCTGCAGAGTAAATGTGTTTTAAACCAGGGTAAGAAGAAGGGTAAGAATAGAGAGAGAAGGCAGGGGAAAAGAAAAGGGGATGGCAAAAGCAAATAAATCGGATCCTCAGACAGTGCTGAGGCAAATCATCATTTATCCCCATCTCAAGGAGTAGATTTGCTTCTTGTATGTGTTGGCTGACGCACAGTGGTGGAGAGGAACTCGTCTTCATCTTGAAATCAGTGGTTAGCAGCGCCAATGCCCATAGCTTTCAGGGATAGTTGATATTTCGACATGGCAGCCATCAACTGTAGTTGCCAATGGTCGAGGCGTCGCAGATTTGATCTAGATTTCGAAGCGATCAAAGAGGCGTGCGCTCAGCTGCGGTTCCTGTTGATGCGAAGACAAAGTTTATTTCACAAATAAGTTTACGCAGGAACAATGCGCACGTGTCACTGCGTTGTCGATCACGATCAATTGATCTCAATGACATCAGAAGCAAGTCGTTGCTTTCCCGTCTCTCTGCCCCTCTCAAGTCTAAACGACGAAGTTGGATGTGCCTGCCTTCAGGAAAGGACTTGTACATCGTACTTCGTAGGAAGGCGTTCGCTGAAAATTCGGGTAATAAACTCTAGGCCTGGCCCCTCTTGGCGCTTGGTTCGGGGAAGGAACCAACGTTCCCAGGGAAGGAGCTAGCAGAGTTTGAAGGCAGCGAATGGAGGAGCCAAGCTTTGAGCTTCTGCACGGTGACAGCTCCAGGCTCAATTGGGAAAGGGCAAAATGGAGCCTGCATCAATCTCGTCCCAAATCTCACCATCATCGACCTTCTTTTCTCAACCTCGCGACTCGGCCCCTGTTTAGTCTTTCTTGTTACTTTTTCCTCCTCATTTTTCTTTCCCTCTCTTTTCACCGCGTATTATTCCTAATATTTTCTTCTAATATATTCGTTTCTATCTCGTCACACTGCCGCACATCTTTTGAGGCACCATCTCAAGATGGTGGTGTACCTACTCGTTCCCTAGGAATTAACCTCCAGTCGATAGTCCCTAGCATAACTTACACAGCATATACCTAGTTTTTTTCTATATTCACCTCCTGGAACCGCCAACCTTCCGTGTTGCGGTCCTCGACAGTCGCTTCTGCTCTTCCTTCCCTCCGCCGCTGCCTCTATCTTGAGAATCTTCCTAAGGATAACCCTAGAACCTCGCAAAGACCCCTCTTTCGCCTCCACGATGGATCCTGAGCCCACACACCCGAGGCTGCGGTGGCGCCCTCGCTCGTACCTATGTGAACTCACCCTAAAGCCCACTACGATATCCTACTACAGCGACGTCGATTCACTCCGCGAAGCCGTCTCTAAACGATCGGGAAGAGAGGTCTACCTAATCACCCGTATCCGCGCCTCTCCTTCTGCCCCGTCTTCTTCTGCCGTCCCGACTTCGGCAACATCCGAGCCTCCCACGGTAACCTGGACCATTTTCAAATATCGAAACCGCACCTTCTTCCAGGTTCCTTTCCAGAAAATTCGTCTCGACGGCCTGCCCCTCGGCGGCCACCCTCTTACGCCTTGGACTTACATCCTTGGCACCGACGGCCACCTTGGAGAGATCGCCTGGGTTGAAGACGGCTACTTTGCGCGCGACGCTGCTCTACCCGCCAAGGAACCTTCTGCCGAGCCCTGGATCGAGGGCATCGTGCCCTTCGAACTGGCGAATAACGGCCGTCTGCTCGTCTGGACACCAAATATCATGTTGTGCCCCTCCATGGACGATCTTGGCCCCACCCTCGCTTGGGTACGCACTGGCCTACTGTCCAATTTCAAAATCAAGGCCGGCGGCTCCCTGCACTCTTGGTCTCGGGTAGCCATCACCGAGGGTGTGCACATACTACCCCAGAACCTCAAGACACTACAGGGCGCGCAAGACGAACGCCCCGCCGTCTACGTGCAGAAGACAGCAGATGGCAAGGAAATCCAGCTCGGCCTGCTGGTGCGAGGTGGCTCCGGCAACACGATTCGCGAGGTGAACCAATTTGCCTGGGAGCGGGGTCTAGCCTTCCCCGTGCTTAGTGGATTCGATGGTCAGACCCTCGGCGGTATGTTCAACACGGGCACCCACGGATCCGTCATCACGTCGTCGCACCTCGCCGATGTCATCATCAGCATTGACCTCGTACGCGGCAACGGCAAGCTCGTACGTATCGAGCCCTCTCCCAATACCGGCGCCGTCACGGACCCCACTGCTTTCCAGACCCACTTCCGCGACGCCCGCCTCATCCAGGATGACGACTACTTCCATGCAGCTCTCATCAACATGGGAACCATGGGCATCGTGCGGTCCTACCTGCTCCGGTTGACGCCCAAGTTCTACCTCAAGGAAGTCCGTACCCTCAGCTCTATCGCCGAGGTTAAGGCTAAGCTGGCTGGTGGCAAGATTTACCAGCTTGCCGGTGTCGACGGCGCTCCTCCTCCCTCTGAAATCGCCAAGACGACGCCCGTCATCTCTAACGGCAACGACGGCGGCTTCGACCACCACCCTAGACCCGCTTACCACTTCGAGGTTCTCATTAATCCTCACAGCGACAAGGCCATCATCACCACCCGCCACCCCCTCACCCTGGCCCCGTCCGAGGACTCAAAGTTTGGGTTCCAGCCCCCAGGGAGGGACCTGATTCGCACGCTCGAGATGCCCGCGCGTTTCAGCCGTCCTGCCCTATCGACGTGGTTCCAGGAGCGCTGGGGTTATGTGCTTGTGCACGCCATTGATACACTCATTGCTCTCTTCCCACGCCTCATTCCGCGGCTCAACGACTCGGCCATGGATACACTCCTAGACGATGCGTACATTGACCGCAGCTTTAACGTGTTTAATATTGGCGCCGGCACGAATGCCATTCCTGCGTTTGCTTGCACCATTTATGTACCGTTGGCCGAAGACAAGTACCTCGTTGCCCTTGACGCCGTGAGGGAACGAGCGCGTCAGTTTGCTGCTAAGGGAAAGCATAATACGGCGCCAGCGGCCATGAGGTTTGTGGCCAGATCGAAGGCGCCGTTGGGTGTGCCGGATGATTCATGCGCCTTTGAGTTTATCTTTACGGCGAGTACGAAATACGCGCAGGAGGTTGTGGATGGGTACGACGCCGCGTTAAGGGTTGCGTTGAGCAAGAGCGGGAGGAGCTCGAAGAGGAATGGGAAAGACTCAACAGAGGATGTTTCAAATGAGAAGGATGAGGCAGTAGAAGACGAGGGGGAAGTTGTAAGGGTGCATTGGGGGCAGATGATGAGAGATCCGGATGAGGAGAGGGTGCCGAGGATGTATACTGGCTACAAGAGGTGGAGGGAGATCCGGGATGAGTTGGATCCCGAGGAGACTTTTTTGAACGATTGGCAGGTGAGGATATTGCCTCGAGTATAAGGGCGTTGCTACTGTTTTATATGGGCATGTACATGCACAGATTGATGGGAAAAGCTGGAGTTTTATACCACTTGCCATTGAACTTTTTTCTTCTTTTGGATTGGAATATCGTTGTGGATGGGTAAGGAATACCCATGAAATTATTACCTGAACACTATAGCCGCACATATACCTGTACTCATATACCGTAGCTGATTATCGAATCCATTTTGGACAAAGGAGATGAAGCACGATTTCCAGAATTGAAAGTCCGCACGGCGACCTGTCGGTTACGATCAGCCAACAAGACCTCTAGTACCTCGAGAGGAGAGAGGATGGAGTAGTCCTGCCAAACAAATAGATTGAAGGACTACGGATAACAGAACAAATGATTTAAATTTCTAATCACCGCCCACATATGGATGGATATATCCGTAGATGTTTGCTTCTATACGATGCAAACCGAAAGTAAATACAACGAAAAAGAGAAAGAAGAATAAAAACGAAGAACGGACGCAGGCCATCGAGTCAACATCTCCCAAGAATGAATGCGATCTCATCCGGTGTCCACGGAGTATTAAACAACAATACTATCCACAAATGCATCATGCCCATGCAGTAATTAATACGCTCTTAAAAAAAGAATCCCACGCTCAAACTCCACAAACGGGGTGCACCCCAAACAACCATTAACAAAAGACCCAGCCTCCCACTAACATCCCGCCAGCCCATCTGCGCCCTCTGAAGCTTCACCTCCGCGCCCTTACTCTCCAACAAATCCGCGTCCAAAACCTCGGCGTCGTTCCCCTCGTCGGAGACGCCGAGAATGGCATTGACAGCGAGGCGCGTAGCCTCGTGGCACTTTGCCGCGATCCAGATGAAGGCCACCGTTATGGGGACGCGCTGAAAGGAGAATAGGGCCTGGGATAAGAGGGAAGAGGGGACTTTACGCGGCCAGATGGTGAGGAGGCGGGTGCCGCTGTCTATGAGCCACACGTGGTGGTGGAGGAGATATAGTTCTAGGGGAATCTTACCCAGGAATGCCGGGAGGGCGAGGTATGGTCCGTTCTGAGTGCTGCGGAGGTATAACACGCAGAGAATCGGAATCCACGAGAGGAAAAGGTGGCAGTTTTCGTAGGTATCTCGGTACCGAATTACCACGTCCGACAAGAGGATGAAGCCCACCAGGCCGAGGACGGCGGCCGTAAAGACGGTAAATATCTTCTTGGCTAATTTTCCGTTTTCAAACCGGGAGTGTCCATGGCCGGATATGGCGATGATTACGTCGTCGAGAAATGCAGAGAAGGAATCCGAAGGGGGCGCATGGTGGAAGCTAGGTGGCGGTGAAAACTCGCGGTTCCGGAGTTGCGCGGCGCGGTGGACGACGCCGGCGGAGATGATGCCAATGAATGGGGTTATGCTGTCGAATGCTAGTTCTCGGGCCATTCTGCCTCCGTCCCAGGAGGTGCCTAAGATTATGTTTGCGAGGCTCAAGAGGGTTTCGAGAAGGCCAAGGTGTAGGAATGCTACGTTCACGAAGAGCGCGCCGGCGGCGGTTTTGAGGAAGAGGGAGAGGAGATCCTCGTTGGAATGTTTATGGGAGGCGATGATCGTGAAGGTAGTCAGGAACCAGAACGAAATGAGCGGGGCGAAATAATATGTTGTCCATGGCGTGGAAAGAGTAAAAGCGAGGAGGCAGCTCATGAGGTTGAGCCGGAGCAATACAGTCGCAACTCTGCGAAGCGAGTAGTCATTTGTCGTCAGGAAGTAAGTCGCGTGGCCGTACGCAGAGAGGAAAATATATCCGGCGATGGCAAGGCGGAAGACTTTGTAGGCACCTAGACTCGAGTCTCCGTCCTGCTGGCTGTAGAGCAGGATGAGGGCCTGTAGTATTCCCTTGAACTCATCCGAGTATTCGCGCGCTAGCGCAGGCGGGTTCTTTGTCGACGGTCTCTGTTGTTGACGGGGTGTAAGTGTCATGAACGCAAGAACAATGAATCCGATGAATCTCCAGATAAACTGCGTCGAGTCCCATACACGATTCACGCCAGTGAACATGTGTGTCCTATCGGCCAGGTAGCTCAGCATCGCCGCCAGAGAAAGTGGCGCAACCAGCATCCACACCCAGTTATCCGTTACGGTCTCACCCCGTGCCTTTATCAAAGCTATAGGCGTCGCAACAATCCCAATAAGCAAAATGGCAATCTGTACAAAATTGGGCCTAGCTGTCGCCCGGCAAGCGAGCGGTTTGGCTCCCGCGACGTCGGCAGGAAGACCAGCGTTACACCGCACATTCAACAAGACGTTGACGGCTCTCTCCCGTACATCCTTGGTGACATGGACTCCATTGACGTTATATGCATCCTCATTACCCTCGGTCATCTGGTTAAACCCCCACGGGATATGCGACTGCGCCGATCCGGGAAGGCTTCGCAAGTAGCCGTTCATCGCGTGAAACTTTTCGGGGGTCATGGTCTGCTTCCGGGACGGCGTCAACCTTTTATAAAACGGCGTCGGAGCCGGAACAACGACCAATTGATTTGGAATAGACGCAAAGGAATGTGGCTGCGCGGCCAACCAAGGCGCCGAAGCTGGATAGAGCTCCCCATTCAGGTAAGGCAACAAAGGGTCGACGCCCGCCCGGAAGAGATCCATGTACTCCGCGCCTCCATGTCGCGTCGCCCACAACCCCGGCGACCCAACCGCCAACAGTGCTGGCGCATCCTTCCGCGCATCCTTGCGCTTCGTCCCGCCAGCATGTGGTTTGAAGGGCACCAGCTCGCGCGCAAACGACGTCGAGTTCAGCCACGGATCCCAGATGTACTCGAGCCTCACGCCCTCGGCTTCGAGGGACAGGTTCGTCTCTTTGTCTTCGGAGAGGTGGAAATCTAGCGTCGCCAGTTCCTGCTTAAAGTGGTCGAGGTGGTTGGCGGCTGCCCAGTAGAGCTGACGCATCCAAGAGTCGCCTACGAAAATGATGCGCCGGCCTCGGAGACATGAGACTGTGTCGTCGCGAGAGTATTCGTGTAAGGTGCCGTCGTCAGGGGTCCAGTGGAGAAAGGGTCGCTTTGGGTCGGGACTAGTCGCCCAGGAGCCAGAATGAAGAATTGACTTGCATTTGTATGCGTCATGGCGCGCTAGAGGCAAGACAAAAGGCCAACGGTTAGTGTCACGTTGAAGAAGTCGGTAGTGGTGGTGTTCTAGGTACCCGGGATTAACGGTTTGGGGAATCCCTAGATTGCTCGAGGAAAAATCATTTCAAGACTGGAATTAACTATTAAAAAAAAAAAAAAAAAAAAAAAAAAAAAAAAAAAGGGACAGCTAACCTCGGTGAATATATTGAAAGGTGATTGAAAGTAGGACGAAGCAAATCGAGACGCGGACGAGAAAGTTGCGCAGAGTCGAGAATCTGGCCAGGCCGAAGTTCGTGTAAGAGGCGACCATGGTCACTATCACTCGCCTCAATCCTACTAGGGAGATGCGGCGCCAGAGTCAAACATTGAAGTGAACACCATGGGGATTAGTCGGAAATACCCATGAGGGCGAACTGTAGCAGGGAAAAGGAGGAGAATAGACACCTCTCCTTCTCCGTGTCAACGACAAGCTGAGAAGGAAATGAGAAAAAAGTGGCACAGAAGCGAGAGAGATGGAGATGTAAGAATGGAAAGAGGTCACGCGAGGAAGAAAGAAGAACGTGAAAATAGAACGAGGACAGGACGGGGTCATTTCCATTCTCCAGGACGCAAGCGAAGGGACCCCAGATGCAAGCCAAGACAAGCGCAGGAGAGAACGGACAAGGAAGTCAAATAAACTACTACATCGAAATGTGCTCGAGGCCTAGAATGTACTAGATGGGAAGTATTATACTATGTTGAGTAGCAATGGTTGAACAGGAGTGTTGCGTGAACGGAGGAGATGCACACCCACACGCGGCAACCGAAATGCCAAGACCGAAAGAAGGAGGCGTACTACCCCATTTTGCAATTGTATCGACTCTTCCTTATCAGACTTGTCTGGGCATTCAACGAGTTGGCGCAATTGGACGGATGCCAAGCATTCATCGAGCAGGGAAACCTTCAACTTGGGTAGTCCTTGATGGTGGTCAGATATCACACATCACTTGATATCGTAGAGCATGCGAGAATGCTTGATCCTTAAAGTGCCGAGAGGACATGTCGATCATGATGCTACGTCAAACCGCTCTGTAGTGTATGTATTCTGTTATTCCAGGACGCCCTTTGTTCCCTTGTATAACAATCGTCGAGGAGCGGGTCGTAATCTGCCATAGTCGAGGAACCCAGCGTTCCAGGAGGGGCAGCTAATTTGTTTTTGGCTGAATGTCACCAGCCTCGTCTGGTCTAAACCAGGTGCAAGCGGGTCGGATCTGGAAGGCCGCCTATCCTGCAACCCTTGCCAAGCCCACCAAACAGACGGGCCATGAAAGGGGGGACTTTCCCCGCGCAGGATGATGGATGGTCCCTCATTCCAATGCGTTCTCGTTCTAAACTGCACGGGTATTATTAGTATTCACACATGAGAGAGTTGAGAGAAATGTGCGATTGAACGCAGAACCATGCGACTTCGGGGTGCCGGGATAAGGTCTGAGTTCCAGTGTCAAGGTATACACGTGTACGACTTGGTCCATTGAGCTTCGGCGTGGTAGTTCAATGATAGGCTTTAGAGATTGTGACGGGAGAAGAGCGGAGCTGTCGGGACGCGTGAGAAAGAGAAACCACCAATGTTGACTCCACGACGTCACCATTGCTGCTTGAAGGACGCCAGTGCGGTGTGAATAACGTTGGTCCATCCTCGTCCGGGTTTCCTAAGACCTGGAATGCCGAAGAATCCGTCTTGGCCTTGGCAGCAGCCTTCGACTGAAATTTCAATGTTGGACAAGGAATCCAAGCCTCAAGCCACAATCGGCAAGCCACGGTATTTCGGACCCGGCAATGATTAGTCATTTGCGCACAATGTTCAATTACTTCGCAAACTGCACAACGTCAAACCACTCCATCCCACAAACAACCTTAGACGCTCAGCCGGACGGTGTCAGATTTCTACTTTGTAATTACACTTCCGTGTGCAGGATGCCTCGTGCAACACATTGCTATCCCAATCCGCATGTCGTCTCACCGACCCTCCCTCGGCTGAAACTTCCGAGTCTCACGGCATCGTCAGAGTGACACCAGCTCGGCCAAACTCGCAAACGAGCAAGCAAATGCCTCATTCATTTTGTGTGGCTATGCCTATACTCCGAAATTGTATACCGTCTCCTGCCTCGCTCGATCAGCTCCGCCATCCCCACTGCTGATCTTGAGCTGGATACGCAAGGCTGGGCTCTGCTTAGCCTCACGTACTAGACAAGAACGAATCCGACGGTGTTTTTTGAGTACGGGACCTTAGCTTGTAAAGTGAAGGCTTCCCGTAATTTATCTGCCGTTACATATGAAGACGAATACCAGTAAAATCCATAATCCGAGAAAACAGTAGTTAGGTGGTGAGGCAGAAGGCCCGATGCCATTGTATTCGCAGTAGCTATGCAAGAAACAGATATGCCGCCCATTTTCATCTAATGTCTTTCCCATACTTCCAAAATATAACGCCCGTAGTCCTATGTTTGTGCCATGATATTCCCGTGAAACCTGTGCCATATATCCCATGCTTGTGAACATATAGTCTCTCTCAAATGGTTTCCTCCACTTCTTGTGCCATTACCGCAGATGCGTCTTCAATATCCCTTGTCTGTCTATGACATCTCCTCTAGACTCCTATCGATCATTGTAATCATCCATCATTTAATTTCGTTTCTTCTTCAAGACTCGACGCTGTTTCTCCTCGAAGTACAAGGGCTAATCGGCTCGTCATCGAGACTCAGCCGCCTCGTCGCACCAAAAGTCATAGTGAACGGCTCAAATATGGCCTGATATTGTAGATTCGTCTCCGTAAAGGGCTTCTCCCTCGGATCCGGTGTCGGACTGCTCGCGGCACCGCTAGGCTTCTTCTCGGCCGTCCTCCGCCGCCAGGAAAAGGCCTTGAGGCGGGAGGATAATCTCGAGGGTGATTCGGGTGCCGAGGCAGCTGTGGAGGTGGATGGCGTCGGACTGGAGGCGGAGAGGATGGAAGGTGCGGAGGAAGAAGATTCGGAGGAGAGACGGGAGCCGGTGAGGGCGCGTTTGAATTTGTCGCGGATGGCCATGGTGGGCGGTGACGAGGAACGAGATGAGGAATTGTTTTTGTGTGGAAGACCTCTTGGCTGACGGAGAGGTGGAAGGTCTGCGAGGAGGTTGGAGGATATAAGAGGTTGTTTCCTTTTATTTGGATGCTGAAAGGCGCTGCGAGAGAAAAGGTTTGTTGATGTGCGTTGTCCTCTCTCTTTTTGGTTCTGTATGAGCTGGTCCTGTGGGTAGGCGTTTGTGTGCTTATGCCGGTATCCGCATGTGTAAGGTCGATCGATGGCTCGGATCTCTATTGACTTGGCCCACCCAACGGTTTGTTTGGAAAAGGGAAAAGAAGTCTAATCCACAAGAACCAGGGGCGTAGTTGAGGCTTGGTCAACTCCTATATATTGATCGTCTTTGGCTACGTGTATAAGGTACGTGTCAGCCAGCTCGGGGTGTGGGCCATTCTTCGGCGTTTTTCAGAACGGCCTCTCCAGGAGGATGGTTGGGGGTGTAGTCTCTTTTAAAGTTTACCCTGGAGGGGAGGGGGCGCGAAGCGGATTTAAATGCGGCGGGGAGTAGGATGAATCCCGCCTCCGAGGATCTCGACCTTCTGAGACCAAGAAGGAAACAAGCGAGGTTTTACGGTTTACGGTGGGAGGAGAATTGATGAACTGGCAGACTGGCTTCCCCACCATTACTACAGGTTAGTTGAGGACGCTGTAATTTCTCAACTCCCCCACTGGTAATAAGTACCAATTGATTGATATTGAGGTACACTATGTGCTGAGAGGCTACTGGACGATGGGGCCTGAGAAGTACCCCGTACACTGGGTGGACACTGAGTGGTACCCGCTGGGCCGGGTTCCAGCGTCCTCAAAGCCGACGGCGCAGCCAATCGGGCCTAAGCAGATGCTCCAGTCGCTGATACTCGGCCTGACCCCCCCCAAGACCCCCCAACTTTCTCCTCCTGTCCTTTGTGTTCTGTTATCTGGACCAGCTACTGCAAACACGATCACGTTGCCATCCCTCGAGCCTTCGGTCAAGAGAGACAAAAGGAGAAAAAAAAATTTTCCGATCGAAAAGATGAAAAAGATCCTGCAAGCCACCTCGATCATGTCCGCGGAGATTAGCCCGATCCCCATTGATCCTCATCGAGTTCCCTATTCCGGACACGCGCGAAGGCTATTGGCCACGCCAAGTTCGCCATTCCCGCTCTCTCGGTCTAGCTTGCGATTCTGCGACTCGTTCTCCATTCGGTCTGCCCGGTAGGGTGCCATGGATCGAAGGAAAAAAGTACGCATAGGCTGCCCCAGGTACATCGAATATTGGAAAGAACGCCTAAAAGTACCGAGAATGGCTTCTTTCTTCGAAGAGGTGTGCCGGCTTCCAGAACTCTTGACCGCCACCCTACTCCTAGAGACACTCCCATTGGACAATATTCAGATGAAGGAGAAGAACGAAAACGCCACCCAACCTAAAAAAAAAAAACTGTATTTTAATCCCTCCATAAGCCGAAGGCAGAACTGCGAACTAGTTCCGCCGCCTGTGATTTGTCCACTTCGTCCGCCAATCCGGGAGCTTGTCGGAAAGGAGAAGGTCAAAACGAATCTGGTACGAGGGCTTCCGTCCTCATCTTTCAGTGTTCTAGAAATGCAACGTCTCTAAGATCTAGCGGCGCCGCTATGTATGCACCCCCCGCCTTCTGACACTGATAATGCCTCGTAGTGTTATCTTGGGGGGTGGCAAATATGCCCGAGGATATCGAAGATTATGGGGTTCCCCGGAAATTCGAAGGACTGAGGTAATAAATTACAGTAATAAATGAGGGTACGCTCCAGTTTACTCGATATCGAGGAATGATTCCGAAAAGATAATATCAATCAACGGATAACCACACTAGTAAACTCCATCAAATAGTTAAACTAGTTTGAAAGAAAACTACAAAAGTACAATCTACGAAGTGACTTTGCAGACACCGGATCCCCCGAACACTAACGAACCAGGCCGAATCCGGCCTCCAAGACCCCGAAAACTCCGACTCTGACGCAAATCATGGATACGCCGTCACCTTTTCTACGCCACCGTGTCACCTCCTTTCACCTCGACACACACTCGCCGCCAAACACCCCAGAACTCCCACACCCTAACCCGCCCACGACCGTAACTCCCCAAGCCAGCGCCGCCGACTCCCACGCAAGTTCGCCGTCCACCAATCGCACTTCGTCTCCTTCCGGGATGACAGCGCGCTCCTCGGCCGCTGGCACATAAGCGTCCTCCGGCGCGGGGGTTGTCGAGACACTCTTGCGCTTCCGAGGTCTCCTACCCCGTTTGCGCGGAGTTGTTGGTGCTGGTGCGTCCTCATCCGTAGTGGGCTGCTCGGCCTTGACTTTCGCGGGCCGACCTCGCCGTCTTTTGGGTTCGGCCGAGGGTGATGGCGTCGGGGGTTCGACCTTGATACTGGCCTCGGCAAGCATCTCTTCGCCGGCCGTAGCATCGTGCGCTACGGCGTGGGCTTCGATTTTTGGGTAGAATGGAACGGCTGACGAGAGAATATCCTCAGCCGTAATAGCCCGGATTGCTGACCATAGTCCGAGACTGAGGGCGGACAGGATTACGTCCCCGCTGGCACGGCTGATGACGGGATGGTGGTACAACGCACCAAAGATCCGGCCAAGGCCGTATGTCGTCCGCTCCCATAGAGCAAGCTTTTCAAGGTCAACGTTCATCATGGCACTATGTCTATGTTGGGAGTCATCCACCACACGAGCTAGTGCCCAGAAGGTTGTCCTGCCGTGGAGGACCAAACTCATCGTCGACAGTAGCCTGAAAAGCGCGGAGAAGGAGTTGTACGCACGGTGAGGATGCGAGTGAAGGGTGCCCCACGATTCGGGAACTATATAAGGCATCAGGATGGGCAAGAAGTCCAGTCCCCTCGTGATCAGTAGTAGACGCGTCGATAAACCCGTGCCAGCTATCGCAGGGGCTAGAAAAATACCCGCTCCGCTTAGTGAGTAGCCGATGAGGAATAGCAGTGGGTGGGGGCACCAGTTGACGGGTTTCGGCGGGAAGATGGAATCGCGGATGCTAATGTATCCCGACGCCGGAATCGTATCATCCGGACGTGAAGGGATCGGCGCTGGCGTCAGGAGCAGTGCGATGTAGAACAAGTTCTGCGCAAAGGAGAGCCCGACGAGATGCGCAAGCCCGAGATACGCCCACGTAAATGGAATATTTCTCCGTCGTCCCTCGATGGATAGAAGAAGGGACCATGGAAGGACAGCAAGATCAAGTTGCTGGCCCCACCAGTGGCGCCTCGCCTTTTCAGCGAGAATCTCGAAAGCATCGAGGTAAACAGGGGTATCAATCAGCCATCGCGACACGTATTTCAAGGTATGATTGTCACGGAAGGGTAGAATGCCATCGTTTCCCCAAAATCTAGGTAGGGACAAGTGAGTGGTGGATTCATAGTTACATGCGGATATGGGGTGAGTCTGCATCGCATACCTAACAGGTAAGGGAATATCGTTCTCTACGGCCCAGACCTTGTAGGAGAGAATTGCATATGTAAAAGTCGTGTACGCGGCATAGGCGAAACTCGCAGCGGCAAGCGCCGCAAAGATGGGCATATGGCGCTGGCGGTGCGATTTCCTCAAACGAGTCTCTTGCGACGGTGGGAGCTCAAGATAGGACCGGTACAAGCTCCTCGACACAGCGAAAGTCAGATAGATGACGAGGATGATATGTCCGGCAGCTATTGCGACAGGCGCGTGCCTCCTGCAAGTGTTTATTTTCCTAATTAGCGATCTTTTGGATGCTCGTGTGCCTGGGGGTAAGCAGGCGATACGTACCGAAGCAAGAGCATCAGTGGCTCGGTATCCACATCCATGTTGACTGCGATCGCTTGTTGATGTTCGGAGGAGATTAATATCTCGTCGACTTGTTATGAAAGGCGATGAAGCGTACGAGTCGTCTAGCATTAGACAGACGAGTACTATTGTCCATCTGGGTAGCGATCATGGAAGAAAAGGTCGAGATGCGGAGATGCTTGAGCTTGGCTGCTCTCCGCGGTAAACAACCCCAGATGATGACATCAACATGCTCCCATCCGCCACTGGTAGCTCCTGCCTCCAGTGCGGTCTTCACCAACTTACTGATGTAGCTTCATCACATGATCAATCATCGAAATCGAATCGACTCAGGGATAAACTGATAAAGTTGCCATAGCACATTTTGTTGTGCAGGTCCAGGGTCTAGTCACGCCAGTTCAGGGACCATGTCTAATTACTTGGAGGATATTCCTCCCCATTGAGAGCTGTCAATTTTAAGCCTGGCTGGATGATAGTTCTCTAGAATGTATGCGACTAGACATGCTTCGATAAGTGCTTCGTTGCAGTTTGGCTGGAATGAGAAGGGATTATTCAAGAAAGAGGCTAATATCGATTGATCTCTGGACTTTCTTTGTCTTGGAAGTTTTGAGCTGTTTCTCTGTTACTCTGAGTGAAAAGAAGAGAGTGCATTGCACCATTTGATCAGTTTCTGCAATGCAAGTGGGCTTTGGGAGCGCGAATCATTGGTCCCCAATTGGCGGGTCGCAAACAATCCCCATTCCACCCACTATTTTATTTATAGCCAGGCCAGGCCAAGATTGTCATGGCGCCAGATAATACGAAGTAGACAGCCGGACACCAACATTCCGACGACATCACCTCCGCAACTACTTCAATCCCGCGATCGCGGCTCTCAACACTGCCCCCAGCAACTCCAGCTTCCCCCTCCGTCCCAATCTAGGCTGCGCCGACCTCACCAAAGATCATGTACCACCTCGCGAAGGGCCTCTACCTTCTCGCGACAAGCAAAGAAGGCAAGAAACACACAGCCCTGCTCTATCACACCCACACACATTCTCTCCCCCGCTAGCAGTCCGCTAACCTCCCAGGCAGAATACTCCGTCATCCTCCTCGGTCTCGACAACGCCGGCAAAACCACCTTCCACGAACAAGTCAAAGCCCTCTTCAACCCCGACCACCCCTCCCCGCGCCTCAAAACCGTCCCCACCGTCGGCCAAAATGTCAGCACCATCACCCTCCCCGACATGTACCTCAAGATCTGGGACGTCGGCGGCCAACTGAGTCTCCGCAAGCTCTGGCAGAGCTACTACTCGTCGTGCCACGCCATCGTATTCATCGTTGACAGCACCGACATTGGCGACGGCGACCTCGATGACGGCGAGGACGACGATGACGAGCGCGGCGAACGTGCCATATCGGGAAGGCTTGAAGAATGTCGGCTTGTGCTGGAAGATGTGCTGCAGAATGAGGAGACGGAGGGCGTTCCGTTGTTGATATTGGCGAATAAGCAGGATAGGGAGGATTGCGTGGAGGTGGTGAGGATAAAAGAAGGATTGGTGAAGAAGGTGTTTGAGGGGGAGAAGGCGTCGAGTATTCGTGATTCTAGGGTGCTTCCTGTTAGTGCGCTGACGGGGGCTGGTGTGAGGGAGGCTGTGGATTGGTTAAGGTCGAGAGTGAAGTGGAATAAGGAGTCGAGACCACCAGTCATGAGGTGATTGTACTGGAGAGGGGAAGGGGATAGCGGATTCCGATCTTGGGTCAGAGATGGAAGTGGTGTTTAGGAGCTTGGTATCTTTCTACATGGCGTTTGGGAACGGTCTTCTTCTTGGCGACGTCGATATGCCGATTTCTATGATTCGGTTTACTGCGTCTCGACTGGTTTGGGATATCAACAGCGTTTTGGCATCGCGTTAGGAGACGTTTGGAGGGCACTCTAGGGTATCTATTCTTGTTTTTATCTCGCCTTCTTCTCCTCCTTCTTTTTCCTTTTTTCTAGAATCATGCAGCTTTTCCCATCCGAAATAAAAAAAAAAAAAAGTCAACATCACAAGATCCAACAACCATCACCTCTCATTCTCCGCCGACAGCTGCGCTATGAGCCCGCCCTTATCTTTCCTCTTCGCATCCTCTGCCAACTTCGCATCCAGCAAGTCCGAAAACTCCCTCACCTTCGCCAACGCCAAATTCCCACACTGCAACAACAAAACCGCCTCAACCGGCGCCCCTCCCAGCTTCGAAACCTGACAAATCTCCCCATGCTTATTCATACCGATCGTACAATTCCCCGTCGCCACCTGCTCCTCCAACCACGTAGCATCGACAAGCATGCCTTTCTCCCCTTCCTCCCCAAAGAAGCTAAACGTCACGCAAAGCGGCGAATGCAACCAGCTCAACGGCACGGGCTCCCTCTCCGCCGCCGTGTATACCGTCACCTCCTCGCCCTCGGTGCTCGAGTCCGGCTTCCGGAAATGGCGCAGCGCTGCCACGACGGCCACGCACGCCGCGTCCACGAGGTTGCCGTCGAGAGAGAGCACGTGCACGTCCGCGCGCAGGGCCCAGCACTTCTTGCCCGCAATGAGGCAGAGGGATTCGATGTCGAGGGCGCCAGAGCGCCGGATCGTCTTTTCAAGGAGACGGGAGAGGAGGACTTCGCGCTCGGTGGGGCGGTTGACTTCGAAGGCTGGGGAGATTAGGGGGCTGAGCTCGGTGGTGATCGTGAAGATGCCGTCGAAGGGTCGGTCTGGGTAGGGGACTGCTACTTCGGCGGAGACTTTGACGAGGACTCTGTGTGGAAAATTGATGTTAGAGAGGATGGCAGATTTTATGGGGATTCTATACATATTATTTCCCCCCAATATCTAGGGAGTCAAAAGAGTCTTGCGCTTACCTCGTCTTTCCGAGCTGGACATCTGCGACGCCATGTTCGTCGCCAAAAGTGAGCTCTAGCGGCCTGTAGTCTTCAAAATTCCTGCCATCGAGGCGCTGCTTCTCCTCAATTGCCTGAAGGACGAAAGCCTTTTCATTCAGCGAAGGCTCTGCTTCGCGCGGCATCTTTACGAACGAAAAGGAAAGCCCAATTCCCGCTTTGCGATCCTCGAACGAAGTCTTGTGTTAAAAGTTGCTGGTCCTGAATTCTATGGTGGGGGTGGTTGGCGGCAGTGTGTGGCGAAATTCTGCCGGGCGGTGAAGATATAATCCCAGCAAGCAAACCAGCATCACGCCTCAGTTTACCAGCACCATCACTTCACCTCCTTCCTACATCCAACACAACCACCGATTCATCCCGACAAACAACAAGATCTACCCAAAATGACTACGGCCCACAGACCCACGTTCGACCCAGTAAGTCCACTTCTTTTGACGATATCTCTCCTAAATTTCAAGTATTCTGCGCAACATTACTAACCGTTCTTCACTTTCCAGGCTCGCGGTCGCGAAGCCCTCCGCGGCTCAACCTACCACCAAATCACCCTCCCCGCCCACCTCCAACTCAAATACCGGAAAGCAGGCCAGGGTGGCTCAGCCTCCGACGCCTCCAAGCGCGACCTCCGCGCTGAGCTCCTCGCCGCCGAAGAAGCCCATTTCGCCAAGAAGAACGGTACCACCCGCCGCGCACCCACCTCACGCTCTCCCTCCCCCTCCGTCGAGGGCGATCTCAAGAGGACCAGGGAGGAACCCGACGAAGAGGAAGAGGAAGAAGACTTGGAAGCCAAGAGGAGGAGGATATTAGCGGAGACGAGAGCCATCGATGCTGACGACAGTGACGAGGAGAGCGACGAGAGTGAGGAGAGTGATAGCGATGACGATTCGGATGCGGAGCTGCAGAGGGAGTTGGAGAGGGTGAGGAGGGAAAAGGCTGAGAGGAGAGCGAGAGAGGAAGAGGAAAGGCAGAGGGAGGAGGAGGAGCAGAAGGAGAGGGATATTGCGTTGGGGAATCCGTTGTTGAATAAGCCGGATTTCAGTATTAAGAGGCGGTGGGACGATGATGTTGTTTTTAAGAATCAGGCGAGGGACACGGATGATCGGGGGAAGAAGAAGGAGTTTGTCAATGTGAGTTACGGCACTTTTTTTTTTTTTTTTTTTTTTTTTTTTTTTTGGTTGCTTGCTGGGCTGGGGATATACGCTAACCTTTTTGCTAGGATATGCTTCGATCTGACTTCCACAGGAGATTCATGAACAAATACGTCAGGTAAACAGGCACGGACGAAGGGACGTTATTGCGAGGCTTTCGGTTACGGTACAATGCATTTCTTTTCCAGACTTGGGTAGGTCTTAGAAACCTCAACCAGGCTCCAGTTATCATGTTAGAAAATAATAACACTGTCGAATATTTTCCCTTTTTTCCCTTCGCTGCCCAGGATCTTGTGTGAGAGTCGCTCCCTCACTTCTCAGCCAGAATATTCCGCTCCAGAGCATCAAAAGCCCCCAAAATATTCCCATACCTCTGAAACAACCCATCCCTAAACCCCTCGTCCACCTTCTGAATCGCCCCCTCCTCCTTCCACCTCTTCCCAATCAACTCATCAAAACTCTCCCCCTCCGCCCTCTCCAGCGCCCACACAGCCTTATACGCGCCCCCCAAAGCGCAAGCATTCCCCCCGACGTCGAGCTTATATACGCCCTCCGCTCCGCCGAGGACCTCACCCATGGTGCGCGCGATGGCGGGGTTTAGGGAGCCGCCGCCGACGAGATACACCCTCCGAGGCTGTGGTGGGAGACCCTCGCGGGGACTGTGGACGAGCTTCTGGGAGCGCATGCGCATGGAGAGGGCCTGCGACTCGACGATGGCTCGGGCGTCCTTTTCGGGGCCCCACCCGTCCTTGTCTTGGAACTCGGAGAGGTCGCTGCCGTCGGCGGCGTTGCAGGTATATCGCCACGTGCCCGCGCGGATGTTGGGCACGATCTCGGGGAGGTAGAAGTACAGGCCGAGCTTGGCCCTGTCGGATTCAGATGCGACATCGAGAGGCGGCGAGTCAAGGACGGCTCTGTTGAAGTTGGCCCACGGGTCGCCGGATTCCGGCTTCGGGAGAGTGTCGCGGACTTTTTCTCGCGCGAGGCCGCCGTTCTTGTAGCAGAGCATGAACATGTATTGACCCGGGGTGGTGGGGTGATTGAAGAAGTGGTAGGCGGGATCGGGCTTGTAGTAGGGCGTGATCATGAGGAACGTGGTCGAGGTGCCGAGGGAGACGATGGCGTCGAGGGGTCGAAGTGGGAGGGCGAGGATGGTGGCCGGGTTGTCGCCTGTGAAGGGTGCGATTTGGCAATCGGCGCCGAAGCCGTACTTGGAGACGAAGTAGTTATCGATGGAACCAATGCTTCCACCGCCATCCTTGCGTACCTCTCCGAGTTTCTGGCGCAGCTCGTCGACGCCGTCCGGGCCGGCTGTGAGCTCTAGGAGGGATTCGTTCCATTTGGCATTGGGAATGTCCCAGAGATTCATGCCGCAGGCATCGCTAATATCCATGGGGGCATACTTGCCGAGAAAGACGGATGCGAGGAAGGACGAAACGAGGGCGATGCGCTCAGTGTTGCCGTACATCTCAGGAAGCTTACGCCTAAGCCGCATAATTTGGGGACCAGTGAAGCGCTACATCGAACCGTTGCAAGTTAGCGTTCTGCCATATTCAAAAAGACAACGTAATAACCAGATCCGCGTCGCAAACATACGTGATGAGCCCCGCTCCCCGTCGCCTCCGCCAGCTTCTCCGAGTCGCCCAGCTTAGCATTATACTGCTCAACCTCCGCATCCGTACTATGATCCTGCCAGTTCGGCGCATACGGATGCGAGAACGAATCCTTGAGCTGCTCAACAAGACTCTTCTCAGCACTAAGGGCGCCGAGCTTTCCCTCGGCACCGCGCGCCCAGTACACGCTCCCGTGCTGCTGGCACGAACCGCTGATGCCCTTGATATTCTCGAGCGAGATCTTCTCCTTGAGACGAACAAGAACAAGGTCGAGAGCCTCGAGCCACATGGCTACGGGGGCGTAGACCTCGCTCTCGGCGGGCACGACGTAGACCCCCTTGGTGATGCCATACTTGGCTCCGAAATCGCCGTCGAAGTCGACCTTGGCTTCGGCGATGACGTGGAGGTCGGATGTGATTACGATGGCTGCGGCATTGTCAGGGTTTTGTTGAACAAAGTCAAAGTCACGTCGAGACTTCATATTCGTAGAAAGACGGACATGGAGAGATGTAAGGCATCACAAGGGGAGTTCGCGTCTACCTTTGAGTTGCTGGGTTGAGAGGTCAAACCCCAGGTACTGCGGACCGGAGGTCATGGTCATTCGGTTCGAGACACAAGGCTACGCAAATTAAAGAAGCGAAAGGATGCACAGAAAGAAGAGATACAATTGGAAACTGGTATCTATGAAGTAGGAAGGAGAAGGATGGCCGAATATACAGACGAGCTCAATATGCCCAATACGACGGGGGAGTATATGCAGGAAGCTGTATGCTCATGTGCTTGATCTTGAGGCTCTGCGCTCAGAGGAGGCGAAAAAGGGCGTGAGGTTTTTTGTCTTTTGTAAAATTGCTCTGCGAAGACGATTTCGATTGCGCCGCTTGACAATGCCAAAAGACCGAGGGGGACATTGAACCATAGCTTAGGGGGAAATAGTGTACAAGTACATGATTTTCTGTCTAGGAAAAGGCGGCAGGAGCGATTCCGGATGAAAAGACTCGAGACACTTGGACCGACCTGGTGGATGTGGGGTCGCCAATCGCCAGAGCCAGAGCCACCAAATGGCGGGGTCATTGATGGATCGGATCGATAATTCGTACGCTTCAGTTCAGCCTTGTCCTTGCAGGGATCCGGTCGCTTGCATTTAGCCTAAAAGCAGAGCCAATGGAGGGGGCAGCCAGGCCAAACCAATGAAAATGAAGGGAAGAAGCGTTGCATCTGGACCGGCGCCACTCTGCGGGCGAACACTGAAAGTTTGGTTTTGAGCGCCACGATCGGAGTGGACCACTAAATCGGCGGACCCTTGCTCTGCACTTGTCGCTATGTCGTCAATGTGGTCCAGCCAGTGTGGTTCCAGAACCCCGAATATATATCGCGCAGGTATATACTTATATATAAGTGTATGTCGTCGTGAAATCGATTGAACGATAGCCATAAGCCAAGATGAGACCAAGACCACGCAGAAGAGTGTTCAAGTGCACAGGGATATCAATGTATAAAACTCAGCTCGACGGCCAGACTGCGGAGGGTGGCGGATTTTTTCAAATCGAACAGGTTGTTATTAAATTCAATGACGTTTCCGAGGCTGCCCATTACTATTACCATTTCCATTCGCATGGCCATTGCTATGGCCATTAGAATGTGAGTGGGAATGGCCCTCATGGTCGTGCTCGTGAGCTTCGGCCTCCTCCTCTTCGGCTGCGTCGGACTCAACAACCTCCGGACTCACCTCGCCCGAAACGAACTCGTCAAATTCTCGGGGAGGGGGCGCGTCACGGGACACGAATCGAACTCGTACCCTCTTTGCACCACGAATATGGGACCCGATTTGCTCACGCACGCCGCTCTCAATCTCTCGGACGTCCTCGACGGTCCATGTTCCGGGAACGGCGAGCTCCAGATCGATCAGGAAGTTTTGGCCCGATTTGGTGCCGGAAATGAGACGAAGCTCGACTTCGTGGCCCTCGGTTATGGAGCCAAGTGCTTTGTTGACTTGGAACTTGACTGATGTCTTGATCTCGTCGTCGAGACCCCGGTCGATGAGTTCGCGGATAGCGGAGATGGTGTTCTCGGCGCCGGCCTTCACAACGAGCATCGAAATTAACAGTCCTCCGACAGGATCAAGCCAAGCGGCGTTCTCGACGAAATTTGCTAGGACGACGGCAAGGAGTGTGACGACACCCGTCCAGCTATCGACACGGTGGTGGATGGCATTCGATGCGAGAACCGAGGAATGGCGTTCGATGGCGACCTTCATGGCTGAAGTGGTTCAAAAAAAAGTTAGCCTCCGGAGAAGACGGAATATACGGGATTTGCAATTTAGAGGAAAGAAAATAAACAGGGAGAGAAACGGAAAGAGAGGCGCTTACTAGCTCGGTACAGCCACTCCTTGAGGAGAATGGTGCCAGCGGCTAGCCATGCCGCATGCATGCTCGGAATACCGCCGTGCGAATGGCCGTGGCTGTGACCGTGATGGATAAGGTCCCCAACGACCGCGGGATCTATGCCGAGTTGCGCGATAAGAGCGAGAGTGCTACTCCAACCCATCATAAGACCGCCTGCGAGCAGCATTCCCGACACACCCAAAGAGCCCAAGCTCTCCACCTTGCCGTAGCCGGAGGGGAATCTCGTCGTAGGGTCTCTCGAGCTCCAGGAAACGGTTGCGAGGGTTAGGACGTCGGAGGCGAGATCGGTGACGCTGTGCCAAGCGTCTGCAATCATGGCATGGGAATGGAACACGTAGCCGCCGATGCCCTTGGCAATTGCCATGGCAAGATTGGAATAAAGCCCTATTCTCGTTATGCGTACGCCGGCATCGCCTTTATTCCTGGAGGTGAGGTAGGCATTGTCGTGATGATGGTGATGGTGGTGACCAATGCCACCGTGCTTGTGGTCATCATGGAGCTTCCGAACACCCATAATGTAAGGGATCAAAGAAAATTGCCTGGGAGACCGCAGCTGCAATGATAATCTTGTTGGCGTTGTGAAAATGAAGGTTTGCGACCGCCTACTACAGTTCAATAAATGTGCAGAAGAAGAAAGAGTCTCAAAACTTCGAGTGTGTTGTGGTTGATGTGTCCTCTTGGGGATAAAAAGGGCGGGTAAGAAGCTCCGAGTGCTTTGGAGGACAGCCAAAATCAGGGTTGGATTGTTTGGAGACGACGTCACGGTCGCAATGTGAGACGAGGGCCGCAGGCGCATGCCCGAGCCAAAACGTCGACTCTGGATCTGACATTGACACTGGCGGACACCCCATCTCAATCTCAAGCTCAAGCCCATGCCGGCACTAGGACCAGGACCGGGACCAGGACCAGGGACAATAACCGGATGAACGCCCCGAATTTGGGGTGGCATCCAAGTGCCAATCCATGCCCGCTGCCTCAAGGGCATTGCCCGGACGCGTGTGCAATTGCTTGTTCCAGATTGCTTGACGCTGCACGCATACGTATGTCTCTCCCAGGGCAATACGGAGAATTATTTTCCTATGCCGAGAGATGTGACGAGGAGGATGACGAAGCAACGGACGAAGCACGGGGTACCGTTAGTAATGGGCAGACACTGTATGGCTGATCCGGTATTCGCCCTTGTTGGAGGGGACAATCAAAGCCTAAAGCGCTGTTTTAGTGTCGAAAATTCAAATTGGGGGTCCGCAGGTCCGCACTCAATGGTGGGTTTCGCTGGTCCTTGCAGTTTGGGGGAATTTTCGGGGCCTCGGATAGGTGGAGGAAAACGGCCGGGGCAGGGTGGGAGTGCCTCAGTGCATCAAGGATGCGTAGTAATCAGTGACGGACTCCAATCTCGAAATTCAATTGTTGATTCAAGCCGATTGACGGCAAATCAGTAATCAAGCGACTCTGACGGGTTGGAAATTTTCAGGGAGAGTGGTAGGTGCACGTGCTTGCGACCTTAGCCAGGCAGTACTTCGTAGAGCCGTACTTGCAGGTCCTCGTTCGCGACGGTAGCCTGGCTTGAGATGATGTGCTGGTTTGCAGGGCGGTTGGTGGGTGTTTCCGGTGTTGAAATTACTGGCGCATTTAGTAACTTTTAGTAATAATGGGGCTCTGACGCGCTTTTTCTCAGGGGAGGCAGTAGCACAACGAGTGACTTGGGTCGGCGATGCATAAAAGGGGACCGGAGAAATCGGAGCGATCGGGAAGAAATAACGCTGCTCTGCCTGTAGTCGCCGTTCATCGCATATAAACTGGGTGGATGTGAGCCTTGGCTGGATATGCAACGGGATTCGAGCCTCGAGGTGAGGGAAGGGCGTACAGGACCAGACTTGAGTCGATGTCACATGCGGAGAGAGAACCAGAGTCCTTCCTTCAGGAGCAAGTGACGACTCAGAGGGAAAAGCTTTGTAGCCTGCTTGTTTTGAGGGATGAAGTTGGTAGAATTTGCCCAGGCACAATAGTTTCAAGAGCTCCGATAATAGGTCCTACATACGCTGGCTCGGGCCTTGGGTTTGGGGCCTGGGCCTGGGAGCAATGGTCTTTAGTATTTACAGCTTGAGTGCACCCCGTAATAAATGGCAGCTCTCCTCCAATCCCAGCTGCTCTCGGCCCCAAAATAGGACGGAATCGCACCACTTTCTCACACTAAGTCACGTGCCTTACAGGGGGAGATGACGACTTCCTTCGCATTTGTCCCTTTGCCAATCTCCCGCCTCGGACTCGCCCAGCCCAGACCGAAGAAGAATTTTAAGGACCGACCGAGAGTGGACAATTGCATCGGGCTCAATTGCGAGCGGCTCGGAGTTTAGCTCGATTCGATTGATGTCCGCCCCCATGTCCGCTCGCTCCTCCTAGACCGGACATAACGTCACAACATTGGACACACTTCTCACCGCTCGACTCTGTCGATCACGACCTTTGTGAGATGTTACAAAGGATGAAAGAACCTGGTTTTAAGAGAGCAAACAGTCCTGCATCTCTTTGGGCGATTATCATTTGAACTCTGGCCTCGGCGAACGTCATTTGCGTTGGTTCAGTTTGGTTCGAATTTCTAGAATACGCACCTGTTGTGATCTTATGCCGGATCTAGTCTTCTAGAGTAACCCTAGGAATAACCCTTTTTAAACGGCAAGCTCTTTCATTCGTCAATTGGACTCCGATCCGGTCGAGTTTGACAAAGGCGCGTGTAAATCAATTGAAGGGCGCACACAGAGAACAGACAAACCTTTCTCACCATGATGTTCCTTGGATAACCTTTAAACATATACATGTAGTCAAGTCTCGGACTCGTAGAGATGTAGCTTCGAAGAATAAAAAGAGAGGAAAAGAACACAAATAAAGGCCCTTTGAGCAGACATTAGGCTCACAAGACATTCCAATCATCATGTCAAAGATAGAAATCGAACTGAGTACTCCGCAACCCGGGGCCGGTCCAGTCGAAAGAAGCGGTGCCGAGAGCAGCTCCGCCTCGGTCCGTGAAGTGGCTTTCAACAACGATGCGTCCACGGATCATCTCACCCTCGAGCGGGAAGCCGTGTCCCTTCCGCCCATGGACGGCGGCAAGGATGCGTGGCTTTTCCTAGCAGCTGTCTTCGTTGTCGAGGCTCTTGTTTGGGGTGGGTTTTCTTCTTTTTTCTGATTCTTTTTAGCTTTTGCCTTTTTGCTATCAAAGGACCGTCGAGTGTTCGACATTCGATATGAGATTATATGGACACCTGTGCATACGAGTACTAACACCGAAAGTAGGGTTCCCGTACGCCTTTGGCGTCTTTCAGAGCTACTACAGTACGCATGAACCCTTTGCAGGCGCCAGCAACATTCCAGTCATTGGCACATGTGCAATGGTACGTTTCCAAGCAATGCAATCAACCGTTCATGTTTGTTACTGCCCACTTCTCGATATGAGTATAGACTGAACAGAGCCAAAGGGTATCATGTACCTTGATGGTCCCATTGCCATAGGCCTCCTTCAACTATTCCCTCGATACGCCCGCTGGGGACCCCTCGTTGGACTCCTAATCATGTGCCTGTCCCTTTCCCTGAGCTCCCTCTCCTCTACTGTAACCCACCTCATCGCCACCCAAGGCATCTTCTACGCCATAGGCGGCTCCATAGCCTACTGTCCCTGCCTCATCTACACTGACGAGTGGTTCGCCCGCCGGAAAGGTCTCGCCTACGGCATCATGTGGTCCGGCACCGGCCTCGGTGGCATCCTCATCCCCTTCTTCCTCGAATTCCTCCTCAACAAGTACGGCTTCCGCACAACCCTCCGCGCCTGGGCCGGCATCCTGTTCGTCCTAACCGCCCCGCTGTGCTACTTCATCAAGCCCCGTCTCCCCATCGCGCACCGGACCCACTCCCGCCGTCCCAACCTCAATTTCCTCCGCTCGCGCGTCTTCCTGCTGCATCAGCTCGCCAACATCATCGAGGCGTCCGGATTCTTCCTGCCGGGTATCTTCCTGCCTTCCTTTGCCCAGTCTTTCCTCGGGGCCTCTTCTTTCCTCTCCGCACTCACCATCATGCTCGTAAACACCGCCGCCGTCTTCGGTTGCGTCGCCATGGGTTTCTTGACGGATAGATTCCACGTGACGACCTGCATCCTCGTGTCTACGATAGGCGCCACGATCGGCGTCCTCGTAATCTGGGGATTATCCACGTCTCTCCCCGTCCTCTACGTCTTCTGCCTCATCTACGGCTTCTTCGCCGGCTCCTTCACCTCGACGTGGCCTGGCGTCGTGAAACAGGTTGTCCAAACCGAAGACCGCGCCGGTCGCGGCGTCGACCGATCCATGATCATCGGCTGCCTGGCTTCCGGTCGTGGGATAGGGAACGTCATATCGGGCCCGCTGAGCGAGGTCCTCATCAAGGGACATCCGTGGCGCGGCCAGGTCGGCAGCGCGTATGGAAGCGGGCATGGCACTCTCATTGTCTTCACGGGTGTGACGGCTTTGCTGGGTGGCACTACGGTGTTGTGGAGACGCTTTGGGTGGCTCGGTTGATGGGAACTTATAATCAATTTGCATTGATCATGCTAGGTTTTGGTCCTTAGCAAGTCCCGGTCGTGGGAATCAAAGCCTAGTCTAAAATAAAAGGAGTGAAGAACAGAATATCCCCGCCCGCCTGTGAACCCTTGTTTTTGTTTTGTTTCTAAATGTCAATAATGACTCCTCCCGAGAGCCATTAATTTTGGATGTCCGTATAACAGAATATGTGTGGAATAATCCAACCTGACGAAACCGAAGAGAAAAAAAAAAGGCAAACCGACAATAGAATGAAAGAGAAGACTGGTCCGCATTGAATTAACCATAAGTGGAGTCACCCCGCGCAAGCAGAGGCCGCTCCCAAGGTGTATCATCAATGCTATCCGAGTCGCTACACTCGGATAAAACGTCGTGCGCCTCTTCCGTGTTGTTATACAAGAAATATTGAGTGAAGACGCCAAAATCCAACAAGAGGGTTACAACGCTGCCTGCAAGCCAAGAAAGATTCACGAGGATGTATTTCCCATAAATCTTCCCGGCCTCACCAGGAGCGCATCCCTCTTCGCCGCACCGTGGCTCGTAGGCGAAGATAGACAGGACGTAAGTAATGTTGCCTAGGCAGGCGAAGAGGAAGAAGAGCATGCTCAGACCGTCGGTGCTCTTGCGCTTGTAATTGAGGATGAGTTGTGGTATGCGGGAGAGGATATAGAGTGCGGCGCATAGGTATCCGAATATCTGGCCCCAGAGACTGAAGGTCAGGGTTTCGCCTGGCTCACCGTCATGCGGTGTGTCGCGAGATTCGGGGCCGTTTCGGCCGAGGTACCACCCCAAGACACCTGCACCGCAGACCATGAGAACAGCTAGTGTGTTCCATCGTATGGTTTGAGAGACGGTCGGAGGCGAAGGAGGGGCCTCGAATGGGTCGGGGACTATAGGTACGGCTGGTGATAGGTTCGACCAGTCCGAGCCTCGTCTCTGTCGTCGTCGTCGTCGGTGCTCGCGTAGAAGTCTCGTGCGTTCGTTCACAGGCAAGCCACCTTCAAGATTTTCGGATGGTTTCGGCGACGAAGAGACGACTTCGTCCTTCCAAGTGAATCCTCGGTAATAGAAACATTGTAGTAGCAATACAATATCGGCAAAGGTATAGTAGAATGCAAGGATGATCTGGAATGCAAGCCTCGTTAGCATAATTCGCACGGTCTGGCATTGGCACTGGAGGGAACGAACCATCGTTGGAAGCACTCCTTGGATGACGGCACCCAGAATATTAAAGACGTCGCCGAGAAGCCATACTATTAGGAATTGAATCGACAGGCCATCTGTGCTTCCGCGCTGGAAGTTCTGCAATATTTGAGGAGAGAAGACGACCACTACAGCGAGAGTTAGCTTGGAAACCTAGGAAGAGTTCGGATCAGTGGTATATCGAGGAGGCCGCGTACCCCAGCATGCTATCGAGATCGATCTAGACAAATCCCTATTAGCGACCCAAAACACCACGCGAGGCTGAACCTTCGCCCAAAAGACTCACCCGCAAATGCCTGAAATGGCCTCGACATCCAAGTTCAGCGGTGCGGTAGGTGGCGCCATACCGACGCTGGAGAGTCGACGAATTGACTACGTTTCTCGGGAAATGGTCGCGAACATGTGTCTCTGGTGATGCTGCCCTTTCCGGCGAGGCTGATGGTTGCGTTTCGTGGGTAACAGGGACCGAAAGGGCATCAGAGGCGAGAACGAGAGTCACGGAGTGAATAGCGTCGAAGCCTGGACGTCGGCGCTGTCGCTTTTTTTATGCCGGACGAAGCCGCCAAGGGGCCCCGCAATGCGAGTTTATGGGGCCAAAGTCTGCCCACTTCCAGGCTCGGCGGGCCCGAGCTTGTTGTTTAGTGTACTTTGTACTCCGTAAATAGGAGTCTTCATTACTGTCTAGAGTCATATTTTGTTCTTCACTGCTCACACGGCAGACACACGACAGACCTCTTTGGCCTAGTCGAGAAAGAATGGTCTTCCTTGAAGAGAAGAACGGACAGTATTTCTTGTTTTTTATTCAGCTTCGGGATTATATCCCGCTCGCTCCCGGTATTGAATTCGGTTCAAGATTATGGAAAAGGGAAAATGGATATCCCGATAGATGCATACCCTTTTTAATTCAACGCGAGAGAGAATTTGCCACAAAACGCGGTTCCTCAATTTTTGGTGTAGGGATTGCTTGGTTGATTGAATAATTTTTCAAACCTCAACTCGGCCCTGATCTCTCAACAAACTGAGGGCCATCCACCATTCACCATGTTACCTCTAGCATTCAGGTCGTTATGCGCGAACTGCTTGCATCGCACATATCCTGCGAGGCCCGTAATATCCCAGATCCAGCCATGGACCGATATCCGCACGATTCGCCGCCAGGCGAAGCCATCCCGCATGGTTCTATCAAAAACAGTCGCGCAACCACCCTCAGCTCGAAAAGTCAAGTTTAATAGGAAACAGGTCGAGGGCCCCTTTGGAGGAATGAACCAGACCGTTGCGCGACTGCCACCGAAAGCGGAGAAGGGCACCAGTGAACCGGGCCAGACATACGGCAAACTGAAGAAGTCGGACGCGAGAAAGGCGATGAAGATGCACCGGGCGCTAGCGGTGATTTCCTACGGAAAGCGAATGTCGATCAAGGCGCGGATACAAGATGTCGATTCCTTTGATGCATTCGACCTTTTGCCTTCTGTCAAAGAGGCGCTTTACTGCGATGCTTTCAAGGGCATGGTGGATGTGAAGCCGACACCCGTGCAGAGACTGGCGATCCCGGAGCTTCTTGGACAAGGACGTCACAGGACGAAGACCCCTGCCAAGGAGTTCCTGTTGGCTGCTGAGACTGGGTCGGGGAAGACTCTGGCGTATCTGGTTCCCGCGATCAATGCGTTGAAGATCGCTGAGGCGCAGGACACAGAGATTCAGGAATATCAGAGACGGTGGAAGGAGGAACAGGCTAGGCTCAAAGATAACTCTCTGAAGCCTTCGGAGTTCGACGAGCCACACCCTACGATGGCGCGCCCCAAAGTTGTCGTTCTCGTACCTACTGCCGAGCTTGTGGACCAGGTCGGAGCGGTTGCCAAGTCCCTATCGCACATTGTCAAGTTTAGGACGGAGAAGCTTTCGGCGAATCTGCCGGCGAACACGATACACAGAAACCTCTACTCCACGAGGGGAGTGGACGTCGTCATCTCTACCCCCCATCTTTTCGGCTCCATTGCGCAGTCGGATCCCAATATTCTCTCTCGCGTTACCCATCTAATTGTCGACGAGGCGGATTCACTCCTCGATCGTAGCTTTTCGCCCGTTACAATAGACATAATCGATAGAGCCAAGCCATCCCTGAAACAGCTTGTTGTCTGCTCTGCGACCATACCGAAGAGGCTGGATAACTACCTTTCCCAAGAGTACCCCGACATGGTCCGAATCACCACTCCCAACCTCCACGCCATCCCCCGCCGAGTTCAGCTTGGTGTCATCGACGTTTCCAAAGACCCGTACCGAAACAACAAGAACCTAGCCTGCGCCGACGCCATCTACAGTATTGGCCGTGAATCCTCCCGCCACGAGGGTCCCGTCAAGGATGAGATCGACGTGCGACGCATCATTGTCTTCGTTAACGAGCGAGAGAAGACGCAAGAAGTAGCGGATTACCTCGTATCGAAAGGTATCAACGCAATCGCCCTCCACCGCGACACCTCGGAGCAGCGACGCTCTGAGATGCTGGCCTCTTTCACATCCTCAGAACCCATGCGCATCCCTGCGCCGGAACCGGCTCCTAAGGGCGTGCGATCGCTTCCAAACGTCAAGGTTATCGTCGCGACGGATCTCGCCTCCCGAGGCATCGACACGCTGGCGGTGCGTCATGTCGTGCTTTACGATGTACCGCACACGTCTATCGACTTCATTCACCGTCTCGGACGCGCCGGACGAATGGGTCGTCGTGGAAGGGGGATTGTCCTTGTCGGAAACGACGACAGGAAGGACGTGGTCGCGGATGTGAAGGAAAGCATGTTCATGGGTCAGGCGCTAATTTGATTCAACGGCGGCGGGTGGTTGGAATGATCAATTGATATGTGTACATTACAATCTCAAAATGTATAATAGCCTACTTAGAAAGCTCTTTGCGTTGTAGAACGGTGTAATACTAGACTATGAACCTATGCGGGAATGGAAAGTACATCTCACATGATTGAAGAGCTGTGAACCAACAATTGAAGGCTCAAAGACGTGGATCTGGAAGAGCTGGAGAGTTGCAGCCATTTGAGGAGGAGAAGTTCGTGTCGAGGTACAGCTGTACTTCGTGCTTTGACTGAAGCACAGACCAACTCTTGAGCTTGACGCGACAACACTTTTGCTGGACAAATCGCGTCGAGGACCCCACATGGAGTTTAAGTACCTCCCGACCTACGAAGTACACAGGTACCCCCCAAGTTCCCACCCACAACAGCTCTTCCACGACGCGTCGGGCTAAATTTCCTTGACACCAAGCATCCCTCATCATCAGTAACATCTTACCACGGCCATTTTATTTTAGCAGGCAATTGCTGTGCGCACCAGGGAACCCATATTCTCCCACCGAAACTCGAACACTCCTCAGCATCACATAGAACGATAGAGAATCCCAGCGCAGCACACACGCACAAATGCCTCGCCCGAGACGAACGCGCCGCACACGGGCAGTAGCCCGTGCTGAGCCTGAAACCACAGCTCCCACCCAGACCGAACCCGACGTGATTCCTTCAACGCCATTGAAGCCGACCGAAGACGCGCAGCCGGATAGTTCAGAAAAAGAGAATAGACCTAGGGACGCGGTACGATCACGAGTTTCCGCTGGGAGCCTCCGTCGTCGAGGACGCGCTCTGAGAGAATCGACGATGAGGCAGTCTTTATCGAGGGAACCGGAATCTGACGAGGATAACGCGGCGGAGGTTGATTCGCGGGAGCTCTCGGATCCTCCTGATGTCGAGATGAGTAGGCGTGAAACTGCGACGCCGCTCATGAGGCGAGATGTGTCGGGACTGGATGTCGACGAGGAGATCTTCTCCGACATGTACTCTGAGCTTGAACCGCCTTCGACTCGAGGCCGTTCGGCTAACACGTCAACTTTGAGCGTCGGCCAATTCAAGAGGAGATCTCGCGCGCCTAGCGTTGTTAGTCGTGATGGCGGACCGATTCGACCGAGCAGTCGAGGCCAAAATACACCAAGTGTTAGTTCAACGTTTAACTTTGGCCAGTTCAGACGGCGCGCGAGGGAGCCTAGTATCTTGGGAAGGAACCGCAGAGCGCAGAAGGAAACGCAGACCACGGATCAGTCGGCATCTGAGAGCGAGCTTGAACTTGACGGAGAAGACTCTGCTCCCGATGCTGTGTCTACGCCTCTTAATCGTCGACGATCGCAACGGGCTGCGTCTGCTACTCGCGCACCTCAGCCTCCGTCCTCAGGTCTGAGGTCTCGAAAGAGGAAGAGCGGTGAGATTGAACATGAGGCGAGTGACCGGCCAGAGAAGACAGCCCGTGCGGAACGGAAACAGTCAGAGGAACTCGGGGAAGTGCAGGGCCAGGAGCAGGCGGTGCAACAAGAGAAGGGACGGGAAGCTACAGACGCCCCAGCAGATTCTGAAGAAGATGACGATTCTAGCCTCTCTGACGTATCCTCGCTTCCATCGCCACTCTCCGCCACTGCTGCCCATAATGAACGGCCAGTCACGCCAATCAACGCTACCATGGAGGAGATAATGGCTCCTCCAGCTAGCTCCGGTTCAGACGACACCGAATGGCCATCGATCCGGAAACTCGCCAACCGGAGACGCCGCGCGGCCACTCCCACAACGCCCCTTCACGCTCGTAACGACGACGATATCCTGTCCGACATCTCGTCCCCGCCTTCCCTTACGCATTCACCCAATTTGCCTGCCCGTAGGAGGGGCGCTGGCAGGGTCCGAGGCCGGCAGCCGACTAGGGAACCAACGCCCGAACCCCTTACTTCCGACCTTGCGTCCCTGCTCCCGAAACGCCGAAGTAAACGTTCCCGCCGAGATGACGATGACGTCGGTAGTGAAGACGAAGATGTCGAAGACTTGACCCTCGCAAGCGATGATGAGGATGAGCTCGCCTACTCACGTTCCACGAGGAGGCGGGGAGGTAGTCATTCTCGAGGCAGGGGAGCTTCGGCTCGCCCTCCATCGCGGCAAGCTGCCCGAGCCGAGACCCATGCTAGATCTGCAGCTGCTACAAGGAGGGAGCAGGCTGGTTCCGAGCCCAATCGGCGTGTTACGCGAACATATGGCGGTTCCAAGCCATCGAATCCCGATGACAGCTTTGCGCCGCTGCCGGATGACTCGTTCACGACCAGCGGGCTTGTGATCGATGATCCGAAGGAGGAACTGAAGAGGGCGTCGCACAAGTTTAAGGAGGTGGATAAGTGGGAATTAGAGTACGAGGAAGTTGCGGAGAATCATTCGTCGTCGGATCCTGATGCTCGGTAGAGGGAGAAGGTCAATGGTCTTTGATGTTGGGTTCGGTGGTTTTTATTTTTATTTTTATTTTCTTTCTCTCTTGATTGTTTCCCGTGGGTATAAATAGGGTGTTCTTCGCGGTGGAGGATACGGATGGTGCTTCATGAATTCGGAGGTAATGAGGTTTTCTTGCGGTTTTCTGTTCATGGGACTTTGTTTTTTTTTCTTACATTTCATCCTTCTTCCTTTAGCGATGCAGAATGGATAGGGCAATCGTGTATTTATTTCACCCTCACTCATTTCATGACTCCCGCTCTAGATGTAAACTTGCCTATGTGTTCCAGGGTGACCGATGTCAGCTGGTATTTATTTTAACACCAAACAAAACATTATCGTAACCGTCATGATCCACGCCGTCGTATGCCCAATAACGCCAGGATATCATATGTTCATGAGGACTTGAGGTCTAGCGCAACAGTGTACATGTCCTTGATGGGTATTAAAGGGGAGAGAATATTGGGATCTCGTAAGGAAGCGGTGATGGCGTCTGGTAACCGGCCAGTCATGAGGAGGGCCTAAGTGATATATGTTAGCAAAAAGCTCGAGTGTGGGAATCTGTGTGGGACACATCATAGAAGCTCTCACCCTCTTGACATTGGCGAATGTGTCCTCTCGGTCACAATGCTCTTTGATGACCTCCTCCGCCTCGAAATCCACGTAAACCCTCGTATCCCTTATCCTAACAATAACGTTGTCCACCCTCACAAACAACCTCGCCAACAACAACATCCGCTTCTCATGCACACGTAACTTGACGCTATACACCGAGATGCCATTATCATCCAACTCAGACTCGTACAAAAACACCTCATCAGAAAACAATATCGGATCCCGCCTCTTCAGCAACTCCAAAGGTATCTTTTTCTCCGTCCTCTCAAACTCCCTCCTCCCTTCAACACCACCCTCCAAGGTCCCCGAATACGTACTCGAATAGCTCCAATCGTACGGATTCACAACCTCCTTGATATCCCCGCTCGAATTCTCCCTCGAAGAGGCCCAATCCTTAGCATACGCCACCTGCAGCATATTCTCAGCCGTCTTGCCCACGGCGTCGAGGGCGTCATAGGCGTTGAAGGAGAGCGACCAGCCCGTGGGCAGGTGGGCCAGGCGCACGAGGTTGTCGCCGAAGATCATCTCGGGCACGGGGATGCCGAGGGACTTTTCCATGGTGGATATGGGCCCCGCTTTGGAGATGGGGAGCTTGCGCGTGGAGATTTGGAAGGTGTGCTGGGTGTGGGTTTTAGTTGTGCGGGAGAGGTGGGAGGTGGAGGGGAAGGCTGTTGGTGGTGGGGGTTCCATTTTGGCGGGCGGGCGATTGCGGCGGTTCGGTCGCAGTGGTGTTTTTCGTTCTTTTTTATCTTTTTTTGTTGTTTTCTCGGGCGAGGGATTGAAAGGAGCTTGACGAAGTCGAGGGTTGGGGTGACGCGAGATGGTGCTTGCAGTTGAGATCAGAGCTCTGGCCGAGGTGGGGTCAAAGTTGTTGATGGGCAGTTGGAGTTGAGTTGATGGCTGCGCTACAATTCAATGTCCCACACTTCCACACTTCCCCGCCAAAGATTAGTCAGGGACAAACAAAAACACTTCACTATTAGGACTTGGAGTTAACTTGGAGTTGAGTTGATAGTGGGACACAATTGCGATGCTATTTGACTCTTTACAATTCCGAGCACATAATCCTCTTCGCGAAACTAGGCGACTTTGTTGAATCATGGTGCAGTTGGGTCAAGCACGACCTGAGCAGACTTGCCTGAGAGGTACGTTTCACAGCTCAATGGACCACAACTGGCTGGAGAAAATTGCCGGTTAGAGGCGTCTCAATCGACGCCGGCTTCGCAAGCCCTTTCATCCTCTACGCCGCGCCCAGATCTCTAATACGAAGGGTCGAGATGGCGTGCCTTGAAATGCTTCTTCCATGCCTATTTTGTGACCTTTCCTTTCCCATGCCGTGGCTATTGGTTTACGCACACCTATTCATTTCCCTCTCCTTTTCAAAAACAGTTATTTTTCTGACCTGTCTTCTCTCTCGTCGCTCCTGGTTCCCCACGCTTGGCGCTTACTCTTCATTAGCCGCTTAGCGCAGAAGCTAAAATGAACAACAGCGGCGCAGCCTGCGCTGGCGATCCGACGAGTTCGCAGTTCAGAGGTTCTAGAATCTACCGATTGAATTCCGGCCTATCCTAAATTGCACCACGAACGGCATACTGGTGAGTTTATCACTTTCTCAGGTACTCACGTACGCAGCTGGGGCGGGATGACGGTATGGCTTTATGATCACGGACTTGCACTTCGTTGTCCGATGGTTCTCTCTTGAACCTGTTACTGCTAGCTTAGCTCTATCGCGACCCCGCCGCTAGCAGCCACAGGCTCATCATAGGATTGTGTCCAGAAGCACTGACTTTGCGTCTTCTATAGGTGCCATGTCCCTGGACCTGACCGACTTGTCCCACCAAAATAACGCTCTTACTAGGGATTATTTTCTGCCTGAGTATGCAACTATAGCCTGGAGTGCACACAGAAAAAAAAAAAACATAGCCGATTCGTCTTCAAAGATGTGAAGGGCCACACCAAGGTAATGAAGAAGTCTGAGTGCGTTAAAACTTCCGGGTTTTTTGGTATACAAGGGAAGAAGAGGCTATATTGCAGAGAGAAGTTGGAATAGACTCCTTTCTTTCACATATAGAGGAGTTGCAGGTAGGTGTAACGAGCTCAGCATTAGCTAGGGATGTAGACCGACTAAGATAAAGGCTAAGGAGATAAGTGCAAATGGACACATACACTCACTCTCTCATTCACACTCACACACACTCTCTCTGTGTGTGTGTTGTGTGTTTGTGTGTCTGCAGCTCCTCTCCATCTTCTTCTGTCATGTCGTAGAGTAACGACGGAAGGACACCGCCGTTGGTAAGTGCGATGCACGAGTGCTTACTGAAACGTATATGTAGTTATATGGGGATGATGTTTATGTCGGAAGCTGCATAGGTAATCGTTCCCTTTGCGCTTTCGGCCCAATATAGTCTCAAATCACAAAACTACTGCTCAAGAAAGTGGCCATCCAGCTGTTGAGCGTCACAGGAGGATCAGGCTGTTTTCCATTAGACGAGACAGACCCATTCAAGAAAGGTATACCAATATTCAGGACTAGTCTTCTCAGAAATCAAACCGCCACTTATACCGACAGTCACACAACCTTACCTTCGCAGGCGCCTATGAACTCTCACGAAAGGACGCCCATAGACATACCACGGATCCTCCTCCCACCGTTCCTCCCATCATTCCTACTTACTCGCCGCTCATGCCTCTCCCGCTCCTCGTCCTCCGCCGGGATTATCTGATCCTTGAACAGGGCCATACCATACAGTATTGTAAGGGAACCGTCCTCGTTCGTGGCTCTCAGGGCCGGCCACATACAAGTTGATATCTGCGATGATGGGGTCCTTGTCTGCGGAGACTCGGCTGGTGTAGGAGGAGTAGGACGGTTCCTCAGGTTCCCGTTGGCCTGGCCTTGGGCGTTGCCATTGCCCCGAATATTGGTGGCAGCAGGGCCCCATAGCTGAACTCTGTCCCAGTTATTATCATCGTTGCCCAGCCGTCCCAGCTGGACATTCCACCTCCCCTTAACCCGCTGAATGGCCGCCCACTCTTTCTGCGCGGTCCCGCACAAACTGTCGAGGTCGGCTCGGAACGCATCCCTCGACTGCTCCAGTATCAGCGGCTCAAGGCACTTGGTGACATCTTGCTTCAAGTTCCGCCTGGCGCTCTCCAACACAGCCCGATTATAATCCGGAAGGTGTTCCAAGATGGCAAGCAGCGCCGATCTGCAACGTGCCTCGGCGGTAGGATCCTCTGAAGCTAGGTCAGACATGGCCTCGGCAAAGTCCCCCTCCCTCTCGATGGGGCAAAAAATATGCTGGCATAGAGCAAAGGAGATTACGGCGACCCCTGCAGCGACGCGCATTTGTTTGGCGACGATGGAGTTTGTGGGTGGGAGAGTGATGCTCTTAACGAGGGCTTGCTCTTTGATATCTTTCCAGTTAGAACGCTCGGTGAGGATATCATTGCCCAGATCTACTGAGAGGTACTTTTTTGCCAATTCGTTGACTGAAGACCATAGAGCGGACCATCGATTTTTACTTTTGACGTTAGATTTATCGTTGACTTAGTCAAGATGGCTCAAGGAGGGGATGAGTGATAGCCACACAAACATACATATTCTTGGTCGCCTCCGAGGTGAGTTCCACCCGTAATCGTCCAAGCTCCGCTACTCTTTCCTCTTTCTCCCCTAGATCTCTCTCCTGTCTCTCCACAAGAGCTTTGGTCTCGTGGAGCTCCTTGACAAGCTTCTTTTTCTCTTGCTGAAGCTGGATGCATTGTTCCTGGAGAGCACGCAGCTGACTTCTCGTTTCGTTCGACTCCTTCGAAAGGCTCTCTTTCTTCTTTACGGCGTCATCAAGTGTAGTCTCATATGCGGCATTCTTCTTTCGTAATAGGGATAGTTCCCTGGCAATGTTCTCCGCCTGGATGATTCTCGGATCTTGTCGAATGGTGCCGGCGAAGGCGATAAAGGCCTCTACGTCTTTTTGGGACTGGTCTAGTGGTGTCGTCATGGTGGATACGAGGAGGAAATGTGAGAGTTAAGCCAGGGACTTGGACATTTGAGAGATAGATCTTTGGCAATCTCATGCTCATGGGTTATGGATGGGGCGTTGTTGACATTTTTATATCTGATATTGTCGTTGATATTCGCAGCCTGCCTACGATGATGGCCCTCAACTTTGCCTGCTCTCAATACGGATATATCCAGATATCATATCAGAGGCACCGAACACCTCATACCACCCACCTAAGCCTGCATATGGTGTGCGAATAAGGCTAATGATACTATTGAACCACGTAGCATGGGGCTGGCGTGGCTTATGTACGTCTTCTAAGGAGGAAGTCGATGAGCCAACGACGGGTTAGGAAATAAGGAAGTTGGTGGTGGCCGGGAGCGGGGTTGGACGCGGGAGGCCAACCCGCCCCGATGGAGATACCGTAAAAACCGGGCCGGGTCACGTAGAGGCGAGCCGAAACGCGGTTGTGTGTCAGATGATTGATACGTATCTGGGCCGATGCGGGACATGGAAGGTAAGGCATCGAAGAAGTATTTCTATGTAAGCATCGCCACATTCTCAGCGAAGCTAGGACTTGAGATTATGCTAACAATTGATCGGTCAGAAATCTTCAAGCTACTTACGCAGGTCATGCTTCTGTGCCTCGCCGAAAAATGTCTTCCAGTGTCTTTACCCGCTTGTATGATTGTGGTGTATGTTGTCCAAAAGGTGTGTCTTCGGACATTGCGGCAACTCCGTGTTTTGGAGCTGGAGTCTACGGTAGGAGTGTTTTCGAGTTTCTTGGAATCGGTAAGAATGCAACGCCCGACGGTAGTAGATTAGCTAGGCCGCTGATCTCAAACTCTGTCAGGTTGAGGGTCTTGAAACCATACGGTCTTTTGGTTGATCCAAAGCTGTCATAGAGAACCGCATCCTCAGTGTCGATTCCTCCCAACGGCCAGAATTCCTTCTTTTATGTCTCCAGGGTTGGCTCAATATCGTTTTCGATCTCCTAGGGGCAGCTATTGCAACAAGCGCTATTGCCATAGCCGTCGCATCTAGGGGCCATGTCACAGGTGCACAGGTCGGAATTGCCCTCAACATCATGCTTGTGGCAAACTCGACGTTGCTCAGACTTGTGGGGAGCTGGACTACGTTGGAGACGTCTCTTGATACCATTGCGCGCTTGAAAACGCTCGAGGAAACGACGGCATCTGAGGATGGGAAGGTTTTGGGGTTAGATCCTCCCGAAAATTGACCTTCCAGTGGGCATATCGAATTTACGAACATCACTGCATCCTACCAGTACGTAATATTACTATTGACGACTACGTATACCGATAGCTAACAATGATAACCATCTCTAGGTCCGAGTCAGCTGCTTTACGGAATATGAGCCTGACTATTATCGCAGGCCAGAAACTAATCGTTTGCGGACGTACAGGCAGGTAAGGCTTTCCCCACTGCAAAGCAGCACCTAGAGATTTAACATCTGAGATGCTCACTTTATGAATAGCGGTAAAAGCACATTGCTCTTGACACTCTTGCGGCTTCTGGAATTGCAAACGCGGAAAGATTGAGCTGGACGGCATTGGAATCAAGCACGTGAAGCTCGAGCTGCTTCGACGAAGAGCCTTTATAGCAGTATCGCAAGACCCTTTGATCTTGTCAAACGAGACCTTGCGTTGATGGGGATAATCTTTCAAGTTCCTTCACACCCATCCGGGTGCTTCGTTGACTGTCGCGGATGATTACCTAAGCCAGAAATTCCAACGACGACCAAGCAAAACAGGGCTCCCCTGGGTGCGTTTCCCATTGAATTCACTGGAACGAAGAAAATTTTGCTTAATTAGTATCTCAGTGTAGAGAGGGAAATATTTCACTAACTAACTTTGAATATTCGAAAATGGACCCAAGGATTGAAGCCATCGTTTATCTGATGTTGAGTCGCTGTTCAAATCGGCGCTTGTCGGTGGGTGTTGGGCGGCTACCCGTTGCCCTGTCAACAGCACCGACACTGACTAAACAACAACCATCAAAGAAGCGCTGCTCCCACCAAGAGCTTCATTGAGACTTCTTCTTTTGCTTGTAATATATGGCATCGAATATCCATCTCCACCAGCACCGACGAGAGCAGAAAACATTGCAGCCTTGGAGGTTCTCACGTCCTTAAATATCCTCAACTCCAATTGATCAATCCCACACCTGTGCCTTGCTCTCTTACATCTTGCTACCTAGCAACATGGCTACCCGGACTCTGGAGGCTCGCTTCGACAGTCTTTCTGTTAACGATGAGAATGACCCTCATGGCGACACCAAGTATAGCAAGTTGGTATGTTACAAATATCCCAGACCCGCCCATCGAAACCAATCGCTGGTCGAACTCCTAGTAACGGAATGACGTCTAGCTTGCATCAGCAAGTCGGCCAACCCTCGTCAAGGTTGCCCTTCAATCCCAAAGCGCAAACGCCAATTCAGCAATCGTGACCCTCCCATCCCAAGCTGCTCAACGAAAGAACCCACCCTCGCCCACAAGAAAACCACTTCCCACTTCAGCCCGCGCCTCCTCCTCCACCGAGGCCGACAACGAGCGGAGATCCACGGCCCTCGTCGAGCAACCCTCAGTGCCCAAACAATTCCACCTCGGCATGTTCGAAATAGGCCGGCCGCTAGGCAAAGGAAAATTCGGCCGCGTCTACCTCGCCAAGGAACGCACGAGTGGGTTCATCTGCGCCCTCAAGGTCCTGCACAAGAACGAGCTCCAACACGGCCGCGTCGAGAAGCAGGTGCGCCGCGAAATCGAGATCCAGAGTAACCTGCGCCACCCCAACATCCTCCAGCTCTATGGGCACTTCCACGATAGCAAGCGCGTCTTCTTGATCCTGGAGTTTGCTGGTAAAGGGGAGCTGTATAAGCACCTGCGCCGCGAGAACCGGTTTCCTGAGTGGAAGGCGGCACAATATATTGCACAAATGGCCTCCGCACTGCGTTACCTCCACCGCAAACATGTTATCCACCGCGACATTAAGCCCGAAAACATTCTCGTCGGCATCCACGGGGAAATCAAAATCTCCGATTTTGGCTGGAGCGTTCACGCGCCTAATAGCCGTCGCCAGACGATGTGTGGTACCCTTGACTACCTCCCTCCCGAGATGATCAAGCCTGGTAGTTCGGACAATTCGTACAACGAAAAGGTTGATCTGTGGAGTTTGGGCGTCTTGACTTATGAATTCTTGGTTGGTGAAGCGCCATTCGAAGATTCGCAGGTCATGACGCAGAGGAGGATCGTCAGGTGCGACATGAGCATCCCGTCGTTTGTGAGCCCCGAGGCGAGGGATCTGATCAAGAGGGTAAGAAGAAAAAGGAAGAGCCTGGTTCGGCTCGTCTATGAAACCCCACCCGCCGTCTGATTTTGGCAGATGTGCTGACCCGTTCCGCAGCTCCTCGTGCTGGACCCTGAAAAGCGCATACCTCTCGAGCAGGTCCAGACCCACCCCTGGATCATCAAACACTGCGTCAAGGGAGAGCGCGCTACGAATCGAGAGCGGGAGCAGAGGAGGTCGTGAAGAAGAGTAAGAATAACTAATGACGTAATGCTCACGGCGTATTCAGAGACAACTGGACTGGCTGGCTAAGCCTAGAAGATTGACGGGAATTCGTTATTTTTGAAATGGCGTTGGGGTTTATTGTTGCATGTCCGGAGTCGGGAACTTCTTTTTTTTTTTTTTATTCTATTCTTTCCTTATTCTACTTCGTTGAATTTTAGATTCAAGAAGCCCACGATATATGTACTGCTCATACGTACTCCGTCCGTTTCGGACAGGTCTTTGGGGGTTCCTTAGAAAGGTGCACGATGCTGTGCTGCTGCTTCGTGCTGCTGCTTCATAGAATAGTGTACATGGTGTTATATCATACAAGTTTGGAGAGGGTGTTCATTTGTAGACCTCGTCGAATGGCCTGGTATCGGCGAAGCATGACTCCCACACCTCGTTTACAACCTTTGTCGCGTGGGCCTCGTCCTTGCATCCTGGCCGGTTCATGACGGACATGATAGCCCTCCCACGGACGCAGTGTTGGAACTGCTGGGTCAGGTTCCAGTTCCCCCTCGTAAAGAACTCGCGAGCCCATCTACATTCGCCACTAAGCATGGATGCGCGGATCTGTTGAAATGTTAGTGACCGGCAACTAGAGGCAAGTCTAGAAATGGCGGAAGAAGAAAAAAAAACCAACCTCAGTACAGGCAGCATGCCTCAAGTTCCCAACGCCATCCATCTTCCACCTCAAGAAATCCCAGGCATGCACCATCTCATGAGCTAACGTATCCTCCAGATGTTTCCTATCCCTAACCTCGTTCGCGCAAATCTTGATCCCTGAATACGGGTTAAACCCGCCGCCCGTCCTAACAACCTGGCCGTCCGTGGTCAACCGCGCGGGACACCGCACGCAGAACACATTGGAAGAGTCAAGCGTGCCGTTCAGGTCGGCCACCTTGTCGCGCATGAAGCGCACGACAGGGGAGTGGGCGAATAACCAGTCGCGGTACTCTTCGCAGCGCTGGCAGTCTTCCTTTTCGTTCTCGCGGTAGAGGTGTTCGCGGAAGTGGAACTGGCCTTCGCGCGTCATCGACCCTGTCATGTAGTGGAATATGTTCATCCAGTAGCCTATCTTGGGGTCGAAGCCGGTTCGGGCTGGGTCGTTCTTGAGAAGGGGCGCGAGCTCGGGGGTGACAAGCTGGGACGGGCCATCGGGGGCCGACGGGGAGGCCGGTGACGCGGACTCGGACGGCATCGTGGGGGGTGCTGTGGGGACGGCGAGGAGTCACGCGGCGGACGGACGATGTGGGATCAGAGGGCGGATGGGGGGCCACGAGAAGACGGGCGAGGTCAGGGTTGGAGCTCGAGCGTCGTATAGGAAAAAAAAACGCTCTTCGGAATCTCGAGCCGTCAGGGGCCTGCGCAAGGGTTACAACTTCACAAGCATCAAGTACCGATGGATCGATGATATAAGGTTTGCGCTAATACGAAGTAGAGCATCCAGGGTTGCCAACGTTCTTGAGACGACAATCGAGTGAGTTCCAGCACGTTCTTGACCAGCGCTGCTGGATTAGGCGGTGAGGAGGCAAAATTTTAGGCGGCGTCAGTCGACTCATGGACAAAGTCGCCAGGCGGCATGCCACTTCAGGAGAGGGACTAGGTACCTCAGTAGTTCTTAGTACCCAATGCCGCCTTTCCCGACCACCACCGCATCGAGTTAATCCGGCCAATTCTCGTGTAGCGACTACAAGACGAGAACCTCAATTTCCATTTCCCGATCTCGGCAACCGCCCGGGATAATCCTGCCCATTAAACTTGTTGTCATATTAAGGAAAGTCCACATTAATACTTCATGGGGATATCTAGACCCATTCCTCACGCCCTTTCTCGCGCCCTTTTCCAAGTTACGCTAGGATATTCATACTTGACCCTTGCTCCTTGGCCCGCTCAGCCCTGGACCTGTTCTCGAAATAGACGATTGAGAGCCTGAAATCGACCACAACGTCGAACAACAACACCAGGAATACGACCACTTCACCGAGAAGAAGCCCAACATGGATCCCACAGGAGAATGGGATTCGGATCGCCCTGAGGGCGAGGAGAAGGGTGAGAATAATTCAAATTGATTTCGCGTCCCTTCATCTTGTTCCCATTTCTCTCTTCTCTCTGCATTTATTCTTGCATCCCGTTTCCTGTTTCTCGACCGCTTCTTCTCATCTCTGATGTGGTTGCGCTTCCATGGCGGGTCCAAGGGTGTTTGCAATATCTTGACCGTTCTTCGTTCAATCTACTTGACATCTTTTACCTTGGCTCTTGAGCTGACCAACGTTAGGAGTCGTAGACATGAGGTCTCGTCGTGGCCAGACAATTGTTATAAAGCTCGGTAAGTCGTCTGTGATAGGTTGAGTCACAGCCACATATGGCTCTTCCCGATCCCCTTCCCTCATTCCTGGTATTATTTGAGCTCAAGCTAACGCAAACTTCTAGGCACGAGTTCAATCGTGGACGAGGAGACACATGAGCCCCTCCTACACATCCTCTCTTTGATTGTCGCCACAGCTGTAAAGCTCCGAAAAGATGGCCACAGAGTCATCATCGTGTCTTCCGGAGCCATTGGTGTCGGCCTAAGGCGGATGGACGTTCAGAAGCGTCCCAAACGTCTCTCTTCCCTTCAGGTACGCATGCGCTGGCTTCATTTCAATCCTCGGCTCCCTGATTCTCCTTGATTTTCCAATGAATTAAGGGCAGGGATGCTCGTGGGGCCCAACAATAAAATACGACGTGGGTACTAACATGTGCGAATTGACAAGGCTCTCGCGGCCATCGGGCAATGTCGTCTCATGGGCTTATGGGACAGCCTATTCCAGCATCTTCGTCAGCCCATTGCCCAGATTCTCCTGACTCGCAATGATATTGCCGACGTAAGCTTTCAATTTCATAGATGAGACCCCAATGGGCGGTGAAAGGGGTTTTTACTAACGGCCGTGACAGAGGACCATGTATAGGAATGCCCAAAATACCTTCATGGAGCTCCTGGACATGGGTGTTATCCCCATTGTCAACGAGAACGACACCGTTGCCGTCTCGGAAATCAAGTTCGGTGACAATGATACCTTGTCCGCCATCACGGCTGTCATGGTCCATGCCGACATGCTCTTCTTGATGACGGATGTGGATTGTCTATACGACAAGAATCCCCGTTCCAATCCAGATGCTCAACCCATTGAAATTGTAGAAGACATTGCCGCCTTGCAGGCTGATGGTGAGTCCCGAGTTCTCTTCCATCGAAAGATCAGGGAAGTTGTCTTGCTAATTTCACCGCGTATAGTATCTACGGCTGGCTCTGCTCTGGGCACCGGAGGCATGTCGACCAAGATTGTTGCTGCTCGCATTGCAACGTCGGCAGGTGTCACCACCGTCATTACCCGAGCTTCTACTCCGGACAACATCTCCAAGCTTGTCCGCTACATCCATGCAACCAAGGGCTCGCCATGTCTCACGCCCCCTTGCATCCACGAAAACGGTGCCGACAGCGCCGAGGAGCTACTAATCCAGTCTACTTCATCGCTGGCACAATCTACCCCCACGCTATCACGATCTCTATCCTCGCTGGACCTCGAGATGCCACCCTTGCACACGAGGTTCCTTCCCGACGCCGATCCCGTTCGCGATCGACACTTCTGGGTGCTGCACGGGCTGGCCCCGCACGGCACCCTCTACATCGACAGCGGTGCTCACAAGGCCCTGTTAGATAAAGCCGGTCTCCTTCCCATTGGCGTAGTCGATGTCGAGGGTAACTTTTCCCACCACGAAGCAGTACGACTCGTTGTCGTTGAGAAAGTATGTCCTCCAGGACCGGATGGAAAGCCCTGGGAAGGCCCCGGCATCGAAGTCGGAAGGGCCATTGTCAACTATTCCGCGACCGAGGTAGCGCGGATCAAGGGACGCAAGAGCGTGGAGATTGGTGCGTTGTTGGGGTACGCTGACAGCGAGTACGTTGCTGCTCGGCAGTACATCAGCTTCTTCAAGAGGGAAAGCCGACCTGTGACTCCGAGTTTCGAGCACATGCCGTTTCAGCCGCCTCCTCTGAGTGCGATTGATTCCATCACGGTGAATCCCATGTCACCGAGGTAGAAGATATTGCCCCCCCCCCCAAAACATCATCTTCTCTTCCCCCTCTCTTCTTCTCTCCTTCTCTCATTCCCCTTTTTTTCCTTCTTCTTTTTTCTTTTTAAGACATTATATATATTTGGGTTATGTTTTCTAGACGAAGGATGATCAAAATGTTTCGGACTAAAATCTTTTTGAATAACGGTGTCATATGCCATTGATGATTGTTTTTTTTTTCCCAGTTGCCTTAATTGCGCCATGCTACCAAGATTAGAACAGAAAATGAAACGATATTCCAAAGTTAACATGAACAATGAACATCCAATCTATTCCACCACCCCAAACCCAACCAATAAAAAGAAAAGTAAGATAAAATAGAAACCGCCACACGGCACTCAACCTGTCGCAAACAAATTCGCTTCGTCTCTCAAGTACTCCCCGCAATCCGCCTGCCTAAAGCACACAATACCCGTAGGGTCCAGCCTCCTCGCCTCCGTCGTGCTCCTTGCAGTAATACCGAAACCGAGGGGAACGTCGTTCATGTTGTAGACCACAACGCCCTGGTGCTCGGGGCAGTCATCGGACCAGCGACCAACGTGGGCTTTCACGATGTTGCCGCCGTAGAGGAAGGGCATCTCGCCGTTGGGCTTGACCCAGATCTTGTAGCGGGCGTGTTCGGCGAGGACGGGGAGGGCTGTTATGTGGAGTCTGAATTTTCCGGTTTTGGTGAACTTGCCTGAGCAACCCGTTAGCTTTCTCCAGTTCACATGTTTCTTCTTTCTTTTCCTCCGTATTGCCTTTATTTCTTGACATTTTAGAAGGCAGGGTTTGGGAGAAACGAACCGAGGCACACGCCCATGGAAATAAACTTGTCCCTCGCTATCGAAGTAGCAATGTTCGCAATTGACAGGCGCACGTAGTATACTCGGTCCTTGTGAAGTCGGAACACGAAGCGGTCGGCATTGGGTCCTTCGCCTAGAGGCGTGATGAGGTTCTTGAGGGAGCTGCCCGTGTAATTGGCGAGCTTCGCGAAAAGTGTTTGGGTTTCTTTTTCTGTGAGTTGGCGCATTGTGGGCGGTTGGTGGCTCGATCTCCAGGTCGGGGCTGCTGATGAAGGGATTGTAAGGTTCGTCGTTCCCTGTGCGAAAAGAGTTCGATCTTCTCCTTCGTCGAGGCTGGACTCTGGAGGGGCCTGGCAGAAAAGCTTGAAATTTTTGGCGGTGAAGCAAATCGCAGCTTCGTGAATGGCTAAATTTCGGAATAAGACCCCACCAACTTTTTTTTTCCCTTGAAGCTGTTCGAAATTTCTGATAAAAGAATATCAAAAAAGAAGAGGCCCGTTGAGACCCTCAATTCGCAATCTCTCGACGAATACACCAGCGATTCGAACAAAAAGCCATGGCCGCCTCCGTACCCAGAAAGCGAAAGCTGGCCCCGTCCCAGGACGGAGGGGCAAAGCAATCCTCCGCCCAGCTCCAAAAGGACTTCTACAAGAATGCAGCGAGCTGGAATCTCGAAGAGAGCTACGAGAGGCGACAGTCCAAGAAGCAGAAGAACAAGCCGAAGGAGAGCACGAGGTTACCCATCAAGACCGCCGACGGACGGATAGAGCAGGTGCACTACGAAGAGCCGGACGAGCAAGCGGCTGCCGAAAGCGACGAGGACTGGTTAGAGGAGAAGAAAGAGGAGGAGGTTACGGAGAAGCCTGAGAAGAAGAAACGACCCGAAAAACCAGAGGCCGAGCAGATAATCGAGGCGCAGGAGGAACTTGCCAAGATCGCGAACTCTTTGAACCAGGAGCCCGAGGAGAATGCTGGTGCTTTCAAGGCTCTGGCGAAGATTGGAGAGTCGCATGTGCTCGCGATACGGAAGCTCGCTCTTATTACCCAGATGACGGTGTACAAGGATGTTATTCCGGGATATAGGATACGACCGCTCGGCGAGGACGCGATGGAAGAGAAGTTGACCAAGGATGTCCGGCGGTTACGGTCCTACGAACAGTCCCTACTGGCGGGGTACCAGGCGTACATCCGGAACATTACGCAGCTTGCAAGGTCACGGCCTTTACCCAAGGATAAGGGCCAGACGCTTCCCAGCATCGCCATAACATGCGCTTGCACGTTGCTAAATGCCGTCCCTCACTTCAACTTCCGAGGAGACCTTATCAAGATCCTAGTCGGCAAGCTCAGCCGGCGCAAGGTGGATGCAGACTTTGTGAAGTGCCAAAAGGCTCTCGAGACGCTCTTCAGCGAAGATGAGGACGGCGGGCCTTCGTTGGATACCGTCACAACGCTGTCCAAGATGATGAAGGCGAGGGACTACGACGTCGACGAGCGGGTCGTCAATCTCTTCCTCCACCTCCGTCTCCTCTCCGAGTTCTCGGGTAAGGCGTCACAAACCCACGTGGAATCCGAAGACGGGCGACCTAAGAATTTCAAGAAAAAGAAGGTCTTCCGCACGAAACGCGAACGCAAGGCCATCAAGGAGCAAAAGGCCCTTGAGAAGGACATGGCGCAGACTGACGCCCTAGTCCACCACGAGGAGCGCGAGAGGATGCAGTCCGAGTCTCTGAAGCTCGTCTTCGCGACATACTTTCGCATCCTAAAGATGCGCCTCCCGCACCTAATGGGAGCCGTGCTCGAAGGTCTCGCAAAGTACGCGCATCTCATCAACCAGGACTTCTTTGGCGATCTCCTCGAAGCACTCAAGGACCTTATACGATACACGGAGGCCGAAGAAAAAGCCGCGGATGACGACGAGGAAGCCGACGCTACGCAGCAGGAAGAATCAGACGACGAAGATGAAGCCATAGTCCGGAACGCAAGCCGAGAAGCCCTCCTCTGCACAATCACGGCCTTCGCCCTCCTCGCCGGCCAAGACGCCCACAACTCCCGCACGACCCTCCACCTCGACCTCTCATTTTTCAACAACCACCTCTACAAATCCCTCTACGCCCTCTCTACGAACCCCGACCTCGAGCTCACCTCCAAATCCCACCTCCCCGACCCGTCCTCCAAATCCAGCACCGGCCCCCTCCCAACAACAGGAAACAAAGTAAACCTCCAAACGACCACCGTCCTCCTCGTCCGCTGCCTCACATACATCCTCCTCCCACCCTGGAACATCCGCTCCGTGCCCCCAATCCGCCTCGCTTCCTTCTCCAAGCAGCTCATGACCTCCGCCCTGCACATGCCCGAGAAGTCTTGCCGCGCCGTGCTAGCCCTCTTGTCTGACGTGGCGGATACGCACGGGAAGAAGGTGTCGGGCCTGTGGAATACGGAGCATAGGATCGGGAACGGCACGTTTAATTCCTTGGCTGATAATTTCGAGAGCTCGAATCCTTTTGCTGCCACTGTGTGGGAGGGTGAGATTTTGAGGAAACATTTTTCGCCCATGGTTAGGGAGGGGGTTAAGGCGCTTGAGAAGGGAATGTCGAAGTAGACTTCTTTTTTTTTTCTCTTGTTTCTTTTTTTTATATAGACGCCAAGGACTTTTCAATCTAAACAGTAGATTTCCTGTATATTCGGCTTTGCCTTTCTTTCCCTCGTAAACGTCTGTCCATCGTCTACAAAGTATCAGCGGCTCGTTTTATGTTAGTGTCTAGAACTTAGCGCTCTGCCTTCATTTTGGAAGTTAAGGCTATAGTTAGATCTACGGACTTCCTTCGGCTTGCATATACCTACTTGACAGCTACTTCGTACATTTATGGGTTGAATCATGCGTCAATTATCAACTATCAACTATCTTCCCGGAGAACTATTCACAAGAAGTAGTGCATGGCCAACAAGACCGAAAATCTGAAAAAAACAGATCGAACATTGAGTTGGAAGAGAAAGGACGGACATGAACCACAATCCCTTTTTTTTTTTTTTTCTTTGCCTTCTTTCTGGAGGCGGACGTTCAAACTCTCGGGGATCGAGACATACGTAGGCATCCAGAAGGACACCCTTTCTATGCTCGCCTCGAATTAAGCGCTGCACTGTACTATCGGCATCCGTCTAGAGCCGAAAACCTGCTGTATGCCGCTGAGAACAATGAAAAGATCAAAGTGATGAGAACTCATTTCTTCCGGGGAATAAAGTCGGCAGCCTCGGCGTTGAAGGCCTTGAGAGGAGGCTGAGGACCACTGCCGCCGTCATCAGGGGTGCGAAGGTAAATCACACCGGCATCTTGGCCGTGGTACGTGGCCGGGTTGGCACCGCAGTCGAGGGGATGAGCCTTGGCAAACTCGACTCGAACGGGGCATCCGTCCTCGTGCCCGAGAATAGCGGTGTTCTTGGGGAAGTGTCCTAGGTGCTGGTATCCCGGACGAGCCCATTTGGAATTGGCCAAGCCCTCAACCGTTCGGGAAACGTGCTTGCACTTGCAGAGGTCAGCAACGTTGGACAGGCTACGAAGTTCATCGCTCGGCTTCGAAGCCTGTTGCTTGGCCTTTCCCTCCTCGTCGTCACTGGGGAACTGGATGAGGTCCTCCTCGTCGGACGCTTGGTCGCTAATGTCAATGAGTTTTCTAAACTTCGGAGTAGGCGAAGGGCTTGGTGAGCCAGGATGGACAAGCGCTCGAGGCTGGATAGCCATGGCAGCCTCCGAGTCAAGAAGTGTCATCTGCTTCTTACCAGGCTGCTGGGCTCCAAAGTCTCCCAGAAGGGGAGAGCCAAGGGAATTGCTGGAAGGGGGGGTCCAACCAAGCTGAAGGAGTTTGAACTGCTCCATGAGAGGAATATGGTACTTGGTTGGATCATTGGGATCCGCCTCGATGACGATGGAGGTGGTTGACATCTCCTCCTGCTCTTCATCCTCCTCGCCCTGATCCTCCACCTTCTCCGTCTCCTTCTCCTGCTCTCCTTCAGCTTTGCCAGAAGCGCCGACCTCACCCTCACGCCCCTTCACCGTCTTTGTTACGACAACCTGGTTGCCAGAAACACCAGGGATGGTGATAGACGGGGGAGCAAGAGCCTTGCCATTGCCGACCATGGCGTTCTCTTGCTCAATGGCCAGCTGGGGCTTACGGCTACCAACGGATGCATGAGCCTGAACATTCACCGATCCAACTCCAGGTTTGGCATTCTCCTGCATGCTGCCGACAGACTTGACATTCGCAGGGCTAGGTACCGGAGTGGAGGACTTAGGCGGGTCATCGCGGTAGGAAAGCCAGGCAATAGTGCTCGGTTTAACCTGAGCCTCGGCGGCGGCGCTCGGGTCGAATTTGAAAGGAATCGGCTGTCTGGCCTGGGGGCGAAATCCGTTTGCAGCTACAAGGAAGATGAGACTCACCAAACCGATCTCTTACTTGTCTAGAACCGGGGTTTCTTACCTCCATTTCCGGCATAGCGATTGCCGACTCTAACGGCTTGGCGAGACGAGCTGCGAGAGGAACTGCTACGGGTTTGCTGGTTGCCTTTCTTGTACATATTCTGGAGCTCCCGAGCAGCCTCCATTTGCTGCCCGTGGCCCAGCTGCTTCGGAGGCATCGTGACTGCGGAACTCGCTGACAGAGGTAGTTAGAGCAAACCTTTTCGGTTCTCGAGCCTATGAGACATCCCTGGAGATACTTACTATGTTATTTGATCGGACTTGAGATAAAATTGTCAGGAAAAATGGCGACGGAATGTGTCAACCTAGTATGTTTAGGTTGTCCTTGGGTGGGAATTGAGGGAGGAAGAAGCAGAAGTATCTGAAGCTGCAGCCAGGGCAATAAGAATAAGGAGAATGGAGCAAGAGCTAGTTTTGCGAAGCCCAAGAGCGGAGCTTTGTTGCTTATGGGAGCACGAGGATGGCGAAGATTCGCAGGTGGTCTAGCAAAGTCAAGAGCAACTGCGCCTTGTCTCGCGATGTGAGCTGTGGCAAGCCTTGAGTGAGACTAGAAGCCAAGCAAGGAAGCTTATCCCCCCTTATACCTCTTGAGGTGGAAGAGGTGTAAAGGCGGGGGGATCAAGAGGGATCAAGAGGGGGCAAGAGGGGGCAGAAAGGAGCAAGAAACTCTCTAGATAATAGCTTTCACTTTAAATCACAGATATCTGGGATGGTGATGGTCAGTATAGAATTCATAGGAGAACTGGGGGAAGAAAGAAGGAGAAAAAAACAGCCTAGATCTTGGACGGACATTAGGGGTTCAGCACTTGCCATCAAAGACCAGTATGAAAGAACCAATGCAGTATACTTACTTCAAGTTCTTTCTCTTTCATGAAAAGGAGCTGTTCGGGTGGGCGCGGAAAACACCTTGGCAAACAAGATCGCAATCAAACCAAATGACAGACAGGTTGGTTTCTTGACTTGATGAGAGACGACTCGATTCCGAAATTCAAGAGCAACAACGTATTAGGGTCAATAGTGCCCACTCTGTGAAGGGGTGAGTCCAAATGCTGGAGTAAGACGCAAGGCTCGTCCAATTTGGGGAGGCAAGTGACAGATAATGAGAGGGAGACTCAAACTGTGTTTGGGAAAGACAATTGTATTGTTGATGAACCTAGCTGTGAATGAAGAATTAGACGAGCGATTAGGCAGTCTCGAGAATCGAGAGATTTGCTCCAAGGTGAGAGTGCAAAGAGGATTTGGAAGGTTCTTGGCCATGAAGAAGGTCCAAGTCGGCCATACTGCGTCTACATCATCGTATCTCTCGGCACCGGATCCATTGCTCTTTCCCGGATAGTGTGCGTCGCCCATCTACTGAAGCCCGATCGCAGTTTCCTCCGGAGACCAGACCTCACTTGCACATGCATGAGCACGCATCAACACCTCAGCACATCGTTCTTTCCCTCTTTCCCATTCCTGACGGTATCTACCACACTTGGGATTTCGGGAAGGCGCTTGCTTGCCTTAACTGCCCACCCTCACCCTAGCCCTTTCCATTCGTGTTTGCCCTCTTCGAGTCTCTGTGAATAGTCTCGATCGCTTTGATATCTGTCGCCAGATACCCTGGGCAGTGCTGATTTCCCGGGAATAGCCACGTTGAAGATGCTGGCGGAACATGTTCCCGTACATATTCTACCAAGGCCTTGGCTTGAGGCGCATCATCACGCAACGCGATTGCGGACACACGGGGTATTCCAAGGGCAGCGCTAAGGCGGTCGGCACACGGCTCAGAAAGACCTACGAGCCGGATTGGTTCCTTGCAACACGCATTTTTCGAGGCCGCGATGACCATCTGTGGAAAGTGACAATGGAACGTGGTGGGCTGTCCGTGCTTGGCAACAAAAACGACTGAGTAGACGGGTGAGTTGTCCTGCACCAGCTTCTCGCCTAGACTGTTCTCACCATGCGACGTTTCAATGTTCGCCGCAGAGGCTAGCCTCTGGAGGGTACGCGAGATACTTGGCAGTCCAACGTCAATCTGCTTCGATATCTCTGGCAATGGGGGGGTTGTTGGAGTCTTCTTCTCCTCTTCGCCCGCCTTTCGATCCTGCGCTCTCTTCCTCTTCCTCTCTCTCTTGCCTTTGGACGGTTGGATATAGCGACGGCGATGGTGGCCTATGGGCTCGATGAGGCTGGATAAGGAGGGCAAAAAAAAAAAAGGGACAAGAGTTGTCAGCTGCCGACTGGCCTCCTTTACATGGACAAGGAGCTGGTCTAAGCTTGACCTATCCTGACGCGGCGTCCTCACCTGCATAGAAGCTCAAGTATGGTTTCTTGGACCTTTGGTTCCTCGACGTTTGGCCTATAAACTTGGGTTAGAGGCTGTAGAGTCTGGATAGTGTAAACTCTAGAAATGGGACTCACCAGGGTACTGCCGAGAAGGGTGTATTGAGCACATAGATGGTCTTTCCCCGCTCCATGATGCTGTTCGAGGGGATGACGGGAAAAGTTGCGGAAACGCTGGACCTGATTGACGAATTTTCTGGCCCTTCTGTGAAACTTGGCTCGGTGAAGAGGGCACGGCAAGTTAGGATTTCGGCTTTAGACTAATTTTCAACCATAACAGGTAAATCGTATCGAGAAATCCGAATGAGTTGACAGTGGCAGTGATGCCAAGGGTGCCATCTAGGAGAGCAACTCGCTGGGAATGATTGTCTGGGGTGCTTTTGCCTTTCCGACTTATTTAAACTGAGCCCTTCAAATTCATTATGGATCTTGGTCGAGTCCCATTCGAGCGATTTGAGCTTGAGCCAGTTAAGTTCTGACCCCATTTCCAAGATTCAGACACTAGATCGATCCCTTTGATTATTTTTAGCACATTTTCATTCCCCACCACATAAACTTCCAGACCTTGAATAGAATCTCCTCTCTCATTCTACGAAGTCATCCCGCGAGGCGTAACAGAAGGTCTAAGCCCAATTAAGGAGGGATCAATGATGGAACTTGCCCATACAGATTTGTCTTCTCCTTCGTTTCCTCCTTAATTTGGCTGTCTCTTGCCGAATATTTGAACAATGTGTACCTTAATACAAGAGTCAAGAGAGGTGCATCATAATATCAAGAAACCAAGACAGCCTGGCACTGCAAATACTACTTCGTAGGCAGCACGGCTAGGCAGCACTGCCCGCAATGTCACATTGGCCGTTCACGCAGGTCGATGTTGAGGGTGGATGCACTACGTTGGAGTGCAAGTATGACAATTGTACTGCTGGAGTGGGTTCTGGACTCAGCACAAGCTTGGCCCTCTCTCAATGATGGGCTTCTACTTTCTAGTACCAGCTCGAGGATGTACCTTGGGAATCAAAGGGCAGACAATATGCTGCGTCTCGTCCACATTGATTATTCCGCCTCTGGTTAGCCTCAACAGCCGACCGTCTGAGCATTATTTGACATCAATGGTCGACATTCCATCTTCATCTTCCAAATCCGGATTGCTGATGTAGCCATAGTCATTGGCGCTTTCGGACTCTGTCGCAGACACAGCCAGTTGGTGCTGCTGGTCCCCTAGTTACTAGTTACTGTCCCGCCCGCCCTGCCTAAGGTCAATTCAGCAATGCCATTTTCCTCAACTCTTGACACCTTCACATGAATCCCACCTCTCCCAACGGCTCCCACCAGCACTACTACTGTCTACTAGTTGCACCTGCCATTAGCTTGCACCAGAGTCCCCTCGTTCATTACTCTAATCACTTCTTCGAGGGTCCACAGCTGAAAGACAAAGCAGGCTGTGAATATTTCCTCCTGCTAACTCGACATAAGCTTGGTCGAAGGATCTCTTCGGCTTTGGCTTCCATTTCACTCTTTCATTCCTCTGCCCAGATTCATCCACATGCCTATTGATCCCGCCTTTGTTCACTTTCCTCGCGTCACAAAGCTCAATCGTTGAAGGGCTTGAGACGGTCCGAGTCAAACTCTCATGTCAAGGTGGGAGCCTGATGTAATCGCTGATCGAAACACCCCCATCCCCGCGTTTGGTTGCACCCCTCGACTCAACCCAACTCAACTGAACTGCTGAGTCATCAACCCACATTTGGTGAGTAAGAGCTTCCTGACCGCCGCGTCATTGCTACATACACCCCATCAGACTGCCCGTTTTTGGAGATGGGGCGAGACACGCCTGTGCTCTAAGAGGTGCTCTTTCCCCCAAAAATACGTGAGTGGTAGAAGAACCTTGCCTGCTCCAAGTTTCGACTTTCGTCCTGGAGCGTCTGTCACGGTGCTCTAAATTAATTGATGGTGTTGCTCTGAGCGAGAACGCCTGTCCTGGCTGCGAAACACCAAACTTGAATCCTCAGCCCTGGGACTCGCTGCCTCGCTGACTTCTTCTTGTTCTTCTGTCTTCGTTTTATTTTTTCTTCTCTTCCTTTATTAAACTCACCTGTTGTATTTCAGCTTCTCGCCTGTCCTTTCTCTTTTTTCTTTTCTTAATTGTATCTTCCTTCCTCTTTTTCTCCTCAGATACCCATTCTATCCCCTCGACTCGATCCCTACCGTTTAGTGGTTGAACTAGCCCTGAGCTCAAATCCACAAGGATCCAGCACAAGCTGTTCTGGCCTAGACAACACATCAAATCCTCCGTGCGAATCGACAGCCCCTCATCGCCTCAACAGCCCTCAGCTCCCGTCTCCTCTCTAATCAAGCGCGCACCCGTCGAGCCTCACATGCTAATTCTGACAAGCCGTTCCAGAGCCCTTGTAGGCATTGTTGTCACGTCCAGGGCCCTGGCGCTCCGGGACCTGTACCACAACTCTATCTCGAACCTACCCCATGGACCAAGCTCCCAGCTCCCCCGAAGCTCGAGAACGCGCCGTCTCTTCTGAGCCCTCCTCCACAAGGCCGAATCCATTTGACGACGGCGACTCTTCTCGGAAGCGGCGACGCACCTCCCTCTCGGGCTCGCGGAGCCTCTCCGTCGACACAGTACAATCTCCACACGACGAACCCTCCAATTCCTCCATTCTCGCGAAACCACCTTCAGACGTCCATGCCAGCGTAACCATGGATACCGACACATCTACTCCCCAAACGCCCGACCGTAAGATCATGCTGAGTGTCGACGGCCCCGCAGATCCTGGCTCTAGCCGTGTCACTATCAACCTGCGTAACGCGAATCCTTCATCGTCCGAGTCCCCCACGCCGCGTAGCCTCGACGATTCCCCCCTCCCTGGTGATGTGAAGCTCAGCGTCGAGCTCCCCGATCGCGATATGAAGGGCGAGCATGTACTTGAAGAAGGTAACCAAGCTGCTGCAAGCTCGCCCGTTCCTGCGACCCCGATCTCCTCGCTGTCCGATGATGATGGCAGTCCCGACATTGAGGTGATAGATGTTCCCGATGATGATACGGACGCCGTTCTAGGAGATGGTGAACCCGAGGTCTCCATCATTGGCGAGTCCAGGAACGCCCTTCAAGACCCCACCCTCGATTTTCCATACAATGATGGTGAACCTCTGATCGAAACCGTCTCTCGCCTCGCAAACTACATATCTGGTCGTAAGCTCTCTCCCCCCCGGCCTTTTTTTTCCCCTTCCTCTTTTCTCTTGGAACTGTAGTTGGTAGCTAACGGCATTTTCTCTTAGAGCACCAACTGGAGGAGAGCTTGTTCGAATCCCTACAAACTTGGGCTGATCTCTTTCTTCGGTGGGCCGAGACCGCTGGCTATCACATTGCCTACCATTCCTGCTTGGAGAACGTTGGTCTCTGGCAATCTTTCCCGGACCTAGTTTGGGCAACATGCAACAGAGCTCTGGGGAGAGCCGCAACCCCGCGCCATGCGGTAACTTCCTTCTATCTTACCTTTGCCAAGCTGACAGGCTTCTTCATCTTGTTGGATTGCCAAACTTTGGCGAATGCCAGCCAGCCGGGTGGGCCAGACAGTGGTCGAGTACCAGAAACGTTTTCGTATGCCTTTCTCGCAGGCCTACACGGCCTCACGGGGAGGGATGAACCCCGTATACTGAACAACCTTGAGGCCCAGGCGGGATGGCTTCGGCCGGACATGATTTCGGAGCTAGTACAGGGCTTTCAGACAATGCCTGGCGGTTCTATCCAAACTCTAACTAGGCTTGTCGAGTCCTACATAAAGCTCATGGAGAGGTTTCCGAGATTTGTTGATCAGCCTGCTGCCATCTGTCAGGTTGTCTCTGACATTGTTTGGGAAAGCAACCGACGCTTGCACTTTTCTGGCCTTCCCCAACTGGCCATTGATCAATGTAAGCAACGCCTCCTCCAAGGACACAGGTTTTACCTAGTCGTATCCCAGGCCCTCTCCGAGACGATACAAAAGCTGGTGAACCACCTCTCTACGGATGGTGCGAGCGGCCAAATCATCTCCCTGACGGATATCTATCACTGTGCTCTACATGGCGACCATAAGATGGCGACCGAGATGCTCCTCGCACACCATCAAAGCCATCCAAACCTCCCGGCACACCTCACCCCCGGTGCGATTGCTTGGGAATGGAGGTTCAACATGTTTGGGAAGCTGATCATGTCCGGCCAAATGCAACTTCGCGTATGGGCGGTTGGTCACATGTGTAGCGACCTTGTCATGTTCTGGAGACGGTGTGGTGATGGCCAAGATGACTTGACTCTGTTTCTCGCCTACTTCGCTGAATATCTGATGCGGACAAAACTCGTTGAGTACATTCTGGGCCCAACATGCCACCCCGAGATAACTCTCGAGAGCGGCAATGTTGTTGGTTTCCTGCTTGTAACGAAGTTCTACCAAAAGGAACAGACGGACTTACTCTGGCAGACAATCACTTCCAGCCAGGACCGCCGAGTAGCCGATGCCTTGACCCGCATGGCTGCTAACATCATGCATCTTTGCGACCAAGATCACCTCCTCTATTTCTGCGAGAAGCTCGAACTTCTCCCCATCGAGTCTTTTGACAATGCTTCCATCCGCCACTTTTGTGAGCAGGTGTTTAAGCAACTCATGGCAAAATTCCAGGGCGAACGCCAACTCTTAAACTTCCTTCCCTATGAACTGTGTCTCCGGCTTCTCCGAGAATCGTCAGTCTGCTCAGCTCAATCGCAGATTGCGTATCCCGAGATCCAGGCCTTCGCAACTCAGAAACTCCGTGAACTACACCAATACGGACCGGACCGTGAGGGCCGCCGGCGATTGTATCTGACTTGCATCGAAGACATTGCTGCGAAGTCACCTACCACCCTCGGAAGCCTGTGTGGGTTGTTCATCTCAATCCGCCATGCCCTAGGCGCGGAGCTCCAGGTCTTGATCGCCGAGCACAATCTTAACAGCCTCCTTGTCGATGAGTTAGAGCACGCCATATCTCTCTGCAATCAGACCAATGGCCTTTACGTCTTGACTGGAGCTAGCAATACGCCTCGCCGAGATTTCATTTATAGTCTAATTTGCCATGATCCCGACTCCTTGACGGCCGAACTCGGGAAGAGACTTTGGGATATGATGGTCGGCCCGAACTCTGCATCCGTAGAAGATCGAGTTTCCGGATGGCACATTCTCAATGACGCTGCTTCACAGGCCGGTTTCGATACTTCCTTCATGTCGAGCTGCCTCTCAATCCACTTCCCAACTCTGCCGGCTCATTGTTTCAGCGAAGGGGCGTTGCGTTTCCTTAAGGACGAAATCGTCCCTCGCATCAACAACAACCTGATCACGCTTGACAATGATGAGAGCGTCGCAAGCAGTGGGATCGAAGAACTCTGGCGAATGATTCTAACCGCGCCTGACCAGGCCGTTTCTGACGCCGCCATCGACGTTTTAGTGAGGGATATCTATATCGATAGCAAGGCTATCCTGGATTACCCGCACTATCGTGCCCGGAAAGTTCATCTTGGACTTGTGAACCGTTGTTTGGATCAATTACGCGACGCTGCGAAGAAACTTACGTCCTTCACCGATGGCACAACTAGCGGCGATGACGAGTCCATGGTCATCGTGGCGACGGACACCCAAGTATTAGAGCAGGAGCGCATGTTCGTCCGCTCACTGGCCGTATTGCGACAGTTCCTCCAGGCCCACCAATCTAAGGCTCACTTTGCAACAGCCGATCTTCGACCGCTCATGCCTCCCTCCCCAACTATGGTTGTGGGAGAGTCAGCAGAACTCAAGTATCAGTCATTTGACGGTGATAAACAGACGGAAGTTCAGCCCCTGAACATCGGCCGCCAGAATACTGCGGCCTCTTTACTGGCTAGCCTGCGGGAGGCGACGGGGTTCGAAAATTATCGGATCTATTACAAAGGAAAAGTCTTCATACCGGATGAGACTAAGATTTGCAAATCCTTAGAAGACTTGAGCATCCATGATGGTCTGATTCTGGTCAAACGTGAAGAAGACGGCGCGCCTCCATCTTCGAGGATGCGGCCAGGGGCATCTCCTCTTGAGATTGCCATCCTCTCCCACTTTGAAGAGCTCTGGGGCTACCTAAGTTTGGAAGAGAAGTTTGCGCAGGAGGTGAGCAAAATCCAACGGCGTCGCTGATTAGTAACCTTTTTCTGAGTCTTAACACTGACCTTGCTCTTCTCCAGATCTACCAATTTCTCATCAAACTCCCTGCGGATAGTCACATCCTGGAAGTCCTTGACTCGAGTTCAACTCCATATCTCGACGTGTTCCCTCTCGGACAGCCGTTCAAGTGTCTCTATGCTCTCTACGCTCTCGTCGAGTACACAGATGCGGCGAGGCGCAAGACTATAACGGCATTGCCCAGTTTTGAAGATGACGCATCCTCTAATGATGGCTATCGAGAAGCTATGGAGAGAGCCGTGATGCTAAACTTTGCAGCGGTTGCCGACCCCGATGTCATTGAAAAATGTCCCACCGGACACTTGAAGTCCCAACTAAGCCTGCAGCTGATGACAAGCCTCGTTGATCTTCTCTCGTCGTGGCGGACGACAGTAACGAGTGACGAGATGGACTGGTTTGAAAAGGCACCGCCTTTACTCCGTCTTTTAACAATTCTTCGAGATGCTATATCTAAACCAAGTGATGAAAACTCCCTTCGACTAATCCCCACAACATTCACTGCCATCCTTCTGCTATGTGCTGTTAGCGCTGGATATTGGGATGGTCTGACGAAGACAGACGCTTTTGGATTGCTCACTCAGGATCTCCTCCTTCACCCTAAATTCGTTATTAGGGAAAAGATTAGCAAGGTCATAAAGAACGCTTGCATGGATCAGAAGTATGTTTGCGTCCGTTTATCTTCCAGTCACCGAGGCTAACACGAATCTTGGTAAACAGTAGTCGCCTCAACGTCAAGATGGCCGAGTTTCTTTGGCCCTACGTCTCCGGCATTGTTCCAAAGCTGGTCGAGCACCCCGCTTCTTGCAACGAAGGGTTTGATCTAATTGAATTCCTAATCCTCAAGCTCTTACCAAAACTGTCTCCTGTCCTCGACTTGGCGCAGCTTGCGGAGCAGTCTTGCACTTTGCTTCTCGACCTTCATTCGTCCGAGGTAAGTTGCCTGTGACTTAGTGAAGATCAAGCAGTACGCTGGAGCCTTCCCAGACACTGACGCGTTCTTTTTTAAAACTCTAAGGATATATGCGATCCCGATCCAGATGATTACGTCGTCGGGGGGCTTGTGAAGCTTCTGCACTGCTGCATCGAGCTTGACAGCTCAATTGCCGACCCAAGCAGCATGTTGTTTAGGCGGTAAGACCTTGCCCCCGGCTGAGTCAAATCGCCTGCATATACCCCCCCTCTTCCCGATACCTTCATTACGATGTAGCTTGCTAACGCCTCATCCGCTAGTGGGACCGCAAGGGACTTGCTCTGGCGTTTCCTCTTCCCAGTGTCTAAGGAACTCGACGAGGCGCCCTCAACTGTTCTCTTGAATCGTAATAGCAGAGAAAGGCTATATAACATTATCTTTGATCTCGTCAAGAGGGATGAACAGCAATTCAAATGGCTGCTAGAAGACCTTCGGCAGTTGGTCCCGTTTGATAAGGATGAGGACGGTAGGCTTGACCCATTTATACACCTTTTCTTCTCGTTGGTACTTAATGCTGATTTCCGGCAACAGAACCGTATCACTACGAGCTTCCCTTGCAGTTCGAGCGCTCGAAGGCTATCCGCTCCCCTTGCGGCTATGTCGGATTGCGTAACCTTTCTAACACTTGTTACCTGAACTCGCTGTTCACTCAACTCTTCATGAATACGGATTTTCGGCGGTTCATTCTGGGCGCTACAGTCAGGGACGGAGCGAATCAGAAGTTGCTCCACCAAACGCAGAAGTTATTTGCCTTCATGCAGGAAAGTATTCGACGTTTCGTTGATCCGTACCTCGTCGTGGGCTGCATAAAAACGTATGACGACACTTTGATCGATATTCACAATCAGATGGACGTGGACGAGTTTTACAGTCTTCTTTTCGACCGCTGGGAATCGCAGCTTTTGAATGCGGACGACAGAAAGATACTCCGCTCCTTCTACGGTGGGCAGCTCGTGCAACAGGTCAAGTCTAACGAGTGCGAGCATGTCTCGGAGCGGCTCGAGCCTTTTTCCGCAATTCAATGTGACATCAAAGGGAAGGGTACCCTGCAGGACAGCCTTCAAGCCTACGTTGGGGGAGAGATTATGGAAGGCGGTAAGCACTGGCTATCATCTTTTTGACGCCCTGGGTCTCGCGACAGCTAACGTCCTTTCTTTAGACAACAAGTATAAATGCTCGACTTGTGACAAACATGTCGATGCTGTCAAGCGGTGAGTGTTCCTCTTCGTAGTCTCCACTATTGATGTTTTCCCTTCGTTTTGTAGATAAATACTGACGCTTGGGGACAGGGCTTGCTTGAAGGACATTCCCGATAACCTTATTTTCCACCTCAAGAGGTTCGACTTTAACCTGAGAACGATGCAACGCAGCAAGATCAACGATTACTTTTCGTTTCCGACCAAGATCGACATGCGGCCATACACGATCGACTACTTGGCTGATCCCGAATCTCCCGGCCCCGAAGATATTTTTGAGCTCGTCGGCATTCTCGTGCATTCTGGCACTGCAGAATCTGGCCACTACTATTCCTACATCCGTGAACGCCCGTCGTCCGGCAGTGGCGAAACGTGGATCGAGTTTAACGACGACCTTGTGAGCTCGTGGGATCCAGAAACGATGGAGTCCTCGACTTTCGGTGGGCCGGATTTCCGGTACGATAACAATGGTATCGTCTATGACAAGAACTACAGTGCCTACATGCTCTTCTACCAGCGATCCGGCAAACTGCAAGTCGACGAAAAGAGCCTGGCAGTTCCGCTGAAAGTGGATATTCCTGCAGAGATTCTGGATCACATCCGGAACGAAAATACGTATATTCTTCGACGGCACTGCCTCTTCGATCCCAACCATGCCACATTTGTTCGTCGAATTTTCGAGCAATGCATAAATCGCGGCAAGACGTGCTCCGAGGAACATAAGGTGGAAAAAATTGCGATGCACACCGCTCTGGGACACCTCGACCAGGTGGTTAGCAGGACAAAGGACGTTCCAGACTTTGCCCAGTACTATGAAATTCTCAATGGCGCAGTGCTCAAATGCGCTCGCTGTGCGCTTTGCCTCTTCAAGTATTTCAGGGACCGACACGAGTCTTTCCGGATATTAATTCAGAGAAACCCAGAGCCGTTGGTCCGAGCGGATTGCGGCGAACTTTTGATAACGGCGATCGCCAAAATCAAGCAAGAATTCCCCGAGGTATACGGCGTAACGGAGAATGCGTTGGATCGGGACAACTTGGAAGGGTGGTACCACACACAGGAGTCCGTGGTGGCCCAGGTGCCACTCCTCTTCGACACACTCTGGCTGACATTCCAGATTCATCTGCGATCCTGGAACGAGGTGTTCGGAACCATGTTGAGATTTGCCAGGTTCGGAGAGCTTGAGACGGTAATGCTCCTCAATAGCGATTTCCTGTCGAGACTGCTTCGCATCATCCAAGCCGACTCGTCGTTGGACCTCGCGCCTAATTATCAGAGGATGATGACGAACGTGCTTAGGCGGGGTCTCAACAGGCCACCCAGCTATGAGACCATCATTACCCTCGCGGACCATTTGATGTCTGCCTTGCACCCTGTCCTTAGCCCAGATACCATCGTGGAGAAGGCAGAGGACCGACTCCTAATGTACCTTCACGGAGAGACCACCCCTCCGTGGACGTCAGTCGAAGTGTTTACCGTTCACCAAGAATGGGCAACAACTCCCGGAAACAGCATTTTTCTGAGCAAACTTATTGAGATCAACCAAGCCCCAAAAGCCACCGACAACATAATCGAGAGGCTTGTGCAAGCAAATCGACAACTGGATCTTAAGGTGTTCCAAACTCTACGCTCCAACATAACCGGGCAAATGCTGCAAGGACATTACAACGGCCCTTACCTGAGAGCGGCGGTGACATACTGCAAGTCTGGTGAGGATGACGAGATGATCCTGCGTATGCTCGTGCACATCGCGGCGCAGTGCCGACAGCTGAACAACACAGAAGGGCGAGCCTTTTTAGACTTCTTCCAGAGTCTGTACGCCCCTCCCGGACCGAACGCTACTCTCTCTGCCTGGTCCATCTTTTTCAATATGACGGCGCAAATCCCCAAATGGACTCCGTATCTACTCGGTTACTACGACGGAGAAGTGAGATGGCAGACGGAAGAGTTCATCCAGAAAGCCATTTTCGACTGGGGCACTTCGCCAACCTTTGGCGAGGAAGCAGGCGGGGAGAGGCGAAAGGAGGTGCTCGTCTCAGCGGCGCGAGAGATGGGCTTCAACTCCCTCATCTACCTCCGCGACCACTTTATCCAGCGCCGAGTGCATGTGGCGCGAGATATGGTCCTCCCGCTACAGCGAGCTGTGGCTCGGGCGTCGGCGTATTTTAACATCGAGCCGGAGGAGGGTAGCCCTGACCAGGAATTTGCGCAGTTGAGCCAAAGTGAGTATGCCCTGATGCAAACTCTCGTTCCTGGGTTGAGGAAGCTAATCCTTTTTTTTTTTCTTCTTTTGCAGCGGTGCTCGAAGCGATGAAACGAATCACCGTGGACGAGCTGGAGGAGGATGGATCAGGTATGTTTACATGAATCAGTGCACGTATCTGCCACTAGACACAGTGATTGACTGACTGATGGAACAGAGTGGGATAATTCTTGCGGATCCTCTGCCGGGGACATTGAAGCCTTTGACACATTGGGGGACGCGGATCTCCAGTAGCTCCATCCACAACGCGTCAGTCTCCTTTGTCCTCTTCACTCCAACTCGCCAACTTGGATGACCCGAGAGATGATGTACGAGAAATAGAAAAGGGGAATTTGTGCTTCACAGCGCCAAATTACGCTTGGCTAGCGTGGAGATGAAGATATGATTATGACTTGAAGCGTCTTTTGCTGGATTCTGCGCGCTATTCTTTTCTTTCAGCTCTATTACGCCCTGCATTTCATGGATGCAGGGATGGATGTGTGGCAGATGGAAGTGTAAGACGTGAAAAGGGAGCATTGGAGAGTGCAGCGCGAAGGAGCGGTTGCTCATGCTTAGTGTCCATTCCTCGCGTGTTTCTTTTTCTTTTTCTTTTTCTTAATTTTCTCCCTTCTTTTCTTTTCCTTTTTTTTCTTTCCTTTTTGCTTTATTTTTTGTCCCCTTTGGTTCTTGCGCAGATGGACAGGGAAGAAGACAAGAGGGACACGGCGTACTTAAGGAAAGATTACGACTCTTTTGTGTACACATTGCTCGCGCGCATGCATACACAAACACTACTTGGCAAACCCGGCGCGGTTTCGAGGCGCAAAAGAGGGAATGAGGACAATGGAAACAGTTTTTTTTTTTTCTTTTTCTGTTTTTGCAAGGATGGAAAAGGCAAGGGAGGACAGGAAACTGGCTCACCGGCCGTTGACGAGTGAAAAACTGGGGCCGTCGCTTTTGATTTTGATTTTCTTTTCTATTTCGGCTTCTGCCTCTGGTTCTTTTTGTTCTACGTCTTAAGTCTTTCCCAGTTGTTTCGTGGCTTTTGATAGGGCAAAGCGAATAATTGAACTGGGCGATTAAGACAAGATACACTTGGTTTTCTTTCTTTCTCCCCCTCTCTCACTCGACATCGACGTCTATTTTTGTGTGTGTGTGATGTACTACGTACGAGCTATGGATCTGTTGGCGAGTTTCCTGTCGTGATGTAGAACGGTGAACAAGGTGTCGGCCACCAACGCTGGGGTTTGTTTCGACCCCGTTGCTGTTTTTAATTTAAATCCGTCAACGATGCCATGCTCACGTTGCGAGTGAAAGATGATGGCTTATTCCGATAACTTTCGGATGAATGATAATTCCTTGAAAAGTTCATGGCGCTTAGAGAATACATGTAGTTTCTCGTTGGTTTTACTTTTTCTCTCTCTTTCTTTTGGTGATGTCGTTGCCGTTATTCCGAGTGCATCCCCAAAATAGAGAGGGCAGGACAGGACCAAGGTGCAGGAAGACATGAAGAAAAATGGCAAAAATAGACATTACAAGTCTCAGGATGGCTCACACATGAAGAAAGGATGACCAACTCGGACAGCCATGTTTCGTGTGTGAGATGAGCTGACCTTGGCCGCCGCAATAGACGCCCTTTATCTCGAGGCGGGAGCCAACGCCATGTCGGGATAGGGATGGGGATGGGGTTGACGATGACTGGGAGGGCAAGACATAATCACAGCTGTCTATAGAAGGGTCATCAAATCAACAACGAGGCTGCCATCTTCCGGCGCGACTCCAAATTTGGAAATTAACTAGTGGTTTTTTTCTTTTGGCCCGGCGCTTGAGCTCTCCGCTGCCCTGGTTGCTGGAAGATGCATGGGAAGAGTAGAGGGGCGGGGGAGAGGAAAATTATACGGAGAATTATTTGAAGTTGGCGAGCCTGCCTAAGGTTAGAGTTCCTAGGACACGATTGGTTGGGTGAGATGTTCTATTATTAACAACAAGGGAAGATTTTCCACATTCTTCATCTACAAGTAGCATTTGCGAGATGTAAGACAGCTGCACGGAAGTAGGTCGCGACGCGGGACTCCGAGAGGCTGAAGCGGCGATGACGGGATGCAGGGTGATACCCGATCGCGCTTGCAGTCACAATCGTGTGGCTGGCGGGTACGAAGGGGTTGTCCTGTCCACATGTGCTGAGGTCATTGGTATGATACTGTGCTGTCTTGATTTGCTTGTCTGGCCACTCTCCCTTCCTGCATACACTGGTACAATACATGTCTTGGTGGCCGGGCTGCTCTTTCCTCGACTTCGCTTATTAGTCGGCATGATGAAACGGGTCGTGACCGCTTCAATGCGGATGTCATGGCAACGAAGTTACTGGCCCGTCCAGCGATGTGATTAACCTCTGAAGCCTTTTTCTCAGTATCTAATGTGATAAGGCTTGCTTTCACTCTTCTCTAGCGGCGTTTTGCTCTGTGGGAGAGGCGTTCAGCTGCCCCTGTGCCTTGCATTCTGCGTCGGTTGTAGATTCAAGATTGAGTTAGTGGATGTGGGTAAAAGTGGTGGTCGTGGAGTGGAAAGGAAGCTCTGGCTCAGGAGCGCTGTATGTCCATCTGACTGTCCGGCTGGTAGTAGACGATTCCGTCGGCCTGAGATTTTCGCAACCATTTGATCCATTATTCTGTGTCCAAGAGATATTTAGAATTACGGCCTTGACTTAAGGTTTCTTGCTCAAGGGTACATCTTCTCTTCTCTGCTTTCCTCTTTTCTCTTCGTTTTAGCTGTGTTGTTCCTGCCCCCTTTCTACACTACTTGTATTTTTGCACATTCCAACACTAACGGCCGAAAGCCGCATGCCTTCATTGTGATTGGCCCCGTACCCGGGCAGGCCCAAGGCGCCTTGCCCAATGCACCAGAAATAGCACAACTGCGTCACTAGCGCGATGTTCCCTTGCTCCTTCCAAATTCCTCCTCCCCACGTCACGTCATGCCGCTAGGCGCCTAGAACATCTGCCAGCCAATCAGCACTAGGCCAGAGTGACAAGCCATTTGGTCACAACGTCGTCCCCCGCATGTACTTCTCCAATGGGCTCGAAGAGTACTGGGGCTTTCCCTAGTTGATTGACCGTGCCCTACGAAGCAAGTTTATGTAAACTATAGTGTAGATCAATGTTGGAGAGCGCTGAGGTCCCAACTCTGCTTGTCCTGCATAGGAAGTACTGCATCCGGACGTTTTCTGCTGGTCGAGTACGAACTACGAAGTACAAAGTATAGCGAACAAGGACCAGAACCGAGGATTTTGTGACGAGGTGAAATGCTGGCGCTTAGCGATCGAATTTGGGAGAATACCACGGGTCTCCTCTGCTGCTCTCCTCTCCTGGAGACCTGCACTCAACGGGATTGATGATTGATGCTATTTCCGACAACGCCTCAAGCCACCGTCATCTCCGATTCGTCTCGAAGTACTTCCTCATCCTCAGGCACCACACTGTCTAAACTACCCCGTTCCTCGCGCTCTGGGCTGCCCCTGACTGGCCTGTTGGCCTGCTGGCCTGCGTGCAGACCGCCCAACATGAACATGACGGATAAGGTTAGCCGTTCGGATCTTCTCCATTCTGAATCTGATCTCACGCCTGGACTGGGTCCGCTTCTGTTGTTACCAATTTAGATCTTTCCGCCGCCGTCCTCCCCCTGAGAGGGAAGCTAACCTTTTTTAAACATGAAACAGACCAAGATGAGAACATAGCTCGTTTCAAATCTTTGGCCTTGCCGCTGAAGACCTTGTTTCTTTTTTTAACTTAAGTTTGTTTCGTCTCCGCTTTTGTGCGTGCTTTGGGTTGCCACGACCAAACCCTTGGGAGGACTTTCCGGGTGCATCTGAGATATAAGTCCCGTCCGGACCCCATCACAAGCTTCACTGTGATACTTTCGTGCATCAGCGTCCCTCAACAAACAAAATCGCCTCGCATGAGCTCGTCGATGATCAATTTCCAGCAGAGGGACAAAGTCTGAAACTGTGGTAGAGGCATTCGTTTGCTCTTCTCTTTGCAGTTCCGACTTGGCTGTCTTATCACTCATTCTTCCCCCGTTCCATCGCCATATTTTACTTGGCTTTGCCATTCATTCCGTCATTCATTTATTGATTTTCGAGAATATAAAAGAAAGATAGGAAAAGAGGCAAAAGGGCAAAAAAAGGGATCCATCACGATGACCCTCTCCAAGGATTGCATTTCCATGCCCCTCGAGGCTGGAACCTCCCTCCTCGACACCCACCACATTCCCACCCGCCTCAACGACGCCCTTGAATACGCCGCACGCCGGCTCGCTCGCAAGTCCATGCAAATTGCTCTCGTAGCAGTCTGTCGCGAATACCACACGCCCTCCATGCTTCCTGTGTGCAACAGCCCCGTCTTCGCACCACCATCCTCGCCAGAACCCGGCCCGGTACTCTCTCGGACGGGGTTTTTTGCAGCTTCTTTCAAGAAACGGCTCATGAGGTCAAACACCCATCCCACCTTGACGATATCTTCGCCTAGCTACAACAGCAGTGACTGGGCACTGCGCAGTGCCACCGCTTCGCCGACTTGGTCAATCTCTTCCGAGACCACAACGTATAGTTCGGCTTCATCCAAGCCCAGCTGGCCTTGCACTCCCGCCACTCCTGGCACCCCTATGTCGGCTCCACCCATGACGCCTTGCACTACCGCGTCGTCTCTTACGAACGAGTCGGGGCCCCTGTCTCCTACCGCATCTGGTATTAGGTTGGTACACGGCGATGTACTCTGCCCCAAGGACGAGCAAGTGGTGAGGGAGGTTCTGGAAAAAGCCTCTCGAAAATATAAAATAGGGTAGGCATCTTAAATCCTTGTGTCACAAAAGTTTCTCCGAGATCACCCCCTCTAACATTCTCCGCAGGAACCAGTGGCTCCCGCCCGTCGTCCACCCTTCCACCTATGGCCTGACCGATGGCATCATCCGCCGATCTCTCCGCCAAGACGAAACCCTCTTCTCCTCTCACAGTCTCACGCTCTACTGTCTCGACCGCCTCTACACCTTCAAATCCGCCCTCTCAAGCTACTCCCGCTCGAAATGTCCCCGTCGGCTAGAGGATGCCGTCGACGAACTGCGGCGTCTCTTTCTTGCAGGCGGCGGCCGGAAAGTCTCAAAGGCAGATATAGTCCGTTCCTACGACTGGCTGAGTGTCAGTGACGCGGCACTGGCCGACGTGGATAGGATGTATCGCCGTGCATACGGAGGACCAGACGGCATTGGGGCCATCGAAGGAATGCCGATGCAAGCTGATCCACTTGACGAAGTGAGCATCGAACTCGAGAAGATGGAGACGTGCTCCATTGATAGTATAAGGATCGAGATTGAAGAAGCAATCGACGACATTATTTTCATCCAACGAGCAGATGATGTCGTCTCCCCCCTCGAAGCGAACTGGCCCCTTCCCTCTCAGCCACTCATCATCTTAGATCGTCCTACGCCCATCGTTTCTACTCCCATCGGTTGGAAGCCTCCCATCCCAGTGCTACGGCTTCAGACCACTTTTATTGACAAACACGCTGAGGTACCCAAGGACGTGCCGAGAGATAAACACGAGGAGGTGGAGGAGGAGGAAGGAGATCTCACGGCGAGGCCTGAGCGCGCGACCCTGAGACCGTTATGGCCGACGATTGGCCCTGGTGCATCGATTGATGAATTGCTCAGGAGCCCTGATACGAGAACTTCGCGATCATCAGATATGTCAAGGCTTGGGCCGATGACGCCGAATGGGTACGATGATATATCGCCTGTGACGAGGGGAGAATGGGGATTTTTGTTTTCGGAACCGACGTTCCGAGTGAAGACTGCAGCAGTGGAAACCTGTTGATGGACTTTTTTTTTTTTTTTTCTTCTTCTTCTTCTTCTTCTGGATTTTATTTCTTGTCTTGTCTAGGGACTTTCTGGGAGTATGGTGTTCGGAGGCCATTTGATAGCGAGCATGACGAGAATCGTCTTTTTCTTTGTTTTCCAAAGTGTATTCATGATATCCCTTTCTGCAAAGACCCATGTAATAAAAAAAATAGAGAATACAAAATAAAACCCCCGTCTTTTCAATTCTTATTTTACCAACCATACCTCGCTCCCGCCTCCCTCCGCTTACTCTTCCCCTGCGCAAACCTATCCTCCAACTGCTCCCTCTGACTCGCCACGGCATTGACCAGCTGCCGCAGGCTGTGCTTCCCGCCACCCTGAACGGCGGCGCGCACGGGTCGCTGGTTCGGCACGAGCTCGCCCGACGCGCGGAGTTCCTCGTTGCGGCGGTATTCGGCGTTGAGGTCGAAGGTGAGGATGCGGGTGTTTGGGTCGGTGGTGGCGGTGGCGGTTGGAGGGCCGGAGCGGCCGAAGAGGTCGCGGAGTGCTGTGGGGGGAAGGTTGAGGGATGTTGCGAGGGACGAGAGGGTTTCTTGCTGTTCGGGAGGTTGGGGTAATGTTGATGGGGTTTCTTCGGGGAGGGGAGCAGTGGCGGTGGTTGGATGTGAGGGGAGAAAGTCGTATGTAGGTTCTTCTTCTTCTGGCTCTGGGCCGAGGGGAAGGTGTTGTTCGTCGCCGGTTGGGAGGGAGAAAAGGGAGGTTTTTTGTTTCTTGGCGGGCGAAGGCGTTGGCACTTCTTCTTGAGGCGAAGACAGGACTGTCGTCGGTGTCGGCGCTGTTTGCGGAGTAGCCGAGGATGTCGGTTTAGAACCCGTAGACGTAATGGTCTTCTTCTTCGCAGCAGCATTCCTCGCAACGCTCAAAGGCACGAACCGCAAAGGCTTCCCAACAAGCTTCACCTCCCCCTCCCCCTTCATCCCCTCCGGTATCTCAGGTCCCTTCCCAACCTCCCTCTCCCCGGTCTCACCATCCCTCGCAAACCCGGGCCCCGCCCCCGTCTTCAACCCACCCCCCACAGGCCTCGCCGCGCCACCTGCACCGCCCGTCGTCGCTGTCTTCTTCGCGGGATTCTTAGGCGGCGGCAACAACGCGTTAAACCCGCTAAACACGCCGCCGCCCGTCCGCGCCCTCTTCGCGGGCGGCTGTTCCGGGAAGGAGGAGCTGGAGGCTGGTTCGGCGCCGGGGAGGTTTACGCGGATCTTGCCTGGTTCGGAGCGGTCGATTAGTTTTTGGAAGGGCTTCTTTTGTTTGGTGGTCGTTGTGGTGGGGAGTTTGGGGGCTGGTGGTGGGGCGGTGTCGGAGTCGGAGTCGGAGGCATAGTCTACTAAGGCCATTTTGGATAACGGTGAAAGAGGTTTCTTGTTAGGATGGGAGAAGAATTTGTGAGGTCGCAGGGAAATAATGTGGTGATGTTTGACGGCGATGAATCGCCAAGGCGACGCCCATGTACAATCCAATTGTACTTTTTTTGGATGACGATGACGTCTGATTAGTCAGCACCAGATCTCGACCGCACCTGATTATCGCAAGCATGGATTTTCGAATAAAAGAGCAAAGAAAAGAGAGTGGAGGGGGAAATATTGTATTTCTTTTCTTTTAGTTATATAGTAACAAGATACTGAGACATATGAATGCCGACAGCAGCATCACCTACAGAAAAGAAGGGAGAACTTGGTGGCCAATAGTCAACTACCAAAACTCGCAGCAAGCCGTTGAACCGGCGGGCGTCGGATGGGTTGATCAACGGGAAACGATGGCAGGGATACAAGAGTGGCTTCCAACGGAATGGGAGGTGGTCGAGAACCTGCTCGGCCGTGTATCAACCATCAGGCTGATGCTGTGCCTGCAGTGTCGCAGCTCCTCAATAGTTACCCAATCTCTAACACATTACACTGAACGGCCACTGGCATATACTAGAGGGCAGCGCCGTTGAGAAAACCGAATGTTAATGGACTCCAACTTGACGGTTCAGTTTGTGCAACATTATTCCATTCCACGAAAGAACTGGTCGACAAGTTAGATATACACTGGAGTTTCAACCTCCCGCAGCACTCTCGTTATCAGAGCCTTAAGGGCACGTCGTGAAAGACCATCAACCTACGTAGCTTAGGAGACTGCAATTCAAATAGAAAAAAAAAAAAAGAAAAGAAAAAAAAAAAAAAAAAAAAAAAAAAAAGAAAAGAAAAAAAAAAAAAACAATTCCCCTGAATATTTATATCCGCCCTTATGCTCTGCCTCCTCCCTAACACCGAGAACATGCATTAAAAGCAGACTAGATCCGAAAGGCGACAGATGTACGGATCCATATATAACGCCGCAACGCCCTCTTGCCTTCCTCAGCAGTCTTGCACCACATCCGCCCTTACTCTTCCCTCTCCTTTTGCTTCCCCTTCGCATCGTCAGCCTTGTCTGGACCAGGATAGCCGATTCCCTTCGTCATAGGAACAAACTCCCATCCCTCGATCTGGGGAGTAGGCTTCCACTCAACTTCACCCCTCTCGTACAGAGCCAACCAAACGGCATCGGCATTAACCACATCCAAAACCTCCTTGACATCCGGGCGCTTATGGACGAGGTCGGCCAAGAGCTCCAGAATATCATCAAACATGTCATCCGGAATGCTCACGTGTCCGACAATCGCCACGAGCAGATCGACAACGGCATCCCACACCTTGACCGCTAGCGCGTAGCTGCCCAAACCGCCACTAATCTCGAGCTGCGTTGCGGCATCCTCCGGCGAGTCCTTCTTCGGCTCGAGGACCTTGCCGTCGCCTAGAGGGACAAGAATGCCCGTATTAGAGCTGTCGATGGTGGTGATGAGACGGCCGGTGCCAGTCCCCCTCTTGCCCGTCGATTTAGACGCTTGCTCCTTTGCGTTGAGGCACCACTTGTGCATGCCATTCTTCCATTCGGTCTTGAATCGCGAGGTCAAAAAATCTCCCGCATTGACGCACAAGGCGGAGAGGGTCTCGCACGCGGCAATCGTGACGAAACCTTCGGAATCGTACAGGCGAGCCACGGTGACGGGCCAGATCTCGTTGACCAGGGGCAAGAACATGTCGGGATCCGAAGCTAGGGCAGAGGCCGCAGTCGCAACAAGGCCAAGGAGCTGCTTGCGCAGGGTAGGGCTCGGGAACGTAAGGTAATGCTGCGCGAGCTTGGCGATGCGGGTAAGGGTCTTGTAGGCAGAGCTTTTCTCTTTCTTGACCTCCTCTTCGGCGTCACCTTCCGGAGCGACCGCGTCGTTACCGGTTTCCTTCTCATCTTGTCCCGAGGTGCTGCCCTCTTCTGGTTGCTCACTGTCGTCCAGAAGCTCCGTGATTCGGCGGCCGGTCTCCTCCTTCCCAAGCTCGGCCCACGGCATCTTCGGATGGCCTTTCTTGATCTGCTCGTCAATCTTCTTGTCTTCCTCTTCTCGCCGTTGCCTCTTTACTTCCCGCTCCTCGATTTCTTTTTGTACATCTTCCATGGTGAATTGAGGGGCCCGTTTCTTTCGGTGATCCACACGGGACGATTCTTCGCCCTCGACGAGGAGGAGAGTCTCGGCTTTGGCTCCCTGGTCAACGATCTCCCTGAGCGCAGAAAAAAGGCCTTCGACGAGGGCAGGATAGCCGTGGTAGTTATCTAGAGCGGCGAAGATGTCATCGACGAGGTCATCGAGATAAGGTATGACCTTGGGTCCGGAAAGGCGCGTCGTCATGATCAAGACGTTGATCATTGCTGGAGAGAAATCCATGGAACGGAGGTGGAAACCCAAATCATCAACCACGTAGTCCGCATTTGAAACTATCAGTTCAGACACGTCCTTGTAGCCACAGTGCAATACGAGGGAGTTAAGCGTAATAAGAGCATTACGGCGAACCTGGGGGTGCTCATGGCCAAGAAGACTAGTGATGGGGAAGAGGACATTCACGAACTCGCGAACAAATTCCTCTCCGGTTCGGCGAGCAGTGTATTCGACGATCTCCAGGGCCAGAGCTAGGGTCTTCCAATCGAAGCCTTTTGAGAAAGCGTGCGAAAGCAAGTACACGCAATTCTCATACAGCTCTTGGAGTACCTTCTCTGGGTGGGCGATATCATGGGTCTTCTCATCAGGCGGAGCTAGCCACATATTGAGATCTTCGGAGCTATCAAGCGCAGACTGTAACAGCTTGAATATAAGCCAGCAGCAAGCGAAGTGGCTAGAGCGACGATTCCATTCCAAATCTTGATAAATCTCATCAGCCGCCTTGCTTCTATCCCAGTAGTCGCCCAGGCTTCCGAGGAGTGTTATGGTCATCTCTCGAGTCTCCCGTTGGCTTTCATGTGGCAGGGCGATGGGCTGGAAGAGATGGCTGTTCTCACCGTCCTTGCGCTGTGCGATGAGAGTCTTCGTCGTGGTTTCGATGGCATCAATATCCTCGCTGTCCAGGAGAACGGCTTGAGATGAATTGGCTGCGCTACCTTCGCCCTCGAGAATATTGTAAAGGGCATCTATAATTAGACCATTTAGGTAAGCTGATGTTTGGCAAGCGCTGACTAGCGTCTTCTGGGCGTTCGCCAGAAAGGCTATCGAGCGCTTCTGTCTCGCCTCGTCGCCTTGCAGCGCGATATCCGGAAGGCCCTCTAACCACTCAATGGCAGATGACTTGATCTGCTCGGCGATTTCGGGATAGAAATCGACAAGATCTGCAAGACGTGGAAACGTCCTCCTGTTCGATGACGATAATCTGCTTCTCTCCATGAGCACTATCGCTGTCTCCACGAGCATAGGACGGCAATTTTCAAGCGAACGAAGGCAGTCATTCACCGTCATCAGGCAGAATTTTTCAAGGGCGTCACGAACGCCTTCCGAACCGCTGTTGCGGAGCTTCAAAACAGTTGCCATGACGATTTTCATTTGCTCCTTTGTGTGACTGAGCCATTCGGGAGTATAAGGGTCCTCTCGAGAACCCTGTTTGCCGCTCTTCTCGAACCTCTTAACCCTGAGCGAGACCTCCATATCAGACATGACGCGACAAACGATGGATTCGAGCGTGAGGATGCCTTGAGTCAAGACACGTGTTTTGTGGATAGCAGGCTTTGAGAGGAGTTTCAAGAGAGAGGAAGCGACTCCCGGAAGAAACTTCGCTAGCTCCGTAACATCGTTAATCGCCCGGATCACAGCCTGGAGTGTGGCAAGTGCCTCGGTTTGAATTTCGGCCGACACTTCGCTCAAGGTGAAGTCAATCACAACAGGTAAAGTGGTGTTCACTTTGCGGATGATGTCAGGCGAGTTGTAAATGGACGCAAACAACGCATTTCGTCCGGACGTTTCGAACAGGGCTCGCAGGGCCCTGAGGACCTCGAGCACGGTTTCCTCGGGAACTTCAGTTTTTTTCTCCGACCCAGGTACTCCAGCAATAATTATGGTAAAGAAGAAGAGGAGCTGCGGGAACAGGTCTTGGAAACTTTTTAAGCTCCATCCCTTGGAGATAAGGAGAGCAGCAACTTTTATAGCGCGTTCGACGACCGGGAAGGAGAACTTGTCTTTTTGGGCAAAGATCTGAGAAATCGGCCAGAAGACATAGTCGGACAGCGCGTCATTCAGGAGGTCTGAATTGGCTGCCTCAACGCTTGAGTTGATGGTGGCCAGAAGCCTGTCGAGATAAGTGGAGATCTCTTTGTTCCCTGCGGCACCAGTGGGTGGCTTTGCGACGAGTCCTGCGAGACTGATGCAGGTGGGTTTAAGCTAGATCCAGAGGAGTCAATAGAGGCATCTGGAATTGAGAGCCATGAGGGGTATACAGACCTGACGAAAGAGCTCATTCCTGGCAGTCTTCACCACATCATCTTGTGGCTGCGACAACAATGAATTCAGATTGTTGGTGTCCATGTTCGACAATGATGCTGGTCTGCTTCACTCATCGTTGACACTGCTCACGGTACAAGGTTGTAGCTGACACTCTGAAGAAGAGTGCACGATGAAATGAAAATTTGATGAGTACAAAGGGAGAGGGGTTTACAATATAGTGATAGAACATAACATAGATTTGAAGAAGCTGGTAATGAGATCGAAAGGTTTTGTGCTCTGATGGGTCTGGGCATGAGCCTGGGATGAAACTGAGGGTGGCAGAGAGCTTGAAGTTGAGAGCTTGAGATTCTTTGTTGGTGAGAACTTGAGATATTGGCACTGTGCCAGAGATGGACTGGACTGTTGGCAGCCAGCAGCTGGCAGCTGAACAGAGTCTGAACAGAGTCGGGCTCACGGGGAAGGTTGGGGGGCAGATGATGCCCTGACACGGGCCTGGGAAGTAGTGGGGTTTCAGTGGTTCCACCAAGGTTAATCCTTCCAAATCATGATTAACAATTTTAACAATGACGTGGGCGGGGTTGCTATTTCAAGGCGTGGAAGGAGCGAATCGGAGCCGGAGCCTCTCCGAAGACGAAGACGAATGGTGTGTCTCACTTGCCATCAATGTCGGATGAGAATTTGGATTCAAATTTTCGTCTATACAATCGTGTATCTCAGCTGCAGAAGTATTGCGTGGAATTGTAAGTGCACCATGGAAAAGGAGCGTTGAATGTTTGAGTATAAATACTTCTCTATCAGGCCCTCTCGGCCTGCTCCTCCCACTAACACAGCAACAGGGAGCTCCCACGTTCTATGTCCGATATCGTTTGCTTTCTAAACAAGCCACTTGAGCCCGAAAGCATCTTGTTTGCTACCATCCGTGACTGATTTTCTTGCCATATTGGGTTTCTCATTTATGCTCCCTGATCACAGACACTATGGCTGCCTCTCTTCCCGCCCCCTTCCTCACTCGAGTTCACTATTATGACTCGCCTACCCGCTACACTTGCGCCTACGAAACCGGTGTTGACGGCGCTCCCAATGCGCTCGTCGTCATCGGAGGTCTAAGTGATGGGCCTCACACCATCCCCGCCCTCATCAAGATAGCTCCCCGTCTCGACCCTGCCAACGGAGGTCCCAACTATTCCATCTTTGAAATTCGCATGCGAAGCTCATACGTCGGTTACGGCACGTCTAGCCTTGAGGAAGATGTAGTCCACATCGCAGCCCTTGTAAAATATCTGAGGAGCATTGGAAAGAAGAAGATTGTTCTCTGCGGCCACTCAACTGGTACCCAGGTAGGCATCATCGCACCACCACTCTCCGGCCGCCTCGCTCGAGCGCCCTCGCTTACCAATGAGTAGGATATTATGGAATACGTCAACTCTGACAAGCAGAGTATCGAGCCCGTTGACGGATTCGTTCTCCAGGGGCCCGTCTCAGACCGTCAATCCCTTGAGCTCCTGCGTTCTACGTTCCCAGACTATGATTTCGACGATACTCTCGCCTGCGCTAAGCAGTTCATTGCTGAGGGTAGGAAGGATGACTGCCTTCCGCGCTCGAAAGTCCCACCCATCTTTGGCAATGATCCCATCTCTGCTTATCGCTATCACTCACTAGCTGCAAAGGGGTATGTTTAGAGAAGAATTTTATTACGCATGTATATGTACGAAGCACTCTCTACTCTAAAGCGGAAACTGACACTGTCTAGCGGCGACGATGATTATTTCTCCACTGACCTAGACGACGATTTCGTGAAGAGGGTTTGGTCCAGCTTCACTAAGCCCTTCCTTGTTCTTCACAGTGCTGAGGATGAATTCGTCCCCGAATCTGTAGACAAAGCAGCTCTTATTGAGAAGTGGCGGAATGTAAACACACTTATGAGTCCCCTGTCCGGAGTCCTCCCTGGAGCCAACCACACTCTGGACTCTGATGAGGCGCAGAAAGGATTTGGAGATAAACTGGTTGAGTTTCTTTCTACTATTTAGGTTAGCGTTTGTAGACCTATGGATATGTTGAAGCAATTTTCTCTCTGACGGGGAAGGTGAGGGAGATGTTGGACTTGGAAGTAGAATCATAGGCAGTTTCCGAATACGAAGTGCTCTGCTCAAGTTGGATTATATTTTCGCTAATAAAAAAATGACACTTATCGACATATTTTCATCAATACTCGGGAGGATCGTAAGTATAGAATCTCGTATATGGAACTTGGAGCGTCGTTAGGCTTGGAGCACATCATGCTCAGTACAAAATTGATTGTTCTGACTGCTCCCGAGTACGAATACGCGAAGAGAAAAAAAAAATTGAATGAAAAAGGCCAAACCATCGAGCATATTCATCCTACGCTACAGTTAGTAATGGAGGGACGGCAGGATCCTGTGAAATGCGACGTCCGAGAAATCATCCCGACCCGGGGAATGTGGCTATGTGGGTTTGCATTATTGAGAAAGCAGGAAGCAGGCAAGCCGGCACCTGCCCATGAGTAACCGCATCAATATCGCAATCTTGAGTGAGGGTTTGTACGCGAATCCGGGATCTGAAACATCAATGCCAGTGATGACTCTACACACATCCTGATCTTGACTATTTCTCATGATTATGAAGTGCCGTGTAGAACCAGTCAACGCCAAGAGCAGCTCCAGGCAGTCATCTAAGCCTCAATCCTAACCAAAATGATATCAGTTGGTTCCAGTGTCATGTTAGTCCAGGAATATGCGTGTGGGAGGCACATATGATGAGAACACGGCATGGCTCCCCAACACAGCCCAGTTCACGGTTGGATAAAATGGGAGCAAAATAATTTCGTAGGACTCGCCGTGGCCATGTTATTCTCCTGTGATATCTTCCTGGAATTGTAGGAGGCATGCCGCGAAATCGGGTCAGTCGAATCTATCCAAAATTCGAACGGTGATGCTTCTCTCAATCTTGTACCTCCACATCAGCCTCGCCATCATCTTCGTGGTATCAGAAGATTACCGCGCAAATCTCCAAGTCGATCTCGCTCTTTCGAGCACAGCGGTCCACGACTCATCGGGGTTGCTCCCCACGACGTTTGCGATTCGAAATGTCCACAGAGCATTGCCGATGGGGCCATCACGATGGGGATTTATAGAGTGCCTAGGAAAGAGCGGATATAGAAATGTATACCCAACTAGCCCGGTTTTACGGTCAAAAATTTATAGAGATGCACGCTTCGAAATATCGGCTCATCTACCGAATGCCCTCTTTATTCTCGCTGCGACGACTAGTACCATGACCGATGGTGGAGCGCAATCCGGGGGCCGCTGGCCTCCGTCCGTGAGAAATTGCAACGAGCCCAGCACTCCCAATAAATGGCTCTCCGAAGAGCGGATACTTCACTTCTTCGCCGCCCCTGACGGCACAGCTCCTGACGTTGTGGAAGCCAACAGAAGTGGTATCCCTGAGCGCCCAGCGGCCAAAGCCGCGAACGACCTGTACCGAGATCGACATCCCTTCGACGTGTTCAAGGACACCGACTCCCGTACCAATACTCGGTGCGACGAGACGGGAAACCTTGCCAATGAGATGGAGATCGACATATCACAGGGAATCCGCCTAGCGACACCGGGTCCCGAAGCGACATGGCAGGAGATGATGTGCAGCCATCCTCGAGTTGCGACGAGAAGGGAGAAAAACAGCAGCTTGATAGCGCTTGCTGTGGGCGTTTTCCTCACTGTTGTTCTGCTATAACAGGGTTTCGGATGGGCGCGATGGGCGCTTTTTTTTTTTTTTTTTTTTTTTTTTTTTTTTTGGTGGGCGAAGCGAAACCGGTATGTATTGACTATTCGCCGGAGTGGATTGTTCAAGGTGAGCATCTTGGCTGCCAAGCCGATCGAGAGAGGTCAAGCTCTCCCCTTTCTACACCACACTCGCCTCCATGCCCAAACTTTTTCAGGAATTTCCTTGATGGCTCAGCACTGGCATGATCCCAAGATGCCCATACATCCGTCCGAAAGCATGGGCCTCAAAGACCCGCTGCATGCCGATAAACTCCGGCCTGGACCGCCTTTGCCAACTACCGCTGACCCCTCCTCTCTCGTTGCTCGATCTGATTAGGTTCGAATTGCCCCACCACAACCCAAACTATGATTAATATTCACCAGCACAAGAAAGTGCGTGGGTGACCTCGACCTTATTCTTGGTGAACCTGGAATCGTTTGAAGATCGACTGGGATAGTTTTAGCATTGAGTAAACGCAAGGACTTGGAATTTCAAAACGACTGAAGATAACCTCTTGCCATGTTACTCCTCTCGCCGCTCTTCTTGGCAGGCGCATCCGCCTTCCTGGTGGCGGCATACCTCCTCCGCTGCCTGTTCTCCCCGCTTGCAAAGGTGCCTGGACCGAAGATAACGCTCTTCACGTCGGTTATTCTCAAATGGAACGAGTTGAATGCCAATAGACGAGGGTACATTCATGACCTTCATGTGCAATATGGCCCGGTCGTGCGAATTGGCCCGAATGAGGTGTCGTTCTCGTCTCCGGAGGCGGTGAGGGAAATATACTGCTCCGGTGGCAGTGGTTACGATAAAACCGAATTCTATGACCTCTTCAAATTATACGGAAGAAGGTAGTTTTTGGCTACTTTGCGGAAGCTGAAATGGCCACTTGCTGACAGCTCACAGGACCATGTTCACGACTCTGGGGAAAACCGACGTTAGAAAAGCCCTCTCCTGTTCCCGATTCCCACTTCTTACTGCTGACGAGCCGCGACACATAGCACGCTAAACGCAGGAGGATCCTCGCCGATCGTTATGCGAACAGTAACGTCATGCGCCCGATATCGATGTCGGGTATCCAAGAACGCGCGAGGTCTTTTGTCCAACTCTGTGAAGAATCGGTTGGCCGTAGCCTCGATATCTTTGTAAGTGAAATAAATTGTTCTCCATTCTCCATTCTGTCTCCTATAGTATGTTCCCATCGCTCATCTTTTACCTATTCAGATGTGTGAGCCTAATCCTCCCCATTTCATCCTGGGAGAGTCTTAAATGTAACGGGGAGTCTAGGCTTGCATTCATATGCTTGTGACTGCGTGACACATCACCTCTTCCACCCATATGGAACGGATTGTCTCAAAGACAAAGCAGACGCCGAGATGATGCATCAAGTGGCGTCAGATGATAGCTTGCAAAGTGCGTACAAACCCAGACCATCCTATTTTCACAGTTCGCGTGATTTCGACGAGGTGTGTGTGAAGCTGATAGACGTTTTCTTGTCCTTAGACCGGTTGATCGAGTTCTACAGCCCAACGGCACACAAACTTGTGGCGAAAGTATTGTACTTTTTCGCCAAACCGCGAGAGACACCGTTGGCAGACGAGTTTGTGCTGAAGGCGAGTAAACAAACTGACCCGGCAAACTTTACGCTGTTGAAGAGAATGCTAGAAAAGTCTGAGCTCGATTCTATGGACATGGCTGCAGAGTGTCTCGACCACATGGCTGCGGGAATTGATACCACCGGTGACGCCCTATGCTTCTTGATGTGGGAGATATCCCAGCCCAAGTCGTTTCATGTCCAGGAGAAGCTCCAGAAGGAACTCCTGGAGAAAGCTGGCGAGCCGCTGGATAAGCTGCCTTACCTTGAAGCCGTGATATGGGAGGGACTACGATGCTTCCCTGCCATTCCCATGTCCCTCCCGAGATACGTCCCAGCTGGAGGAAGGGTTATCGACGGATACATGTTCCCGGAACACACGATGGTTAGCGCCCAGGCGTATTCTATTCACCGACTTAATGAGGATGTGTTTCCCCAGCCCGAAAAGTTCGATCCGGAGAGATGGCTCGATGTCGACGGCGATGCCGAGCGAAAGAGACTGCAGTTTGCATTTTCCACTGGAGGAAGAGGTTGCGTCGGGAAGCAGTTGAGTTCGCCTCCGGTCTCGGACCCCGCTTCGCTGAAGTGATGACGCTAACGACTGTGTGGCATCTCGTAGTCTTGCGCTCCTCGAGATGAAAACGCTACTCAAGGAGGTATATTCGCGGTACACAACCACGCCGGATCTGTCAGCGAAGAGTGCGGATATGGAAATGTCGGATCAACTGATATCAAGCCGGCCAGCTGGTCAGAGGTGTTTACTGAGATTTGAGCAAATCAAGCAGGTTGCATAACGTTAAATGTGGGACTAGATCAGATGTATTTTTGGTAGACGAGAAGGTTGTTCGACGGCGTCTAAAGGTCAGGGTCTACATCACATGCTATAACACAGGTAAAGGGGAGCCTGGTGGCTTTTTCCAGCTCTGATTCGTACTTAGGCCATCTCGCAACTGCCTTGGAAAGAACTGTTCGAGCCATGGAAATAATTGAAGCTGTTGCAGCCAAGCACAACTGACAGTGAGCCCTGAGTGCCATCAATGGGTCGGTCCCCCACGTTTGTGAGAATCGCTCAAGTGAGGTAAGCCGTCAACTGAGCCACAACTTCCTCTTTCAGCCAACTAAGAGAACGGGGCAACATGGGGACTGCGACGGCGTAATATAAACTAGTCAGTGCCGTAAGTTCCGCGACATGAAATCTTTCCCAAGCTTCAACGGGGCCTGACGAAACGGGTCAATTGATGGAAAGAAGGCCCAAGGATGACGGGATGTGGAGCCTATGTATCTGTACATTGTCCCACTCAAGTATGCGAAACTGCAAACCTCCAAAAAGCACGTGTTAGGTAACTGGTTCGTTAGGTTGGGCAATGCGGATGCGGGGATCGAGGGGAGCATTTTGCTGAGAACGAGATGACCGTGTCCTCCTCTTTCATCATTTATATTCTGATTTTAAAATAAAAAAAATTCAAATCTATGAGACTCACAGTGTTAGAGAAACCGGTCGATGAATCAATATCTTTCATCTAACGTCGTGCAACAAAATCTTGCCACCGTTTTCAGTCAGAGCGAGGACAATGGAGCTTAAACTTAACTAATGTCTTACTTTACGGGAGGGAGACCAGCAAGATTGGGACAACGATTGCGTATTTGAAGATCACAACTTACTTGTGATGCAATACATTGTGCCTCGAGGTCTGAAGTTGGGGTTCGGTTCTGCCCTGAGAAGTTGGTTTCAACTTTTGTGGTGAAGTCAGTCTGCCAAGTCACACTTGGATATTCCTAAGTCACTGTACTTGTCCACCACTCTTCTTCGACCGTACTTCGCCCGTGTACACTACATCAACCAGTCCTATGAGGCCACTAGCAAATTCTTGCCAGTCCACACTTTCCCTCCCTTCGTGTACTTCTGGGCAGGAGTATAAAGCGAATGGTGTACTGTACTTCGTGCTTGTAGTGTTTTTAGTGGATTAGTGTACACTACCACCAGTGGGGTTTGCCTGAAATACTTGGTTAAAAAAATTTCCATGCGCACCTTTTGCCTTCCTTCCCTCTCGCCCCAACCCAACTTTTTTCCGCCTTATTTATTTCCTGTCAACTCCCACACTTTTACTCTTTCTCCACCTTCTAAATTTTCATCCCCCAAAAATTCTCTTGCGATCTTCGTCCAAGAACATCGCCTGCTAGTTTCGATCTCTTTCCTGTTTGTTCGTCGACCTCTCCGAGACACGATTTCATTGAGCGCCGATACAATCCCCCAACTCCTGAGGAAAACTCCATTCCGAATCTCTACGCCTCCTCTAACAAGACCTCGACTTCCAACCCAAAGCCCGTCGGCTTCACCTCCATCGTCGGCTCCGCCATCAACCTAGCACATACTCCGGTGCCCTGATATTCGTGTCGATCGGATACTGATCTCAATTGTCCGCGAAATCACTCGCCGCTGATTCATCCCTGCGCCATCGTCGCAAACCGCCTACTCATACACGGGTCTAGTTCAAAAGCATACAGAGTTTATGTATCAGCACGACAAGATTCCTGTCTTTCGACGCCGTTCCATCACCAGACTGCGACATTCTCGCATATCAAGAAAGCCTAGTAGTCCTGACAAATCTGTCGGTTGAAGCCTGCTCCAACAGAGTTCATGCCTACCCATCAGAACAAGCCTTTTCTCTATTTACCCTATGATCATCACTATTCTTGTTGAGCCCTAAACTCCGCTCTTCTCAACTCAAGTCATCATTCCGACCCTCGCGTCCAGCTCTTCACCCTCTCGAGACTTCTTCATGTCACCTTTATCGTCACTCTAGCTCCAGTGACTCCAACTGCTGCCGACTTCTTCAGCCTGCCGAACCTGCCAGCGCCATTTCGTGCCTTCACATCTGACTGACCGCCGAGTCCTTTCGTCTACCTGCCAAGCAGTTCCATCTTCTATTACCGGAACCAAATCCTCCAACAAACAACACCGCAATCATGTCTCTCATCAACGTCCGTCGCGATGTTAGCGATGCTTTCTATCGCTACAAGATGGAACGGCTCCAGACCAAGATTGAAGGCAAAGGTAATGGCATCAAGACCGTTATTGTCAACCTGAGCAGCGTCGCCCAGTCGCTCTCCCGACCTGGTTCTTATCTTATCAAGTACTTCGGCTTCGAGCTTGGTGCCCAAACCAACATTGATCCCCCCGACGATCGATGGATCATCAACGGTGCCCACGAAGCCAGCAAGCTCCAGGACCATCTCGACGGATTCATCTCCAAGTTCGTCCTGTGCAAGAAGTGCAAGAACCCCGAGACCGATGTAGTCATCAAGGATGACCGCATCCTTCTTGACTGCAAGGCCTGCGGTCAGCGGAGCGATGTTGACCTCCGACTCAAGCTCAGTGGTTTCATTTTGAAGAACCAACCTAAGAAGGGCAAGAAGGACAAGGCTGAGCGAAAGGCTGCCCGGAAGGCTAAGCAGCAACAGCTTCATCAGCAGCAAAATGGCAACGGCCACCTAGAGAACGGCCATCATGGCAGCGGTGCCGAGGATGTGTCTGATGGATCCGGAAGCGGTGACAAGACCCCCTCCCCCGCCGCCGAGGCCGGCAGTGATGATGAATTCGAGAAAGTGAAGGCGGATGCCTTCGAAGCGGCCGAAGAGGCCGAGTCCAAGGATGACGAGTGGGCTGTCGACATGAGCGAGGCCGCGGTTAAGGCTCGCCAGGCTTCGCTGCCTGACGAGTTCAAGCAGAAGCTCTCGTTCGGTGCAGACGAAGACGAAGATGGCGAGGGTGGCGGCAATAGCGTGTACGACCAGTTGGGAACCTGGGTCCAGGACCAGATTGCCGAGAAGGGCAGCGCCGACGCTGTCGACTCGGTCGACATCTACATCAAGGCGAAGGAGCTCGGTATTGAGAGCAAACATCGTACTCTTCTCGTTCTTGTCCAGACCATTTTCGACACGGATAAGATTTGCACCCAGATTCCCAAGCGTGCCCCTATGCTCAAGAGACTGGTCACTTCCGAGCGACACGAGCGCGCTCTGCTCGGAGGCACCGAGCGCTTCATTGGACTCAACGGCAAGGACCATCCCGACCTGTATCAGCAGGTTGTCAAGATCTTGCAGCTCTACTACCACTTCGACCTCATTAGCGAGGAGGTCGTTACAAAGTGGGGCACCAAGGCTAGCAAGAAGTACATCGACTTGGCCACCTCCAAGAAGGTTCGCAAGGCCGCCGAGCCCTTCCTCACTTGGCTTGCCGAAGCTGAGGAGGAGGATTCGGATGATGATTAATTCCGCCCCGACCGGAAGTAACCGTCCGCATCGACCATTCGCCTATAAACCGGCGTGTTTGTTGTTGGGACGGCTCCTCCGATTACTCTCTCTTAAGCGGATCTCTCTTTCGGCTCTATTCTTTATCTTTTTTTTTCTTCTAGTTTTAACCACACCGCGTCTACTTCGTTGGTTATTACTGATCGGGTACGAAACAAATGGGAAGAAAAGCTGGTACATGTGTTTGCGCATTGGGAGAAAGGATCGGAGCGCTACAGAAAATTTCCATGGTTTACTTTTACTCTTCGCCTCTCACTGATCAACATCATTAGTCTGTACACTTAGTTCTGCAAAATCTACCTTGACTGTTCCTGTCTAGACTTGTTCTCGCACAGCACCTGATGTACGTAGATTGCAATGTGTTGTACCGTAGTATGGAGTGTCGATTAAGTTGGAATCATGTCACGCAAACGTGTTCACCTGGTCACGAACACGGAATATCAAATGACAACTTGGATTGTAATTTTAAACTCGACTGGCCGCGAAGGTCTCTCCAATAGCATGAATGTAGGAACTGAATGGCTCCTAATCATAGAGAAAACGCCAGGAGATATAAAACCACTCTTGATTTCTAACAACTCGCATCAAAAGAGAAGACTCTGGTCTCAGGGAAAGACTGAATGTATTCCCGACTGTCCACCTCTGATCTCCCCGCCTCATGTACACGGGGCAAGACTTTGACGAAAGACTCGTGTGTAGAGAATCAAAGAGGCGTAATAAGGAAGAAAAAGGAAACAACCTAAGAGTCAACTCGGCTGAAATGGAGTTGCAGAACGAGACAGGGGTCATGGACCGTTTGACTGACCGCCTGAAAAATGAATGTATCCGAACAGCTTAATACCGACATAAACTTTTTGTTCTTATTTTTGGGATTTTTTCCTCCCCTCGTTCTCCCTTGTGATTTTTGAGAAAGGACGGGTATAACATCTGATTTCCTCAAGGGATGGTGCGTCATAAGGGTTGGATGTCGAAATAGACTCGAAAGTCGACGGACAAGGTTGTGCATGTGCTTAAGACGGGATGAAGCGACAGGCCGTCCTCAACTGTGATGAGAAGAATTCGTCGTATTGTTCGACGGGTATAACATGTTTCAGAAACTCCTAAGCTGGAGCTTTATTTGAAGATTAGACACTTGGTCGGATTTGAACGAGAGACGGTGTATCGAGTAGCCCAAAGGTGGGCAAAGAGGAAACGAGGAAGAGACGATAGGGACGTTGTTGCAGGTAACCGGGACGGAATCAAGCACCTAAACGCCACCCTCAATCTTTCCAGAATGAA